GCTGTTGCACGGCATGTTGACCAATACCTGCGGCACATCCTAATTCATGTTGTTAATATGTCAATTTGATTTAATTATATAATAGCAAGCGCAGCATTCACATATAAACATGAGCCACGAGTCACAACCAAACATCAGGAATTAACATCCCAAAAACAAATCAGGTATGAATATAACAATGGATCATGGATCGATGGTCTATGTTTTCCTGGAATGTCTTCCAAGTTCCAAGACCGACCTACCTAGATGGGAACTTGGAAAATCTGGTCGAATCGGACCGTATGACCGCTGGGAAGAAAAACATAGAAAAAACATAGAATCAACAGGATGATAGGATCATTTCACCATGCATAAAGAAAGGCCAACACCAATATATAAAAATAGATGGGTACCTATATATTACTGTATGTGCCATTGACATCCATTGCCCACTCGCCAAGGAACAAGGACTTCCCAGGCAACCTTCCGGGGCGACACCAAGTGTCGTGGAAGGATGCGTAAGATGATCAGAAAGAGACCTGGGACGGGAGCATCTCCCTGGAACCAAAACACCAAGGGTAGAACTGGTAGATCTGGCAGAACCAAGACCAAATAGACATTTTTTTTGTATATCTAAAAAACATCACTTCAGCAAAACAATGCGGATTTCACCATTAGCAAAGGTCACATCAATTGGGGTTCCACCGACCACTATTGGCAATGTCAGGGCTGTGTGGTACTTGCCAACCAATTTAACAAGGGAAATATAACAGTGATCATGAGGACGATGACGATGATGACAATGATGATGATGATGATGGTGATGATGATGATGGTGATGATGATGATGATGGCGATGGCGATGACGATGATGACGATGATGGTTGTGATGATGAATGTGATGATGATGATGATGGCGATTATGATGGTGATGATGATGATGGTGATGATGATGGTGATGATGATGGTGATGATGATGATGATGGTGATGATCATGGTGATGATCATGGTGATGATGGTGGTGGTGATGATGATGATTGTACGGCCAAACTGGACGGAATAAGTAACAACAAAGCTTGAACCTTCCATGGACCAAGAGGCCACAACAGCCATAGATCATGGACGACAAGAACGTATAGGATCCAGTTCTGTCTTTCCTCAGACGCAAGCTGTAAGGAGTACAAGTTCAATATGACTTGCGATAGCTAAACATAGCCCTACTACCTGGCAGTTTCAACTACATAAGCAAGGGGAAACAATCAAAATAACTACTGTTGACAGTTCACTATGAACTAAGAAGGTTCAAGGTCTACAGCCACAGGGAACTAGCGCTGCTTACAATACAACAATTTGATCTGTTCAAACCAATGAGGCTCACCAAACCTTGCACCGTTACATGAACATGTGGCTCTGGCTCTGGGTCAATTTGGCGGTTTGACTAAAGATAGGGTATCCTCAACGAGATTGCTTATAACCAACTTCACATTACAGTGGACATCTGGTGGTGTAAGCATTATCAAACACACCCCAAAACCCCACATGTTTGGCTACATTCCATTATACCCCAGTGTATTTCATTACAATTCCGTATGTATACCCATGATAGTTGGCTAAACCTACATCTTATTTCCATTGATTTGCTCAAATTCACCGTTGGTAAAATAACATGCAGGTTGGTTTAATGGAAAATCAACGTGAAACTAATAACCATGTTGTTTATTTTGGTTTAAATGGTTCGAGCTCCCATGAAGGATCGCCTTTTCGGAGAGTCTCGTGGAGAATGTGGCTTTGGACCAGTCGTCCCAGGAGTACAAGTTGATGGCCACCAACTGGGCGACTTCCCGGTATGTTTTTGATAGGAAAAAACACATAGGAATCCGTTCAAATATGGGGAAAGGTGGGTTTATGCCCATCAATCTGATTTAGGCTATATATAATATATATTTATATGTAATCATATATACATATATATATATATAAATAAGTCATATCAATTCACTTTAGTATTGGATTCGCCCAATAAGCAATCTGCTCCTCATGCCGCAGCATCTTCAGTGATATGAAATCCAGCTTGACGTCGTGCTTTTGAAGCAAGTCGGCCACAAGAATATCATATCAATATAAACATCATACACATACAGTACATTATATTGCATGGTAGTACAGTGCGTGACATCACATCACATAAAAAAATGTTAAAAAATGCATACATGCATGAACGCATACACATACACACGCACACACACATATATATATATATATATATACATAACCATATTAGATTACATATACATGCACACATACACACATGCATGACATTACATTGCATTACATTACGTGACGTTACGTTACATTACACTACATTACATTACATTACATTGAATTACATTACATTACATAGAGACACACATGACATAGCACAACCCAATGATAGAACATTATTTTTAGTAGGACGTTGCTTTTCTATCACTGGATGTGTTTTTTTGACCTAGTAAGATCACGTGATACGTACGCCTGATCTCGTCCGTGTTTCCGGCCTGCCACAAAGCGATGATGAGGAAGCCAACGATTCCTAGGATCGGGGGCACGGATGAGTCGAAGAAGTGCCAACCGTGATACAAGGGGGATTCCAGGAGCGTGCCCCGAATCATCCAATGGTGACTTGAGGTACCCTCTTTTAGGAAACCTCCAATATTGTTTTTTCTTGTTTCAACCATTTTCAACCATTTTCAACTCTTGAATTGAAGGGACACATAAAACACCAACAATACTTGTGCTTCCGGTCATTTCACATGAGAAATCAGATTCCGGGCGTTCCTTGCGGCAGCGCAAACAATATTGCATCCAAGCGGCTTTGTTTGGATTGGTCCTGGCGGTGGCTGCAAGTTGCGAGAGGTAACTCCTGTACTACTTTGATGGGCAGCCTAGCCAATGGGTTGATTACTCTACCAACAAGCTAGTGACATCAGTCATGGCATGTTTCGGCAAAACCCCAAGACTCACCGCTTAGCCAACCAGTGGCCTTGGCAAAATCTGAAGCCATTGAGGATTATCCCAGCTAAGGGATTGAACATAAACTAAACATAACTAAACAAACACCTTTTCCAAGTTACAAATTAGTTTCCCATCACAAACACCCGTCTTTACTTGATGCAGTATACTCAGTATACAGGAATTCCTGCCTATTGTCAGGTTGGAGTTTCCGGCAGAAAAGAAACACCGAAACCCCGTGGTTGAATACATAGTCCCCGCTTCATGAGGACAAAAAAACATCGAACAATTCACTATGATTGATTATCTACCAGTAGTACCGCACAAGGCGGTGGCGGAAGTTTCAAAAATAGGAAACCTATAGGAGAGGTTGGTTGTTGTGAATCAGGGATGGCAGAGCGAAGCCACTGATGGACCGAAAGGTGCTTGAGGTCTCCTCTCTCTCTCTCTCTCTTTCTCTCTTTCTCTGACTATCTACCTACCTACCAACCTATCTTCTATGTATCTATCTATCTATCGATCTATCTCTCTCTCTCTCTTTCATCTAATTACCTATCTATCTATCTATCTATCGATCTATCTATCTATCTATCTATCTATCTATCTATATCTCTCTCTCTCTTTTATCTGTCTATCTGTCTATCTGTCTATCTCTCTATCTCTCTATCTCGCTATCTACCTATCTACCTATCTACCTATTTACCTATCTACCTATCTACCTATCTACCTATCTACCTATCTACCTACCTACCTACCTATCTATCTATCTATCTGTCTGTCTATCTATCTATCTATCTATCTATCATTATCTATCTGTCTAGCTGTCTACCTGTCTATCTGTTGTGCAGCGTCATTCAGTGTAATGTAGCGTAATGTAGTGTAATGTAGTGTAATGTAGTGTAGTGTAATGTACTGTAGTGTAGTGGAGTGTAGTTGCGTAGTCGTAGTTATATTTGAGGTGGAGTGGTGTAATGTAGTGAAGTGTAGTGCAAGGTAGTGTAGTGTAGTGTAATGTAGTGTAGTATAGTGGAGTGTAGTGTAGCGTAATGTAGTGTAATTTAGTGTAGTGTAGTGGAGTGTATTGTAGTGGAGTGTAGTTGTGTAGTTGTAGTTGTAGTTGTAGTTGTAGTCGTAGTCTAGTGTAATGTAGTGTAATGTAGTGTAATGTAGTGAAGTGTACTGGAAGCTAGTGTAGTGTAGTGTAATGTAGTGTAGTGGAGTGTAGTGTCGTGTAGTGTAGTGGAGTGTAGTGTAGTGTAATGTAATGTAGTGAAGCGAAGCGAAGCGACATCTGAACCTCCAAAAGTGGTCCGAACCCCTGGTGTTTTTAACATTTTGACTTCGAAATGTGCTTCGCGCCACAACCGCGTACACTTTTTCGACATCTGAACCTCCAAAAGTGGTCCGTACATGGTGTGCTTTGCACATTTTGACGTGGAAATGTGCTTCGCGCCACAACGGCGTGCACTTTTTCAACATCTCAACTTCCGAGAATGGTGTGCTTTGTACATTTTGACTTCGAAATGTGCTTCGCACCACAACGGCGTGCACTTTTTCAACATCTCAACTTCCAAAACTGCTCCGAACCCGTCAGTTTTTAACACATTTTACTTCCAAATGTGCTTCGCGCCACAACGCCGTGCCCTTTTTCGACATCTCAACTTCCAAAAGTGGTCCGGCGCTGACGTGTTTTGTACCTTTTCACTTCGAAATCGGCTTCGCGCCACAACGGCGTGCAACTTTTCATCTCTCATCTTCCCAGATGTCTCCGCACCCGCCGCTTTAGCGAGCCTACTTTTCAACCCTCCGGAGCCACAAAACCACGAAAAAACACAGTGTTTCGCGACTTTCCTACCTTTTCGCGCACCTGCATCTTCTTTCTTCTGATCTTTTCTCTTCTGACTCTTCTCCCTGCTGACTGCTTTTTCATCTCCCCATACTGTCGGAAGTTTGACTTCTAAACTTCCTTCGATGATTCAATACCTTAAAGTTACCATCAACATCCATCAACTACTCAACCCATCCAACTTCTAAAAAAACAGAAACCTTTTTTTTTCGCAGCACGCGTTCCAACTCCACTGGTGCTCGCGGTGACCGTCTCTTGGTGCGTCTCGCCAGGGCGCGGACCAGTAGGCTGCGCCGTAGTCCAGCAGCAGCTCCTCACCCGGTTCCACGGCCTCCTGGCACACCACGGCCTGAAGGAAGGGCCAGTGGTCATAGCGATACAAACCTGGGCGATATCTGGGAGATCCAGAGCGCCCCGAAACATGTGAGTTATTTGAGCAGATAGTTTTTGGTTGTCCAAGAGTCTGGGGATGGAAGTGAATTATGGAAGTTGTGGAAAGATAAGACGCGTTCGAAGGTGCAAGTTTTGGAAGAAGACATGTTTCGAATTGTTTCGATACCAGCAAGAATGGGAAATACACACATTTGCAGCCACATGGGGCTACCAGGCAGTGTGTGTTTTTTTTTGGGTAGGGGAATATGAAAAAACAAGATGAAGCCACCGACCAGAAACACACATTGGGATCAAAGGAATGGTTGAAGAAAGCTCCAAAGCCCAAGGGTAACACAACATAAGGCGAGTATTGAGGAGCACTCTGTAAGTCACTGGCAAACACAAAGTCCCGCAGTGGCTGGTGACGAACGTCTCTCCACGGCAATGGAAGCACCGGAATGTGCGCGGCAATGTCGCCGGGCTCCATTGGGCATGCTGCGAAACAGCCGAGATCATGGAGAGGAGATTGGCACAACCTGGTGATCAAGCCTCCGCAAGGATATACTTTTTATAGTTGATGAGGGTCAAGTTCCTATATCTAAATCTAATTTCAAAATGTATCATCCAATTCTTCAAATCAATATTCTAAAGAATCAGGAGCCCTGCAGATTTTCAGTCTGAGGGATGAAAAAAACATATCAAACATGTTCAAAACCACCAGCCAGCAGCATAACATTGGATTGCGATACGGTCATTTCCTCTCGCACGCCACTGTGTAGCAAGCCGCATTCACTGGCAGCCGCTTGAAAGGTGGTCTGCGTTCGCCGGAGTCCTTCTAAAACGGCCCGAAACGGGGCACCATGGGCACCAGCGATACCGAAAGCTTCACCTGAATGGATGTCCTTCGTAGCAGAAAAGGTCAAGACATCCCGACCTCGCCAGCGGCCCTGCCATTCCACTTTCAGATTGGCCAACGGCGCCGAAGTTCGGTCAAATAGCAACGCGTGACCCAAGGGCAGCATCCACTGACCTTGAAATTCGTAGCAAAGGGCCTGGACCGAGGGAGAGAGGAAAGCTACATGGCCTGCCGGCTTGCCCACGCCTATCCTATTATACACAAACAAACATATCGAAACCATTGTAAACTAAAGAGATATAACATGATATAACAACTCCAAATAAGGAAATTAATGCATTCATTTCATCATATTTCGAGAAGGTGCGGCTATATGAAGATCTAATAGGGTCCACTTAAATGTCTACAATATGTTGAACATGGCGGTTGTCATAGAAGGTAAAGGGCAATTTATCAAGTTGTTGGCCAAATGGTCCTGCCTATGCAATCTTGACCCTAAAAATTATCTGCTGTTTGGGACATCTTACGTTTTTTCTTCGCCATGCCTTCAAATGTTGGGGAACTTCCCCTTCCATGCGAATGGCAATGCATCGCTCGACCTCCTCACCGGCAGAAATGTGATGCACAGCTGTCGCAGCCGCCACCTGTAAAATGAATCCATGAAGCCTTCCTTACCCCGCAGAAAATCAACACATGAAAACCATGTAATTCTTCCCCTTGTTTTTCTGATCTACATGGCGGATTCTCATGGATTTATTTCAGGATTTTCCACATCTTCCCGGTGTTTTCTCCCATTTTCTCTCCACCTGGGGCTGAAAGCGTCCAGCAACGGTTTCGGGCACCTTCCAACTGACCTCGCAACACCTGATGCCGTGGCTGACACCCATCGCCGCAGGTCGGATCCGGTCGGGCAATGGCAACGGGGAAAAGGCAGGGCTGATGGGCTGGTCCTTTAAATGATCTTACCTAAAGGATCGCAAAGAACAATTCGAAAAATGGAAATCACTGGAAAGCCTTATTGAAATGTTTTCAGTTAGAGTTTTCAGAGCTCCCGGACTGACGCAAAACTTTCATGCTAGCTGCTAGCTTTCAGAGACTTGGCTGCTTGCATCAAGCTACGGCATACTATACTGGTTCACTCCAAGCCTCAAGAAAATGGCTGCGACAGTGTCTCATGACAGGGCAAAGGCTAAATCAGAGGCATTCACTTTTTTGATTGGAAAGAGGTTTTAGTTTTAGATTAGTTTCACTTATGGTCGGCAAGCAAAATCAAAGCATACCAGCTCAAAAGCTACAAATCCTTTACGGCCCAGGAAGTCTTCGAGGACCTATCGGAATGTTGAGTTTCCGCCCACTTTTGGGCAACCAGTAACATATAGTACATAACATGCCCAACCTTTGCTGGAACCCAAACTGCTCCTGTTCACTCGCTGTCTTGGTCCCGCGAAGCCGACACCGGCGTCGGTCCAGTGAAGGGTGTCGCCACTGGGGACTGCAATAAAACCTATGGCAGGGAGGGCTGCAGACTTGTGTGAATGCAGGTCACATCACTGATTACTCGGCATCAATTACTTACATATCTCAAGAATTCCCAACCTCAAGATTCATAAAGACACTGATGAAGACACTGGGACTACCTGTTGCTTGGGTCCTTCCTTGGGTCCTGGGGTTGATAGGTCGGGTCATGTCGCAGCATGTCATCTGGCACGGGCACTTTCCGCGCTCTAAACCTTAACCATGGATGGGTGGACGGATGGATGGATGAATGGACGGACGGACGGACGGACGGATGAATAACTATATTATATTATACGTATTGTCGATATAAGTATAATATATGCGATTGACATTGCTCTGAACATATTGATAAATGACACACATGTCCGTGTGCGTGTTTGACGTACATGCAAACGTTTTTTAAACACAACCAGACAATGGAATGACACCCCACCTCTGCGCAGGAATGGCTGGACTCCGAAGTGCCCGCCCATCCATGTTGCACTGAGCCTCGGCAATCCATCTTGATCCATCTTACAATTCGGGTGAGGACACCACTTGTAGCCAGTTCGGCAGCGCACAGGGGGTGGAGCATCCAAAGCAATGGAGTTATATGGAGTACCACGGCCATGCATGTCAAGATTGCAGAGCACAAGAATTCTAATGGATCTAGAGGTCTGGGAGATTTGAAAGCCAACACTGAACTATCACGCCACAGAGGTAAGGTGACCGACATGGCCGCCCCAAATGAAACACAGCCACCCATCACAGCTGGTTCCCAACTGACACGTTGAAGTATCTATCCTCCTGCCAAGCTTAAAGAGTCTGAAAGAATCAACGTCCAATTTATGTTCGAAGTATTTCGAAGTCATCTTCCATTTGTTTTTTTGGTGTGTTTCTCGCTGTTTTCCAACTTCAGCATCACCAGCATCCACCAGCAGCTCGTCATTTTCGCCTCAGCTCGGATAGCCAGCTGCCCCCAGCTCCCTGCAGGACGTCTCCTGCCAGCTGCGGCCGTCCGACAGCAGCAGCCGCAAGGGACGAAGCGGTCCCAGGGCCTCGAAGACCCGCGGAATCAGCTGCTGCAGCGAGGCAGACGCGTCGACCGCGTCGACTTCCAGGTCTAGGACCTGCTCACCTGGCACAGGTAGCTGTTGACTCAAGACATTTGAGCCAGTGCCCATTTTGTGAACAAAACTAGACGACGGTTGGCCCGAGAGCGAAAAAGATGTTTTTCAAGCAGCTCTGAGGATGGTAGTCGTAAACGATAGTCGGTGAATGGTTGGTGAATTTTATATGAGCTATGGAGGGATAAGGTGTGAAAAGTAAGATTGATTAAGAAGAGGATACTTGGTAAAGGGCATCAGATGACACGTGTCTTGCAACCACAGAGAGACATAGATAGAGAGAAAGAGGGGGGAGAGAGAGAAGGAAAGGGGGATAGAAAGAAAACATGGAGAAATATAATGTGAGCAACAAAAGTGCACAGGAGGCTCGGTACCATGATGCTGCGAATGACATGTGTTATCTCATTTTACTATGGTAATTCCTACACACATTGCCGAAAAAGCTCGGCGCCATCATTCCGTGGATGTGAAGAAACGCGACGCTTTTATACAGAGACGCTTTTACACACAGCAGCTTTTACACACAAACACTTTTACACAGAGACGCTTTTACACACAGAAACTTTTACACACAGAAGGTTTTACACACAGACACTAGACACTTTTACACACAGAGGCTTTTACACACAGACGCTTTTACACACAGACACTTTTACACGCAGACACTTTTACAGGCAAACACTTTTACATACAGACACTTTTACACACAGACGCATTTACACTGTACACACAGACGCTTTTGCACACAGAAGCGTTTACATTCTGTTTTTGACATCAAGCACATGATGGCATCGAGCTCTGTTGCAAACGTTTGCAGACATTTCACTAGTGAAGTGTCACATGTGTGATTTACAGCATCATGGTACCGATCTCTTTTGAGCCATTTATGTGGGAAGTTCATAATAAAATGAAATAACATGTGTCATACACGGCATCATGGTACCGAGCTTTTTTGGGCCATTTATGTGAGATTTTCCATCATAAAATGAAATAACATGTGTCATACACGGCATCATGGTACCGAGCTTTTTTATATAGACTGCGTGGGATATTCCCAAAATAAAATGAGATAACGTGTGTCATTTATTGCACTATGGTATTGGACCTTTTTTTTGCGCAAACGTTTGCAGACATTTCACTAGTCAAGTATTGTCACATGTGTGCTGACATTTGACACACTAGTGAATATACTTATGACATTTTAAACGCAGACGCTTTTACACAAAGACACTTTTACACACAGACACTTTTACCCACAGAAGCTTTTACACACACACACACTTTCACACACACAGAGGCTTTTACACACACAGACGCTTTTACACAGAGACTTTTACACACAGACGCTTTTACACACAGACCCTTTTACACACAGAAGCTTTTACACACAAGAGCTTTTACACACAGACGCTTTTACACACAGACGCTTTTATACACAGAGATTTTTACACACAGACGCTTTCACACACAGAGGCTTTTACACACAGAAACTCCTGTACACACAGACGCTTTTACACAGACACTTTTTCACACAGACGCTTTTACACACAGACGCTTTTACACACAGACGCTTTTACATACTGACGATTTACAGACAGACGCTATTACAGAAAGACGATTTTACACACAGACGCTTTTACGCACAGACGCTTTTACACACAGACGCTTTCACACACAGAAACTCCTGTACATACAGACGCTTTTACACAGAAACTTTTTCACACAGACGCTTTTACACACAGACGCTTTCACACACACAGACGCTTTCACACACAGACGCTTTTACGCACAGACCCTTTTACACACACAGAAGCTTTTACACACAAGAGCTTTTACACACAGACGCTTTTACACACAGACCCTTTTACACACATTTTGCACACAGACGCTTTCACACACAGAGGCTTTTACACACAGAAACTCCTGTACACACAGACGCTTTTACACAAACACGGACGCTTATACACACGGAAGCTTTTACACACAAACGCTTTTACACACAGACGCTTTTACACACAGACGCTTTTACCCACAGACGCTTTTACGCACAGACCCTTTTACACAGAGAAGCTTTTACACACAAGAGCTTTTACACACAGACGCTTTTACACACAGACGCTTTCACACACAGAAGTTTTTACACACAGACGCTTTCACACACAGAAGCTTTTTACACACAGAAACACCTTTTACACACGGACCCTTTGACACACAGACGCTTTTACACACAGACACTTTTACACACAGACTCCTCACAAAGACGTTTACACACAGAAACTTTCACACAAAGCAACTCCTTTACACACAAATACTTTCACATATAATAACCGACCCGTGAAATCGCAATTTTTCCTTAGTTTTTGACGTCCAACGTCCATTTTGTGCGAAAGGCTTGCGATGGATACTTCAAAATCGCAATTTGTCCTCAATTTTTGACGTTCAACGTCCATTTCGTGTGAAAGGGTTGCAAAGTGACACCTTTTTTCGCAATTTTTCCTCAGTTTTTGACGTTCAACGTCCTTTTTGACGTTCAACGTCCATTTCGTGCGAAAGGGTTGCCCGGGGACACCTTAAATCGCAATTTTCCTCAGTTTTTGACGTTCAACGTCCATTTCGTGCGAAAGGGTCGCGATGGACAAAGTAAACTCGCAATTTTTCCTCCGTTTTTGACGTCCAACGTCCATTTCGTGCGAAAGGGTTGCCGCGGGACAAGTTAAATCGCAATTTTTCCTCAGTTTTTGACGTCCAACGTCCATTTCGTGCGAAAGGGTTGCGTTTCGTGGCGCTCCGGCGGCACCGCCCCCGCCTTAAGAGAGAATATAAAGAAGAGCGAGAGGAGATCTGCAGATGTGAAGGTGTGAAGATGTAGATCTGCAGATGTGAGGGTGTGTGAAGATGTGGATCTGCAGGTGTGAAGGTGTGAAGATGTAGATCTGCAGATGTGAGGGTGTGAAGATGTAGATCTGCAGATGTGAGGGTGTGAAGATGTAGATCTGCAGATGTGAGGGTATGAAGATCTAGATCTGCAGGTGTGAGGGTGTGAAGATGTAGATCTGCAGGTGTGACGGTGTGAAGATGTAGATCAGCAGATGTGAGGGTGTGAAGATGTAGATCAGCAGATGTGAGGGTGTGAAGATGTAGATCAGCAGATGTAAAGGTGTGAAGATCTAGATCTGCAGGTGTGAAGGTGTGAAGATGTAGATCAGCAGGTGTGAGGGTGTGAAATCAGCAGGTGTGAGGGTCTGAAGATCTAGATCTGCAGGTGTGAAGGCGTGAAGATGTAGTATAACGGCCGCTTTTTTACGAAGAACCCTTCGCAGGCGCTCTCGGGAAAAAGGTCAGTACCATGATGTGAGGGTATAACACATGTTATTTCATTTCACTATGGCAAATCTCACATAAATGGCACAAAAAACCTCGGTACCATGATGCTGTGAGTTACGCACTCGAAAATCCAATGCAGAGAATTCGTTCTCCGACTTCGAAACTGAGAGCACAATTCGTAAGTTTGACAGTGGGCATGGGCACCTTCGAAACTGAGAACACAATTCGTGAGTTTGCCACTTGGGATGGGCATCATTGTCGAACATATCAACCAAAAATCAGTTTGAAAAAGAACGGTACCGTAATTCACCGGGAAGACACATGTTATTCCATTTTAATATACAATTAATTGCCACACCAAACGAACCGAGCTCCACACGTCCTAGCACGGATGCACTAGCAAGCATTTTCACCCTCAATCTCTGACAGTTCCATGTCGTGCGGTAAAACTACACACAAAAGCTTTTACACATGGTGCTTTTACACAAACACACTTTGACACACAGACGCTTTGACACACAAAAGCCTTTACACACAAACGCTTTTACACACAGACGCTTTTACACACAGACGCAACGCTTTTACACACAACGCTTTTACACACAGACGCTTTGTTTACACACAAACGCTTTTACACACAGACGCTTTTACACACAGACGCAACGCTTTTACACACAGACGCTTGTACACACAACGCTTTTACACACAAAAGCTTTTACACACAGACGGTTTTACACACAGACGCTCTTACACGCAGACACTCTTACACACAGAAGCTTTTACACACAGACGCTTTTACACACAGACGCTTTTACGCACAGACGCTTTTACACACAGACGCTTTTACACACAAAAGCTTTTACACACAGACGGTTTTACATACAAACGCTTTTACACGCAGACGCTTTTACACGCAGATGCGTTTTACACACGCACACACGCTTTCACACACAAACGCTTTTACACACAGACGCGTTTACACACAGACGCTTTTACACACAGACGCTTTTACACGCAGATGCTTTTTACACACGCACACACGCTTTCACACACAAACGCTTTTACACACAGACGCTTTTACACATAGAGGCTTTTACACACAGACACTTTTACACAAACGAAAGCGTCCATCGCAATTTTTCCTCAGTTTTTGACGTCCAACGTCCATTTCGTGCGAAAGGGTTACGATTGACCAAGTAAAATCGCAATTATTCCTCAGTTTTTGACGTCCAACGTTCATTTCGCGCGTAAAGGTTGCCGGGGACGCTTCAAAGTCGCAATTTTTCCTCAGTTTTTGACGTCCAACGTCCATTTCGTGCGAAAGGGTTGCGCGCGACGCTTCAAAATCGCAATTTTACCTAGGTTTTGGACGTCCAACGTCCATTTCGTGCGAAAGGGTTGCGTTTCGTGGCGCTCCGGCGGCACCGCCCCCGCCTTAAGAGAGAATAGAAGAAGAGCGAGAGGAGATCTGCATGAAGGTGTGAAGATGTAGATCTGCAGATGTGAGGGTGTGAAGATCTAGATCTGCAGGTGTGAGGGTGTGAAGATGTAGATCTGCAGGTGTGAGGGTGTGAAGATGTAGATCAGCAGATGTGAGGGTGTGAAGATGTAGATCTGCAGATGTGAGGGTGTGAAGATCTAGATCTGCAGATGTGAGGGTATGAAGATCTAGATCTGCAGGTGTGAAGGTGTGAAGATGTAGATCTGCAGGTGTGACGGTGTGAAGAAGATGTAGATCAGCAGATGTGAGGGTGTGAAGATCTCAGATCAGATGTGAGGGTGTGAAGGTGTGAAGATCTAGATCAGCAGATGTGAGGGTGTGAAGATGTAGATCAGCAGATGTGAGGGTGTGAAGATGTAGATCAGCAGATGTGAGGGTGTGAAGATGTAGATCAGCAGATGTGAAGGTGTGAAGATGTACTATAACGGCTGCTTTTTTACAAAGAACCCTTCGCAGGCGCTCTCGGGAAAAATGCTGAGTTGAGATAAATAATAGATAAATACTCTAATGAAATTGAGACTAAGACACTATGAACATATATGTGAGTCATTGTGAATCACATATGTCCAACATACCTCTGAGGCCCCCGAGACGACCGTGCCTCCCAAACTGCAGAGGCAAACGCGCAGGCCGTGGGAAGTCTTGGTGAAGGATGAGGTCAGCACCGAGGCGGGGTGGCTGTTGCGCGTTGTGAGCCATTCCTGGGTTGATCCCCTTGGGCGATATGCCGACCCCCTGTGCATTCCCAATGACTTAAGATGATCACGGGATACACCATGTGGATCCATGTGGGATCTTCCACTCCACCTTGGCCACTGGACTTCCGCAAGATTTTTGTGATCACTTGGAATTGAAAGCACAAAAACCTTCAAGGATGAAGAACTATAAGAACAAAGTAAAACAAGAAGGAACGACATATGTCAACAGCAAATATTAATGTGGTAAACTAATTAATAAGAAACTTCTATTGGGGATTGATTATTCTTAAATTTACCACATTAGTCGCCTCTTTGTTCATTTCAGACCCCCGGAAAAATCTGCAAGCCACTTGCGATGGTCATGGCATATAATGTGTAAATCCGATGTGACATCGGCAAAACCATGAAAGCATCAGCCGGTGAAGTTCCGAGAGTCTATTTTCTTCATTGCACTGCGGTATGCCTCATCCTTCTTCAGCTTCTTGGGAGTGACATGCTGCAATTCCAGACTACCTGAGCTCAGTGGCAAATGGCTCACCCCCAATGGGGATTTCTACGGCACCAAGGCACGAAGGCAGCAGTTGGTCTCCAGTGCGCTGGCCAGAAGCCTCATTGGAACTGCGACCAATGGGCACCGTTGGGTCATTGATTCATTGATTTCTAGTGCTGATTAGCCATGAGGTGACATGGCTTAATGGCTTAATGATACCTCAATATTTGCAGATGATGCAGCACCCCTTTTGCTGGTACTCAATGTCTTCCCATCCGAGTTGTTGCTTCCAACATCTTTGAAAGACCAACCAATATTGTGTTTGGGGTTCTTATTTGCATCATCTTTTGGTGAGCTAATCATTCAATTTGGGCATCATCCCCCATGACCTCCTGACCAGACCAATTTTTGCTGCTAAAGCACGCATGTGTTTGGCTTATATAATTAATCCCGGAACTGGGCGAATTGTAAACTAATACTTGACGTGCTCCTGACTTGTTCCGTCAACAAACCCACTCATTGGTTCAACCGCAGCTTCCCCGCGTGTCAAATCATTGAGAGTCATCGTCCCGAAAAAAAGGGCGAATTACACATAATGTTGGACAACGATTAGCACCATGATATTAAATACTCGCAACATATCCAAAATGCATTCAGTTTTCCCTGTTTGGTTGGCATTGTGCTGCATAGTGTGGCAGGTTTTCCCAAAACGTGTCTTACTTAGCACTTAGCAGACTTAGCACCATTCCTCTAAAGTAGGCCAAGGTTTCCAAAGAAGAAGACAAGAACAAGAAGAAGAAGAAGAAGAAGAAAAAGACTAGACGACGGATGGCCCGAGAGCGTAGAGGAGCAGAGTCTTCTGTTGTTAGTATGGAGACACTATATTACAAGATAATATGATAAAGATGTATTATAGGCAGACGAGAAGAGTAGTATCAAGACAATATATGACTAGTACAAGACAATAGTTTGCATCGTATTTTTGTAAAGTTTTTCATACACAGAACTTTTTACAGACAGACTCTTTTGCACACAGAGACTTTTACACACAGACGCTTTTACACAGAGACGATTTTGCACACAGAGACTTTTACACCCAAACACTTTTACACACAGAGACTTTTACACACACAGACGCTTTTACACACAGACGCTTTTACACACAGAGGCTTTTACACACACACGCTTTTGCACACAGACGCTTTTGCACACAGACGCTTTTGCACACAGACGCTTTTACACACAGACGCTTTTTACACACAGGCTACACAGACGCTTTTACACACAGAGACTTTTACACACAGACGCTTTTACACACAAGCGCTTTTACACACAGACGCTTTTACACACAGACGCTTTTACACACAGACGCTTTGACACACAGACCCGTTTACACACAGAGGCTTTTACACACAGAAGCTTTTACACACACACGCTTTTACACACAGACGCTTTTACACACAGACGCTTTTACACAGATGCTTTTACGCACAGACGCTTTGACACACAGATGCTTTTACACACAGACGCTTTGACACACAGACTCTTTTACACACAGAGGCTTTTACACACAGAAGCTTTTACACACAGACGCTTTTACACACAGACGCTTTTACACACAGACGCTTTTACACACAGACAAGTCCGGCACAAGTAAAATCGCAATTTTTTCCTCAGTTTTTGACAATCGACCCTCATTTCGTGCGAAAGGGTTGCTCCGGGGGCAAGTAAAATCGCAATTTTTCCTCAGTTTTTGACGATCGACCCTCATTTCGTGCGAAACGGTTGCTCGGGGGCAAGTAAAATCGCAATTTTTCCTCAGTTTTTGACGATCGACCCTCATTTCGTGCGAAAGGGTTGCTCCGGGACAAGTAAAATCGCAATTTTTCCGCAGTTTTTGACGATCGACCCTCATTTCGTGCGAAAGGGTTGCTCGGGGGCAAGTAAAATCGCAATTTTTCCTCAGTTTTTGACGATCGACCCTCATTTCGTGCGAAAGGGTTACTCCAGCACAAGTAAACTCGCAATTTTTCCTCAGTTTTTGACGATCGACCCTCATTTCGTGCGAAAGGGTTGCTCGGGGACAAGTAAACTCGCAATTTTTCCTCAGTTTTTGACAATCGACCCTCATTTCGTGCGAAAGGGTTGCTCGGGGACAAGTAAACTCGCAATTTTTCCTCAGTTTTTGACGATCGACCCTCATTTCGTGCGAAAGGGTTGACGTTTCGTGATTCGCCGCCGGCACCACCCTCGGCCTTAAGAGAGAAAGATAAAGAAGGCGAGAGAGAGAAAAAAGGGAGAGAGAAAGGAGAGAAGATGTGAAGATGAGCAGATGTGAGAGAAGATGTGAAGATGAGCAGATGTGAGAGAAGATGTGAGAGAAAATGTGAGAGAAGATGTGAGAGAAGATGTGAAGATGAGCAGATGTGAAGATGAGCAGATGTGAGAGAAGATGTGAAGATGAGCAGATGTGAGAGAAGATGTGAGAGAAGATGTGAAGATGAGCAGATGCGAGAGAAGATGCGAAGATGAGCAGATGTGAGAGAAGATGTGAGAGAAGATGTGAAGATGAGCAGATGTGAGAGAAGATGTGAAGATGAGCAGATGTGAGAGAAGATGTGAAGATGAGCAGATGTGAGAGAAGATGCGAAGATGAGCAGATGTGAAGATGAGCAGATGTGAGAGAAGATGTGAGAGAAGATGTGAGAGAAGATGTGAAGATGAGCAGATGTGAGAGAAGATGTGAAGATGAGAAGATGTTTTACAGACCCCCACTATTGGAAGAACCCTGCGCTCAGACGCTCTCGGGAAAAAACAATAAACAAGCAACGAAGGAATAAAGAAAGGAACGAAGGGAAGATAGAACAAGAAGAAATGAAGAGAGACACAAACAAACACAGAAAGGGAGAAAATATGAGAAAAGATGAGAAACGATGAAAAGATGAACAAATGAGGAAAAAATGAGAAAAGAAAGCGAACGGAAGAAACAAGGGAACAAAATGAAACAAACAAAAGCAGGACTCAGCAGAATCTGATGGAATCTCTGGTGAAATCAGTGGTGAAAACCACCGAAGTGTTCGGTGGAACCGAGTCACTGCGCCTGCGCGCCCGTGAAGAGATCGCCTAAGGATATCAGTTCTCTCAGGCCGCTCACCTTCAAGGCCTCCGCCAGCTGTGTGGCGTCATCCACCTGGCAATGCCCGAAGTAAACGAAGCTTGAAAGCTGGGGAACATCTGGGAAAATCCTTTATAAACCCTGGGAATGCCATCTATGAATGAAGGAAATGAATGGAAATGAGGGATGTTACAAGTAAATCTCCCATCGCCACAATCTGGGACTAGAAATGGAAGGTCGGACCAGGAAACAATGGTGGTTTAATATTGTTTAATCATGCTGAAATGGGGGACAAATCGTTAGTTGAAAGATTGGAAAATGATACCCAAGAATCAACCCGAACCACTGTGGGTTTACCATCATAATCAAGGGTGATATAGCCACTAAGAGTTGGGATTTAAATGGATGTACTAACTCATCTAACTCACTTCGTGGCCCATCTAAGATTTTTTGGTTCAACCAACATCACCAAGCAAAACTGGTGCTTGGAGAAGCGTTGATCCCTTCAAAACTGTTAACAGGTTTCAAACCATCCAATCTGCAGCTAGAATCTAAAATATAATAATTACTGTAATCTATTTTCACTGATGAAATGGTGAAATATCCATAATGTCATGTCACGATTCATCATCCCCCCAGCTAACAACACACCCCTGGAGGACTCGAGGCAGCACCTGCCCCGAGAAGATCAATTCCTGAAGGCTGTGATTCTGCTGCAGGCCGCCTACGCCAAAATCACGGCGCACTGATTGCCACAGGCTAATGGGAAATGATGGGAAATGATGGGACGTGACACATCTACGATCATCATTGATGATCATTGATCATCTATGTAGAAACAAAAAAAGAAGGGGCGTGGGTCAAGAGTTCAGAAGATGGCCAAAACCAGAAGCCAGGCCTAGACATTCTCCATTCGCGTCGGCATCTGTCAGTCCATTCCATTGGAACGAAGATTAGGTTGCCCTTGTCATGTGTTCTTTACTTCAGCCTAGGTCGAAACAAAACATTGGTCGAAATCGACCCAAAATTTCTACGGCCCGACCTGCTAGGGCGTTGAAGCTCTCATTGTCGAGGCCCACCTCCTGAAGGTTCAGCCTCTTCAAGCTTCGGTTGGATGCCAAGGCTGTGGCCACAACCTGCTGGGGACGAGCAACACAGTGTTGGGCGATAGGTCCGATAGGGGACCATTTTTAGTGGTTTGTTTATCATCAGCTTAGGAAATAGATACATATTACATATATATATATATATTTGGATGATATAGTTAGATGATATAGTTAAAATATGTTGCTGCAATACCATGTTCAACGCCCCTGAGATTTTATCCAATTTTATTGGTATATATTTGTCCTTAGGTGAGAAACCCAACAGCATATTTCATCCTAATCATCATGCCAATCATCATCCCAATCATGTTGACATCATCTTCACATCATTGTGGTTGGTGGTTTCAACCCTTGGAAAAAATCCTGGGCATTGGGAATTGGGAAGATCACCCATTTAAACCCCTGATGGATGGACTGATGTGCCCTGATAAACGGGTTGATCTAATGCAACTGTTGATTATAACTGGTTAACGCTGATTATATTTGTTCCCGCACAATCCCATCATATAAATCTCTACTTTCGAGGTCAAAATCCAACTAGAAACCAATTAATACCGGATGAATATTCCATGAAACTCATCTATCTCCATTCATATGCCAGAAATTCTTAAGCCATATTTTTTTGCCAGGGCTTCTCAGAGGATTTGCCCCACCACACTGTTTTTTTTTCGCCATTCACATCACAACATCCCCCAATTGCAATGACCATGGTGACCAAATATCCCATGAAACTCTTCTATCTCCAGTATCCCAGAAATTCTTAAGCCATTCACATCCCTTCATAAATCCCAATAAATCCCCAATTAAAATGACCATGGCACAGGTCTTGCCTTGACACCACCTTGGAGCGGATTTCGCGAGAGGTCCAGCCGCTCCACCGACGTCGCCAAGGGCGCCAGGTCAGACATGTCGGCCTCGAAGCAGAGCGTCTTCCATGAGACTCACTAAGAATAGGGATTTTCTGATGATTTACAATATTATATATATATGTGGATCTATCATCACTTAGTTGGTAAACATTGGTTAACTTAGATTAAGTAGGGGTTATGGCGGATAGATCTACACATATATGTATATATATATATAATGTAATGAATATGGATATAATACAATATGATAAAATAATATATAGTATATTATAATATAGTAAAACAATAAAATATACTATGATATACTATGATTGATTGGTTGATAGATAGATAGATAGATAGGTAGATAGATAGACAAATAAATAAATAGATAGATCGATAGATCGATAGATCGATAGATAGATAGATAGATAGGTAGATAGATAGATAGATAGATAGGATAAGATAAGATAAGATAAGATGGGATAGATAAGATAAGATAAAATAAGATAAGATAAGATAGATAGATCGATCGATAGATAGATAGATAGATAGACAAATAGATAGATAGATAGATAGATAGATAGATCGATAGATCGATAGATCGATAGATCGATAGATAGATAGATAGACAGATAGATAGGTAATCGGGTTGATTGATGTTTATAAAAAAAAAGTGTAGATTTGTGGGTTAGAATGATCAAACAATACAGTGGTTCGTAAAAACTGTTCAGGCCCCCAAGAGAATCCAAATTAAGCTCCAGCAAACGAAGATAACAAATAGATCAGGAAAACACAGGAAAAAAAACACTGCTTTCCCATGGAAATGATCGGTGTTCCATATCTTTCTTGATAGCATCCTGGAGGTTTTCACCCAAGGATCATCCCATCGAATCCCAGCGTTTCAGTTGGTTTATATCACAAACTCTGGTAAGTTAGCATAACTAGCGAAAATTACCCATTAACTTTGGTGATTTACCTATTAAACATTGCGATTTTCGATAGCTAACTCTTGAGATACCGGAGGATATTGACAAATATGTCATCAATATCCCGCTACTATTCCACAATATCCCCGTTGAGTCCTACCTATGTGGTTAAGATAGTGTTAAGCGCAGGACATAACATACATGTTCCCCAAGTACCCCCAGGTAAATCCCATAACATCCTATGAAAATCCTATGAAATCATGCCCCCAACGCCTCGCTCAGGCCGCAGTTGGAGAGGCTGAGCTCCTCCAATTGGATGCGCATCAGCTGGGCCAAAGCTCCACAGCCCGACAGGTGAGTGCCGGAGAGATTCAGCACCTGTAATGCGGGAAGAATGGGGAGATTTTCGGGGGATAGACTGGGGATTTACCATGATTTACCTTAGGGTAAGCTAATATACATGTGGAACATGGCCCATTGATATACAAGTGATTTACCTATAGAAAATGGTGATTTGTTTCACATCTATGTTAATTTACGGGAGGGTACATTGGGATACCATCCGCCCAATTAACACTTTGATCCTGGGAATGACTGCAATCTTCCAACAGCCGACTTATGGCGAGGTCTATGTTAGTTGGGAGGAGGGTGTGTTAATTGATGATTGGCATTATTTCATGAGGATTGTATGGGATAGAAAGTGGGGGAACCATGGGAAGCCAACAATTTAAGGATGGAATCTGCAAGTTTGGGCAGCTTCTGACAAATCTAGTTGTTACTAGGTACAATGTTTTTTCAGGAAATACCCAATCGTGGAGTCGTGGAGGGTTTATCCACTGGAATTGCCCATGAACAACGGACAACATGGACAGGCCCTAGGGGAGGTTTAAGACCCATGGTTTCAACATCCTTTAATCCTTTAAAAGTCTGGGCTACTTGGAGGATCATCCCACTTAGTCTTATTAGCAACTGGTTGGTAATTCTGGTTTGCTCCCCTCAAAGTGGCTTATCCCATGTTGGTTGAAGCAACACGTCACTTCTTGCACACCAAGTCCCACTGGGAAACTGCTGAAACGCACCATAATCTTCAGCAAAATCCATCCAAAATCCATATCCCCATGATATCCCCATCATATCCTCTTGATATCCCCATGGCATCACATGGCATCCGACCCATCCGGCGCCTTCAAGCTGCAGGGAGTCGCCAGCAGCTCCAGCAACGGCTTCAAGGCCGACAGCGTCGGCTGGCAGCGAAGCGTCGTCAAGGTGGAGCTCACCGCAGTGGCCTGGGATGTATATAACAGGTAACAATAGTTTCAGTATTTAAATGGGGGGAATTCGACATAACCACCTAAAATCGTAATAAAATTGGTTTAATTACATGATTAATCCCTTCCTCCTAATACTAAACGTCCCCCCTATTACTAAACACGGCAGGTAGTTTTTAGTATTAGAGGGTATTTATTATTAGGGAACCCTATTGATGAAATTAAACCCTTAATATTAATAACTATTTTTCCGATCTCAAAATCAATGAGATTTCTTTATATAACGCAATTAAAATATTGCCAAAAATCGGATTTCGAAGCTTCCCCCTAATATTAAATTAAAACCCTTAATAGTAGAAACTAATTTTTCCAATCTCAAAATCAATGAGATTTCTTTATATAACGCAATTAAAATATTGCCAAAAATTGGATTTCGAAGCTTCCCCCTAATATTAAATTAAAACCCTTAATAATAGAAACTAGTTTTTCCGATAAACATCAATTAAATTTCTTTATATAACGCAATTAAAATATGGCCAAAAAATTGATTTCGAAGCCTCCCCCTAATATTAAATTAAAACCCTTAATGATAAAAACTATTTTTTCCGATCTCAAAATCAATTATAGGTTTCTTTATATAACGCAATGAGAATATTGCCAAACATTGGATTTCAGAGCTTCCCCCCAATACTAAATTAAAAACCTTAATATAAAGAACTAAAAACATCGGACGGACCCTAATAATAAACACCCCGAAGTTGACTAGTTTTTAGTATTAGGGGGGAAAACCCACAAATGGCAGCTTGATTTTAAATTGTTTTCTAAAGGGGATCAATTAAAAGTCAAATTGGCCAATCTGAAATTTTCAAAAATTGGAGATGGACACTAGTCTTTAGTATTTGGGCGGGGTTTAGTAATAGGAGGAAGGGATTAATACTTATACTTATGGTAACCGACAGAATTATGGAAAAAAAAACGTTCAACTTAGACAGGCGGCGCCTGCGTCCGATTTTTCCACAATTGGGTTTTTCCCCATAAGGGTTCAAAATATCCCGGAAGTGATCCGAACCTTTTTTTTTCCATAATTCTTGGAGGTGGCCATTATTTCCATAATTGATTTTTCCTGTAAAATCAGGGGGCTAGGGCAGATTGACCGGTTTTTCCATAATTATTTTTTCCATAATTACTTTTTCCATAATTATTTTTTCCATAATTAATGTTTGGGGCTCCACCTGTTGGACATGTCATGGATCCACAATTCAAACCCCTTTTTTGCGGGGTTATGGAAATATGTATGCAAATGCAAGTATGTAGTATCAACCCAATTGGTGGCTTGGCAAAAGGATACATCCCGCATATGTATGTACGTACAACAATACCCTCGTCTGTTGTCAGGGGGGGGTGGAACCCCTAAACAAATAAAATAAAATGCAGGGACCTCGGGCTCCTGCATTTTCTTTTGGGTTGATCTTGTTTTGTCTTGTTTCCTTCTTTGATTGGTTTTAACAGCAACATTTATCCACATCATGAAGCAAGTGAGATCTCCTTGGGTTCTCCTGGAGCAGCCGCGAGGGAGTTGGATGTTTAAATGTTCCTGGATGGCTGCGTTGTTTACAGTCCACACCCTGGCTGTGGTCAGCACATACCTTTGCTACTGGGAGGCTAGGCTGCAAAAACGTTGATGGCACCGCAACAAAAAAAGGACCACCTGAAGTCCTGAATCACAGACCGGGCACGGAAATCATTTGAATATATTGAACGCACCTAAGGTACACGTATGAGGATTGCTATTCTTACCCTTGGGCACCCCCATTTTTTTTGTAGGATATGTTCTTTCAATTTTCAAGATTAGGTCACTATAGTGCCTATATTGGGGGTTGGTTTGAGATGCCTGTTTTGGTTTGTCAATACTTACCACTAACTATTTGAGGGGTCCATGAAGGGTGTCTAGATATTAAGCCTGGAATCATGTATGCTGGTGAGCTTCATAGTTTCATGGCGAACAAATATGTAGACTGCCCCATGCGTCTTTGTGATGGCTGCCATCCACTAGAAATTGGGGGGCCCTAAGGCACCCGCATGAGGATTGCTATTCTTACCCTTGGGCACCCCCATTTTTTTTGTAGGATATGTTCTTTCAATTTTCAAGATTAGGTCACTATAGTGCCTATATTGGGGGTTGGTTTGAGATGCCTGTTTTGGTTTGTCAATACTTACCACTAACTATTTGAGGGGTGCATGAAGGGTGTCTAGATATTAAGTCTGGAATCATGTATGCTGGTGAGCTTCATAGTTTCATGGCGAACAAATATGTAGACTGCCCCGTGTGTCTTTGTGATGGCTGCCATCCACTAGAAATTGGGGGGCCCTAAGGCACCCGCATGAGGATTGCTATTCTTACCCTTGGGCACCCCCATTTTTTTTGTAGGATATCTTCTTTCAATTTTCAAGATTATCTTTCCCTATGTGTGCCATTTGAACTTCCCATTTTGGTTGGTTCAGAACTCTAGGGGAGGATAATCTGTTTACTTGGATTGGGATGAATTTGACCATATTTTTTGCCCTGGTTTAGTCATGACTAAGGGGCATCCGATGGAGAAACCCACGCATCTTGCTGGAGATCTTCCAGGGCTGAGTATGTTTCACAAGACTTTGCCAAAAAAAATGAGGGATAAATTTCGACAGAGAAGGGCCAAGCGTAGAACGCCCTTCAAACCATACGTGAAAGGCCCTGGTGGAAGAGTCACAGGTACAAAGCATTGACAAATCTCTGGAACGTTTCACAAAATGATCAGACCGTTCACAGCTGTGCAGCTTTGCTATCATGCTATCTCTGTCAGTTAACTTGATGGGTTATGGTTAGGCACCTCAAAAAAATAAAAGTTAACTTGATGGGTTAGGCACCTCAAAAAATAAAATGCACCCACAAAATAAAATGCCGGGGTCTGACCCATTTTATTTTCATTTTATTTATTTTAAAAGGGGCTCCTGCCCCCCCATTTTATTTTTGTACGCCGGACGGGGCTCAACAATGAGTTTTGGTGGTGCAATTGTATATCAATGGAAGACTTAGGGGCATATACCAGATCTTTAGACTCTAGACACATATTTTCTATAATTCAATCTTTCCCCTTAAAATGCATTCAAATTGCGAAGCGATGGACATACAGTCACCGACAGAATTATGGAAAAAATAATTATGGAAAAAATAATTATGGAAAAAAAAGGTTCGTAACTTTTCTATCATAGACAGGCGGCGCCTGTAAATTGAAACGTTTTTTTTTCCATAATTCTGTCGGGTGCTGCGTACTTATAAATAAATAAATAAATATATATATATATATATATTAAGTGTAAGTATGTATGTACACATTTTCATTGTATGATGTAGAAATATTATTATACATGTTCGTTGTTATTATTGTATGATATTGTATACCTATATTTATGACGATCTACTTGATCACTTGATCTATCTCATCTATCCATCTGAGTTGGTTGGGGTTCTTTGTCGTGGATGTCCATCCCCGGCAACTGGACAAGGGCGGGTTTTAGGTTCCAAATTTGGATCAATCAACTGCCTCCAGGAAACCCATTGACGATATTGACCCTTGATGTCGCGGCGTGTCGCGGTTCCGATATTTTGGTTTAACCAGTTTAACCCCTGGTGGAGAAAATCAAGGTGCTTGGGCGACATTTATGCCTTTTACTATCATACAAGGTGCGAGGTGTGTCCAACCATGGACTGAGCCCAACTAAAACGACTCTCAACTTCCAGGGGCTACTACGGTGCTGATTATCAGGGAGTTACCACTAGCTCATGAATAGAAATGATTTAGCTTTTTTTAAAGTCTCGTAAAAGAAATTTTGTTATCTAGCGTACGTGTAATGACGAGTGACATGAACGGGGGTATGAACGTGTGTGTGAACGACATGCGTGCGAGTGAATGTACGTGCGAACGTAGGTATGTACGAGTGAGCGTACGTGCGAGCGAACGTGTGAGCGTACGTCCGTGCGTTTGCACGGTCACTCGCCACGCGCGCGCGCACGTACGAAAATAAGGTCGACTTGAGTCGACCTTATTTTTGCACGACCCTGCTTCTTTAGTATTGATTTAGTATTGTAGCGCTTTGCACGTACAGAAATAAGGTCGACTCCAGTCGACCTTATTTCCGTACGTGCGTGCGCACGCGGCCAGTGAACGTGCAAACTGCGTGCAAACGCACGCACGTACGCGCACACGTCCGTCCACTTGTACGCACACGTCCGTTCACTCGTTCGCTCACACGTGCACTCGTCCGTTCACTCGTTCGCCTTACGTTCGTCACCACGTCCGTTAGCCACTCGTACCCCCTACGTTCACCGCGTCTCTTGGAGCTTTAAAAGCATTGTTTACGAGGCTTTAAAAAAAGCTAAGAAATGATACATCTGGAGACCCGGGTTCCTGTTTCAGAATGATCTTAGATCACCAGATCACCAAACAAAGAGAGCTTTCTTGCAACCAAAAGATGCACGGAACCCCCTCCGGATGAATCGCAATTTAGCATGAAACCAAAGAAACATCAAACAAATTCGCATACTCACAGGAACGCCCCCCCAAAAAAGGGAATTTCAAGTTTCAACGAACTCCATCATCTCCATATAAGTTGTTTCTCACCTTCTTTTTTCCACCCAACGCAAAACCTCAGGTTTTCTCCCCACGGCCCCCAGCTCCGCTCCTTGGCCAAGAGCTGCACATCGTCGTCATCCAAGCTCTGTGCTTTCACTTCCTGTAGCGCTGAACCAGCGATGATGGCCTTCAACTGGCGATGGCACACCTGGTGGCGAAGGGAAGCCGTGAGTTGTTCGAAAAGGTATTTGTTAAACGTAGCATCTGAGAAACCGAGAAATCTGATAGTTTGGGCAACGTATTTTTTTTGATAATTCTTGCACATCCGGAACACGGAAGGTAGATTGTGTGTTAATTAGATTTGGTGCTGTGTGTGTGTGTGAAAACCGTTATAACAAACGGTCAGTTGTTCAGTTTGGTCATTTTGACATTCGCAGGGGGCCCGTGGGCTCATGGATGGCACGGGCCAACGAAGAACCATCCATGATGTCGTGCAAACGTACCTGCACTTTGGTTTGAACTGTTGACCAAGCTGTTCCAGTTTGATCAATTTTGCTGCATCAATCCTCCAGTTTGACCAGTTTTATCAATTTTGCTGCATCAATCCTCCAGGTGACTTAGGATATTCCAGGCGTCGACAAGCTCAACTCTCTAACGTTCCTACACAAATCACAAATTCCCACAGTATGTGTGTGCGCGTGTTTGCGTCTTGGATCAGGGAAAACATCAGGTACCTGCAATGGAGGCAACTAACCTGACATATGCAGGGTGTAGACAGACCTATTGCAAGTCCATGTCAAGAAATGTCCGCCTACAATGGCCTCTTAGTATTGTATACTACGTTCATTTCAGGAAATGGATCCTCAATATTCCTCAAAAATAAAACATCCCCGAATTGCGGTTTGCTATTGGGCATACCCCAACTGTTGCGTGATTGATAATCGCCCCCGAAACAGGTAATAGTTGGACGTGGTCCATTGTGGATCCAACATTCGTGTCAACCCCGAACTAGTTAATTAAAAAACTCAATTGACAATTTGAAGGGTTACGCCGGAAACAAATAGTGATGAATTATCCACCATTCTGCTACATTGCTAATTAATTGTTCCCTTGGCACCACCTGAGTAAACATGCCCTTGGTTAGCATGACCCAAATGGCCATTCAAATGCCTCCGTACATGACGGGCCGTCTTGGTTGAACGAAAAGTCGCGCAGGGACAGGTTATTCCTGGTGGCGGTGCAGCTGCACAACGATGCAGCGATGCAGGTCTGTGGCTCAAACTTGGGTCACTTAAGTTTGAATTGGATGGTTGACTTATATTCCATATGAACATAGCTACCTATGTGGAAAACACATATATAATATGTACACATACACATAGCATATAATTTCGCATCTGCAGGTCCCTATACTTCCTAAGGTTTGGCCCATAAAACTCAGAGCTGTGATGGTCAAACCTTTTTGGACTACGAGGCGAGATAAACAAAGCCCGGCTTCGGGCTACTCACTGACATCTACTGTAAGCGCAGCCAGGAAACCGAAACTTAAAACTGGGAAAGTTGTCATTGACAGTCCTCGTTGATTTGTCAAATATATCCAAATATGGTTGAACAGCGCAGATGACTTGAAACATCTTGAAACCACTGGCCAAGAAAAATACAGTAAGAAACAACTTAGAAAACACATCACAAACAAATCCAACAAACTTGAATACCACATCCCATCCGGGGCATATGATGTACCCCTCCACCACACTTGGCTAAATGTCATCATATGTCATCACCGAAGCCGAGAGTCTGCAAACATTGGACCAACTCGATTTCCACAGATTCCGGAAGTTGCTGGAACAGGTCCATCGTGAGACTCTCCTAGGGTTGCAGGCCACGTTTGTGATCCTAGGTGATCCGGTCATTTGTAGCCACCAGTTGGAAGTAAACCTGGTAACCTTGCTCCTTCAATTCTAATGGGGTCAAGCTACACACTCTTTACATTGGGTTCAGGTTTTGGTTTTTCAACATGGGCGCCGGTGCTGATCAACCAACTATAGTTAGGAAAAATCAGGGTCGCGACGCTTGCTGCGACAGTGTCTCATGCGACCAACCGTTTACAGTGAGTTCGAAGTGAACTTGCTAGAACTTACCTAAAGCATCTACCAAGCAAAATAACATCACCTATATGGCATATGTATACATATTATATATGTATATATATTCATATATTACATATGTATACATATATATATATGTAATAAGTAAATATATATTTTATATTACATATATATATGTATATATATATATATATTAAATAATATATATATATATATATACAGTATATATATATGTATATATGTATATATATATATATATAGATATATATATATACATATATATACATATATATATACATATATATATATATACATATATACATATAATATATATATATATACATATTACATATATATATATATTACATATAAAATATATATAATATAGACATATATTACATAATATGTATATATATATAATATACATTTATAAAAACAATTATATATATATATATATGTGTATATATATATATATATTATACATGTAGGGTAAGCCCTCGCAGATCCATGACAGCTGCTTGGTGGTCTAATACCCTACACAAGACCCAATCAAGTTCTATACACCCTGTGAAAACCCTTAGCCTATAAATCCCTAAAACAAATGGTATTACATTTATAAATCACCTTGAAACATATTGGCTATACAAATACACCATCTCTAAATGCCTATAAATTGACAAATTGATGGCTGTATGGCCTCAAATACCCATGATTCTCCCCTATTAGATGCCCCTAATGGCCCGAATCTTTGTCCATGTCGATTTTCCAAATCCTGAAGAATCATGGGTTACCCCATATGACCCGCCAACACATGTTGATACTACATCAGTTGCTGCAAAAAAATGCTGGCTATACCATCACCTCTATACTACAATTAAGTAACTAAATGGGAATATCAATCTAAAAGCTCTGGTATATGATGAAGAAATAACTACCATTAAATAACTAAACAATAGCTATCATGTCAACCCTGGCTTAATGAACCATAGTTGCAAAATTGGGGGGGTTGCTCCTCAAATAGTGATTATCTGATACTTAAATGGCACCATGGTACCCTAATTAAACAGTCTAGGGGTTTCTGAATCCAGGGTTGACACTAATCTCAATGGATTGGTTTAGTTGGTAAAATCTTAACCGGAAACCATCGATTTTCCCATTAAACAAATTGGGGTTTTCCTTAACATTTTCCCTTCAACCGATCCATTGACCATGGCGATTCACCAGTATGGGCCAGGTCACCCACTTGCTTCCCTTCAACGTGGCAAAGGTCCGGAGACACTCCAGCGGCAGCGGAGCGTGTTCTGCGACCCGACAACGGGAACTCACCAGGAAAATCATGGGTTTTTGAGGAAAATCATGTACAACTGATGGATATTCCAGCACACCATGTTTGATTACCAGCATGTTTCTTAGTATTTCCCTATAAGTGCGTTGGTTCATTTGGATTCGCGTTAAAGGGAGAACATGTTGGTACATGTTTGTGCATGATACTTAGATTGAGTATCTAAGCAGCGTGAGTGGGAAAAACATGGAATGATCGGCCACGGTTTTCAGGACATCTTGGGCAGAATCTCCCCCCTACCCTCGCTCTTCTCCAGTTGACAATCTGATGCAAACTACTGGATACTACTGGGATGTTTTCTAAAATTGATTATCCTACTTAAAGGGGAGTGCGAATCTATAAATGTATATGCCATATATATATATAAATACAATACACACCATTAAATATCTATAATCTATATGCAAAAACACACACATCTATATATATATATATATATATAAATGTATATATATATATTAATGTGTATATATATATATTTAATGTATATATATATATTAATGTAAATATATATATATATATTAACAGAACTAATATATATATATATATATTAATATATATATATATATATATTAATGTGTATATATATATATTTAATGTATATATATATATTAATGTAAATATATATATATATTAACAGAACTAATATATATATATTAATATATATATATATTAATGTGTATATATATATATATATTAATATATATATTAATGTATATATATATGTATATATATATATATGTATATATATATATATGTGTATATATATATATTAATGTATATATATATATATATATATTAATGTATCTATATATATATATAAATATAAATGTATATATATATTAATGTATATATATATATATATATTAATGTATATATATATATTAATGTATATATATATATATATTAATGTATATATATATGTATATATTAATGTATATATATATATTATACATTTAGCTTGCCTATGATCCCAGGATCACCCACTCTGGCCAACTGTCCACAGGTGGACACCCTTCACCTCCGAAATCCAGGTGTTTCACGTGCGGGCCCAACTGCCGATCTGCAATCGCCGTGAACGAGGCAACACCCAACTGCATGTAGCGTAAATCCCAGGATTCGACTCTGCTATGCCTCACCAGGGGATGGACATATAGCATGTCATATAGCCAAAAAAACAATAAACAACATTATAGGGATGTTTCATGATGATTTTCCTTACTAATTGACAATTTTTCCAGTGACGGCACAGTGAGGTCACTAGAATTCCTCCACATGGCTCCTCGTGGTGTTTGCAGGCAAAAAAAAATCAACGTCACTCCACCTTAGAGCTTCTGCCAATGGAGCGCCGATGTCACCGCAGGCGTTGTGGTGCAGATCGATGCTTCGCAAACTTTGGTTTTCGGTCCTCTGTCAGCAGTGTTCGGGTTTCATCACTTGTGAAACAAATATCCAAGTTGAAAGTTGGTATCTGCTTTCCAGCAAATTCTGGAGAGAAAAAAATCAACATTTGAAAATTTCTCAGTCAATTTCGGATAGTCGTCCCATATAGGGAGAAGCCGAGGAACAGTGCCCTGCAAAGGGCTTCAATGCCTATGGCACCAATCTGGTTCCTGGAGGGGTGACATCTGGACAATGATCTGCCGGACAGTTTCAACGCCATGGAACCATAGGAGTTGGTCGCTTGGGGATTATCGTTCCATTTTGAGGAATGATACATCAAAGAAATGAGATGAAATGAGTGTGTCTGAGAATGAAGTTTACCGAATACCCGCGAAAAAAAGGACCCAAACTAGCTTTCGTTATAGCTCAAAATGATGATCAAATGCCCTATCTTCAAACAAACACACATGGTTAAAAGAACCGATGAGAGATCAGGGTGGCCCTAGAATTTGGAAAACCTGCGGCCATTCCACCAGTTGGCGAAGGACCCATATCAGTCATTAAGACTCCCGGGAATGTAAAGAAACAAAGACCTGGAAGAAGCAATTGAGTAATATTGGGTTATCATTAAGTTATCATCTTTTATTTCATGAATTTTTGGTACATTAACAATACTATTGGGTATAATGTCGCAGATGGTGGATAAATGTGGATAACATCCTTCTTTTTCATCCTGCTCGTTCCAGTTCAAACAGCGAACCGTGAAGTCTGCCACATGGTGACTTGATGTGACTTCCATTCATACAAACAGCGGGGACTTTCAACTCGGTTATCTTTTCCCGAGTATTCAAGGCATTACACATTGCCTAATGTGTGATTCTGCTAAAAAAAGTTTTGAAATTGACTTGCCTGCCCTTGATTGAAGCAAACTTATATTGTGAATGGTGATTGCATCAGGATGCCCGTGAGTCATCAAGGTCTATCACCGCGGTTGGAATCCTATGGATTCCTGGAATGGTGTACCGCAGGGTGTACCACCGGTGACCATCATTCCATAGCATCCATGGCATCCATGGCATCCATTGGAGCTTCCAACATCAATTCCGCGGTTTCATGTTCAACCGAGGCAGCCAAGGGACGCGTGAAGACACAGAATCTCCAGTTTGCTGTTGCTTCCTGGGCCAAGTTTTGGTGATGCCTATTTTGTGGTTAAAGCACAGCGAAATATCAAGCAAGGTTGATGGAATCATCACATCAATCCAACTTTTCATGAGCTAAAGACTCCAACCAAGTGTCGTAGCATCTTGGCCACTGCTGCGGCTCCCTCGTCCTCAAGCAGCTCGTGGATGAGAATCCAACATAGAATCCCAAAAGAGTGTCGGGTAATGTATGGCAATATGGAGGTTTCCTAAAATGGAGGTACCCCAATAGCTGGATGGTTAATGAAAAATCCCCAATGGATGATGACTGGGGGTACCCCCATGACTTAGGAATCACGCGGAGTTTTTGCCAGGCAAAAGGTGTGAATTTAGACAGGATCATGTAGTCCGCCCATCCTTGCCAAAGAGCGAACCTAGCCCAAGTTCCTAATCTCTTCACGTTGACTTTGCCAGCCCTTAAAAGGTAAACCCATCTAATCCAAAAATCCCAAGAGAAAGATGTATCATGATGTATAATGATGTATAATGATGTATATAACTGAATGTGTATATATATATATATATAGACATAGTGCATGTTACATGTGTATATTGACCACTTTTTTCATGGAATAGATGTAGGTACCCTCTGGTAAATTAACATAACTATGGAAAATCACAAGTTTTACATAATGGGAAAATCATTTTTTTTGCCATTTTCAATAGAAATGTTTGTTTACCAGAGGGTAATGGACTTTTCAGGTTCCCTTTCCTTCATATCATTGTAGTTCAGCTCCAGCCGTGTCAGGGAGGGATGAGTGCTTGCAGCATCAGCCACTTGAATCCTCAGTCCGGGGCCTGGATCCCATGGAAGATCGGGTCACTTCCCGGCCAACTTAGGATATAGATTCAAGATTAGAGTATATATATATATACTGTATATATATATGTATATATTATACAATGAATATACCTGGTAGATTAATTATTAACGATTACAGTGTGATTAGAGTATGATTGTGAATGATTTGCCATATTTATTGATGACTATACAGTATAATACATCAATAACAGGGCAGGCCCAAGCGGCACTGCCTCCGTTCCCAGATGGTCTTCCGTCAACAGCAAGGCCTCCAAGACCTGGTTGCGGCGCAGCACTTGCGCCAAGGCAGCACCGCAGGCCTCCGAGGACTTGGGGGGATCCAAAGGTTCCATAGAACAAGGGCTGAATGAAGAGCCATGGCATCATGGTCAAAAACTATTTTTTTGGTTCCTGTTGATGTTCCGATTAATTTCTATCTGTTGATGTTACTATATGTTACTTCATGTTTTCTGGATGTCCTGTTCTTTTTTTGGGCGAGATTTGCATTGGGCGAAGATTGAGCCTCTGATTTCCGATGGTGTTATGTCACTATCAATCAGCAATGGAAAATCAGGAACATTCATCTGTTCTCACCATTTTCCCATCATTTTCCCATACGTTCCCATCATCATTTTCCTATCAAAAGACTTAAAGTCAGCACTTTGTTCATCGACGCCTCAGCGGCTGCACCGGTCACCGACTCACTGAGGGCCCAAGACAGGTCCAAGTGCTGAATGCCAGGATGGTTTTCCTGGTCCGTGTCACACATGGCCGAGAAATTGTCATCGAAGTCAATGAGGGGGATGTGGCACCTATAGATCCGTCATCCATGGGAATCCCATCTAGGGGTATCAACAAATGAGAAAACTATAGGGGTATGATGAGTATATAGATAAACTATATAGGAATATCATGGGATATATAACCAACAACGTGGTGTATATATCTGTGTAATATCTGCTCTAATATCTATATCTATATCTATATCTATCGATCGATCTATCTATCTATTTATCTATCTATCTATCTACCTATCTATAAGCTATCGATCTATCTCTCTCTATCTATATCTATCTTCTATCTATCTATCTATCTATCTGTCTGTCTATCTATCTATCTATCTGTCTATATTGTAATTGGTATATAAAATATAGCAAGTCCCTCTGAAAATGGATTGCTGACCAATATGGGTCATTGACCCCAATATGGATGAGATCAGCCCAAAGCTCAGGTGTATCCCATTCAATTTACTAAAGGTTCCAACATCTAATATAGTCTAATCTAATCAAGTAATTTGGGTAAAACAATGCCATAAACCATCCCCCAAATCTCCATTTTCATAGATGGTATAAACCAAATAAACCAAATGGTTGGTTGGTTGGTTGGTTGGTTGGTTGGTTGGTTGGTTGGTTGGTTGGTTGGTTGGTTGGTTGGTTGGTTGGTTGGTTGGTTGGTTGGTTATGGCATTGTTTTACCCACATTGATGTTCCATTTCTGTTGGATCTGCCTTGGATGGGATTTCTGGCGGCCCAAGCGGCAAGGACTTTGCACACGATGAGCCAGCCTTCGGTTTCCAGTTCATTGTCCCCAAAGTGGAACTCTTGAAGCTTCAGGTTCGATGCCACTGCATTCCTGAAGCTACAAGTGCTTGGGTGAATCACCATCCGAAAGTGCAAAGGAGGTGTTCCTTTTTTTCTAGACTAATGTGTAGCTGCAGAAGCATGTAGCATCGTGTGATTGAGTGAAACCGGGCGATATACTGCAATTCTGCACTCCTGACTCGAACACATCAACACCCACATTGGCGCTTTAGACAGCTGTTTCATTGGCATGGGCAAATCAGGATTTTCGGCCACAACACTGCCACCCATCAGTCAGCACTCTAGATAGAACAGAAAGCTAAAAGTTATATATATAATATATATATATATATAACCATGTGAAACGTATCATACAGAATGGACGTGACATCATCACGTATCGAATTGCTGTAAGACATAAACTACAAGAAAATGCGGTGTGCCACTGTCCCTGCGAGAAATGTAGAACCCACAGTGGAAAATGGCAGCAAACCTACTCCACTCGCCTAAAAAAGGAATTGCTGGACAAACCTCCAACAGGCCCGCACTTGCAAAGAGAACCCCAGATTGCACAATGCGCGGAAAAACCACATTGCAGTGGTGGGCGGCAGGGTAGCAAGGCAAAGGGCTAATGGAAGGTGCCCAGGGGGCGCATGGGAGTACTAAGAAGGAAAAAAAATGCAAATGATGATTCTGTGCCTCAGAAGTTGTCTAGGTAGCTGCCAGCTCTGCGCGTCGTCGGAGAGCTGCACAAGCCCGGTAGGACCGCGTCACCACACAGAGTTCCTGAAGGAAGGTGGCAACGGCTTTTGCAGGGTCTGCCCCTGTACGGGCAGCTGCTGCATGCGCGATATGCTTCAAGGTGTGCATGGCACCATCGTCCCAGTTTCCTGTCGGCTCCACCACCATAGGCAAAAAGCGAATTACATGCTGCTGGCAAATGTGGCCTGTTTGCAGGTATGCAACCTTGTGCTGGGCATAGGCTGCCGCCGCCGCTCCGGGTGTTTGACTAGCCAGAGCCAAAGTCTCTTGCCGCGTGTGCGCTGTGACAGCGAAATCCAATGCAGCAGGGGACCCGGCCAAGGCAGGGATGAAAATGTCCGCAGGGCGGCGACGGCTGCTGCTGAGGTCATCGGGACTCTGAGGCAGCAGAAGATGGGCAGCTTCCTTTTCAGGACGAAGACCGGCTTGCACGGCCCACTGGCACACCAGATCGCGGACAGCATGATGCCGCCGCGTGCGTTCACCACCGGCAATGCAGGTGGCAGCATGATAGCTGTGCCGGTCCAAGATGCCATCGCAGCGAGGACACCAGGCGTCTGCATCAGCGTCAGGCACCAACAGCCGGAGGCGGAGCTCCCCACAAAAAGCTGCAGGTTCCATACGTCCGGCGCCGTGGGGAACTGCTGCAAGGAAAGCCCGGCCCCCAACAGAAGCTTCAGAATGAAGGACGGCTTGTTCGATGAGGGTTGCTTGGCTCAGCTGGTGGGCCCAGCCAGCCGCATCAACACGATGGGACAAATCGCGTTGCTTGGAGGAAAGGGCGGCCTCAACGCTCAGAGCTTGGTGTGGCGGCAGGTGGGCATTGAGGTGGGCCAAGGCGGCCGACACGGCAGGGCTGCTTTTTTGCTCATCGGCAGAAAAATTAGGTATCAATAGAAATCACAGGCCCGATGCAAACAGAGTCCCAGGCCTAAAAACAACAGGCCTAATACCGGCCATCTTATTTCCCAAACATCTTAGTTGCATCATTCTGGGGGAGCCCTTGTCCTTCAACCCTTCTTCCACCATCTCCAAACGCCAAGCTGCATGAGGTACTCCACACCCTCGACTCCCATGCGAGCGCTGTAGTTGATGCGCAACTTTTGGAGTTTTTTGACCGCCGCAATGCCAGGCGCAAGAGCCTGAACGCCAGTGGGCAGATAGAGTCGGAACCATCCTGGGTGATATCAAAAAAACAAATCATTTGGGGATAGTTATGGATAGTTGGGGAATAGCATCATTTTGTTGGCTAAGTGCTTCTGTACACGTGAAACACCAACCGTTGTAGTTTCAACAACTGTGCGTTAATGGATGGCTTACCAGCACTATTTCACCACCAAAAGACCAAAAGGTGATCGTAAAACCTCGCAAACCAGCGAAAGGCACATTGCCCTTTGGCAATTTAAAGGTTTGCAGTGGAATATCACCATTTTTAATAGGTAAGTCATAACCATCATCATCATCATCATCATCAACATCATCATCATCATCATCATCCTCATCCTCATCCTGATCCTGATCCTGATCCTCATCCTCATCATCGTCATCATGATTGTTTGGCATGTTCCATAATCCATAGATATACATGTCAAAATAAGCCAAGGGATCCAGAGGGTACCTGAAGAACTGCATTAGTGTTTGATCCAAGCAGTTTGAACCCGATTGCCAATCCTCCCGGAAAAAGAGTCCGCAAAATTTGACCTTTGATCAACCCTTTCAAACTTCGCTAGAGGGTTGATAGACACCCCATATGGATTGCCATCGAAATGGTTTCTCGCTTCGCTTGCCCAAATCTAAGCCCCCCACCCCCCTGGGTTGAATGGCTACAACGCATCCAGCCCCTGGGCCCCTGAAAGACCATGAAAGTCAAATGACCCACGCACCGTGAACTCAGAAGTAAAATGAGTCTTCGGATGTCATGAGGATTTTCTGGGCATCCCTAGCACATCGAGATTATATAATCAATCAGGACATCCCACTCAGATCAATCAAACCAGATCAATCTAATTTGCCATTTCTCTCAATAGGATTGGACTACACTGCTAGGTTAGACCCCTGTTTTTGTTGGTTAACCATCAAACCCTCCCAAATATCCTGATGCCGTTTGTAAATCCTATAATTTAAACAAATAAAACAAACTCCAAGCATTCCCCAGGATATTTCATTGCACTTGGCTTCAATTCTTTCTTGATGATTGCCATCCAGTAAATTAACATAGACCCTGCCAGATAGTGGTTGGAAGATTAGTTTCCATTAAGCAATTGGCTATTTTCAGGGTCTATGTTTATTTACCAAAGGGTAAAACCCACTATAACCCAGCCATACCACTATAACCCAGTCATACCAGCCATATAAATACACTATAACCCAGCCATACCACGCCTTACATCCCTCCGCATCCAACTGATTTCGCGTCAACGTCAGCAGCTGCAAGGTCTCATTGCAGCGCAAGGACCCGGCCGCACGCTGCGCTGCTGCCAAGTCCTGAGTGCAGGGCCCCGCGAGGAGCACGGGATGCTTTAGGGCAGCCAACATGGGGCACTTACCCTCTGGTTATGACTAACATAGCCATGGTATAGATGGCCCATAGAAATAGATGGTTTGCCTTCTTAATGGTGAAAATTGTGGATCTTTCCATGGCTATGTTAAATAACCAAATGGTAATGACAGCAATTTGTAACCGGAATTCATAACATGACCAGGAAATAGCAATTGAATATAATTGAATCCAACTGGTTAAATGCCATAACCAAACATGGCCACAGTTTTTGGGGATTTACTATGATTTATTGTAATTGAGAGCAATTTGTAAGGATATAAATGGTGGGTTAAGGTTAAATCATGTTAAATCGCGCTGATACGTCAATGGATGTAACATTTTAAAACGATTGGGGTATGCTTGATGATTTTTTATGATATGCTTCTAAGGGGCTACCTGTAGCTTGTGCAATGTCATCGTACATCTGGTACATCATCATACTATATGTTCTATTCAAGTCACTGCAGAAGCGTGGCCATATTGCCTGATGCTCAATCCCAAAGGAACTAGAAAGTGGCTCATTATTTATCATGCCACTTGAAGACTAAACGTGATGTTGACTTTGAGAACAACTTAATGACAAACTACTGTAGTTCTTTTTGTGGTCCCGAAGGGGGCTGACCCAAACCCACATCCCAGCATTTCTGAAGCTGGCATTCGCCCGTAACTGACATGCATCGCCTCGTTTGATGCTTTTAGTTTGCGGAAAAGAAATTCTATCAATCTCAACCGCAAAAAAGCTGTTAGATATCTCAAAATCCTCCGTTTACCCTCTGGTAATTTAACATAGCTATTGAAAATTGCCATTTATAGTGGCTTTACCCATGAAAAATGGTGATTTTCAATAGCCATGTTAAATTACCAGAGGGTATTTCTTGCTGAATCATCTACTTTCTTTTCTTGACGGCACCTTAGTGCGCTTTAGCTCCGCAATGATCATCCCATCCCGCGATCAGGACGATCCAACAGATTCCCCCAAAAAAATTAGGTACCCCGACAATCCCTGGTATACCCTGCTGAAAAATACCTAAAAATGTTTGCTGCTTGGTGTATCATATATATGGATAGTATATGTATATCATATGGACATATCATATGCTTGGCGTATACCATATGGATACTATCATGGTATATCATGGTATATCTATCCATATCCATTCCCTTCGCTCGCCATTTTGAATTATTTTCATCCAAGGTTCCTCTGGGAACCATCCAGAACCCCCCGAACGGTGGATTCATGGGGCCTGGGGCCCACTTTTTCGGGGGATATTCAAAATCGGAGGGACGGATGGAACAAACAAATCCGGTTGACCCAGTTCATATCGCCGTCATTTTGATTGGTTTGTAATCCCAGCACATTATGATTGAAGTTATTTAATGTTATTTCTATCCCCAGTTGGTACGTATTTTAAAAATACCCCAATATGCAAGATATCCCCATTCAGGATGTTTAAACATAACTAAAATTATCTAAAATTCATTAAACCCAGTAAAATCGGAGAGTTTTTGATGACTGCAACCCTCACTTCACTTCCGAGATGGGAATACCTGGGAGCCTGGGAATACCTGGAACATCAGAAATCCAAGCATCGATTGGCTCCCGGATTTCCAATTCCACGGCATTGGAGCTCGGTTGGAGAAAGGCCAGGAAGTCGCCGATAGTGCCAGGCACTTCGCCAGTGGCCATGGATGCCGCGTCTTTGGAAAAGGGGAAAAACAATGGAAAAACGGTGGAAAAACGATGGAAAAACGATGGTGAATCAGGAGGGTGCCATTTCTGGCTTTCATGGGGAAATCATGGCTTTCATGGATTGGTTTGAGGGATTTTTGAGTGAAACTCTCGACATGGATGGAATGTGAACACAGAAGGCCCTCATCTTAGAGGGAACTGGATCCTGAAATGCACTAATGATTAATTGTTAACCAACCTTTCAAAAAGGAGACAATCTTCAAGATTTATGAGCATGTCATGGACCATTGTGGACTACCCTCCGGTAATCAAACACGATAATGGAAATCCCCTATTTCAGAGTCCCATTAAAACCTCCATTCACAATGGATTTGTGTTTGCCATGCTGTGCTTCGAGCCTGGCTTTGAGTCAGGCTTGACCCAGCTGCTATGGTGAAGGATGCATCCAACGTGGTCAACCTGTAACCCAATTACGGTTTGGGGATGGTCGGAATCCCAAGCATTTATGAATCTCACTGAATTGGTTTCAATCTTGAGTGTTGCCATATTAATACCATGAATTCTTGCCACTGCCATTTATACTGCCAATCAGTCATTGGGATGGTTTTTCAAGCTCACCACCTGTGCCATGCCTACATTGCCAGACGCCAGCACAAAATGTGGCTCCTAAATGTTGAGGGCCTTGGAACCTTAGATAACCTTAGTCCCATCTTTACCCAATTTTCTTCCCCTTCACAGTTCCCAAACTACTGTAACAACCATTTCATGCCAGGGCCGGTCTGCCCATCGCACCGGTGCACCGAGCAACAAGCAGGGCCATTCCGCAAGGTCCCCGCATCGTGCTGCAATGGTCATGGTTTCTCCAGCGCTTGAGGTCCCTAAAAGCTATCCTATCCAAATACGGGTGTAGAATGCAATTATTTACATTAATATTATATATATATACACATGCATGTTTTATATGTTCCATATTTACACATCCTTAAATACACATGTGCAAACATATATTCTTTAATGTATGTATATATAATTATATATATAATGCGTGTGCGCGTGCATACTTCGAAAACTGTGGATTCATGGATGTTGCAAACATTTCCAAACCACGGATACACATGAATCCATTCGGCTCTTCATTCCTGCATGGCAATCAATGGCCAAGGTCAGCAACAACCTTGGTGAGACTCGGATCTTCATATGTTGCATGGATGGGAAGTTTGTTTACTCCTGTAGCAGATCCTATATTATTGGAATGATCCCTTATGATTAGAATAGGATTTGTGTAGAATGACTTCGGGTTTGGACTTTCAGTCGCTGCACGAAATGTGCATGTCTGCGGGGACAGCGGTTTCAGCTGATCCTACTTAGCGTGTCAAAACAACACTAAGAGAAGACACTGCAAAAAAAAAAGTTTTCATCTGATTGCTACAGTTTGCTACAGTTTACCCAGTTTTCTGCTGCAGTCCCCATTTTCCTGAAAACCTCTCCATACCGCATTAAGCCACAAGGAGCGTGGGCCCTTTATTGAAACTGGCAGAACGCTCAAGGGTGCAGTTCCCCTAATAGGTTAACCTTAGAATTATGAGTTATATATACCCTCTGGTTATTTAACATAGCCATGGAAAATGGATGAAAATGGCCCATTTATAGATGATTTGCCCTTTAAACCTCCATTTATAAGGGATTTTCCATGGCTATGTTAGTCATAACCAGATGGTATATATATATATCATATCCATTTCTATCACAACTTATGGAGGTTATTCATGGTTATTCTACCGCATTTATGGCATGTTATACCCATGTGAATCCATGTTAACTGTATAATTATACATATTAAATCACCCCAACTGCACCCCCAAGTGCTCGTTGAAAGCGGTCATGTCCAGTTGCCAAATATCAAACCTCCCTAACAAGCACGAACTTGGCCTGAAATAATGCCACTTTGGGTTGATTCCCCTTACTAAGAATCAACCCAAATAGATGGAGGATTGGAAAAATTGGTGGAACTACTGCAGGTTACTCACAACATGCATGAAACAGGTCAATTGTCTAGAGCTTGCTTCAGAGTGGTGTTCCACTTAGTGGATACATAACTATGGTTACATTAGTTATACACCATTTGTTTCACTCCAACTACACCCACAGCCTTTGGACTTCCAACGGCTTCAACTTCGACCAATCTGCACCCCCCCGCTGCATCCTCTGGAAGGAGTGACATGGCCCGAGTGGAGCATTCCCAGCTCTTAGAATGTCTGGATGGTTAGCATATTGAGAAAAAATATCTGGTTCCCTGAGGACTAAAAATCCGATCATTCTGAGACTGTGTTTGGAATTGGTGGTTGGGGTCTACATGCGTTCTCAGAGGGTATTTGGAGCACTAGGGCCTTAGGGTTCGTATATTGGAGTTGATGTTCAAAGAATTTCAATGAGATCCGTCTCACATGGTCTTTCGCTGGGCGTAGCCGCCAGGTACCAGTAGGATTGTGATCCCTCTGACCTTGAGCTGGTCCACTGGAACATGTCGGACATGGGAACCCCATGTTTTGAAGGAAAAACATCCACAAAGTGATGAAGTTCCATTTTCTACGTTTGTTTGCCACAAAAGGAACCAGTCTCAGAAAAGCTGCCAACATCCCAGTCATGACACGGGTACCATGTCCAGAGGCATCAGGTCATAAGTTGACTAGGAGGGAAAGTCGAAATGTCAAGAGACAGCATCCAAAGTCATGGGATAAAAACATCAAACAACGGCATGTCCCTTCTGAATGGGCACATGTATCCATGCGATAGTAGGGTTGCCTGCACCAATCAGTCTGAAATCGTACACCATGAATTCGCGGATGACTGATGATCAGGTGCAGTAGCACAAGCAGGTACAGTTTGTATATGCATACACATACTACCCAAGAGACTTATAATTTGGTCATAATTTTGGGCGAATTCTCAATGGTTCCAGGTGTTGTGCTTATTATTGCGGTTTCGTTTTCTTTGGTGTCTCTGCATTGCTCACAACTTCCGACCATGGATGCGTGTGGTTGTGTCCCCACCTTGGTTCAACGTGTATGGCATAAGTCAAACTGTCAAACATGGGACTGAATATCCTTCTACTTCCTGGGGAAAATCCCTCATCTTAGTATCTGATTTCCCGATATGTTCTATGGTTTCCCATTTCAACTTCAGTGGTTAACTGGTGGATTGGCTTGATGGTTTGGAATTGTGGCCATAACCACTTGGTCATCAATCCAAATCACTGGTCACTGGCTGTAGCAACTTCCCAAACTCCCCAGCAAAACAAGTCTAACTGAGTCTAGCCTGTTTGGGGTTACTATCAGCAGAAAAGCAGGAAAAAACAAAACACGGGCGTCGTTTTCGACACCCCTCGCGTGCTCGGTAGCTCCGCAGGAACGCCTTCAGCGATTGAACACACTGGATCAACGAGCGCAAGAACCATGGAAGCTGGGCAAACAAACGAGAATGTTCTAGTTATATACCCTCCGGTAATCAACCATGGCAATTTCCAATTTACCACATACATGGAAGTTTTAATTGGACAATCATCCATAAATATGGAGGATTGTTCATTGCTATGCTTGATTGCCGGAGGGTAAATCATGCTAAAACATGTTCAATCTCCATTGGCTAGTGGGTTCATATCCTCATGGGTCTAAAGTTTAAAGCCGTATGTGGGGAGCCACAATAATTTGCAAGATATAAGGCAGGCCATTTTGGGGTGGTTCCCCCTACGAACTTTAATCTCCGATCAATCGATCAGTCGGGGACAGCCAAGGGACAAGCTGAAGGGCACATTGAAGGTCTGACGTCAAACTGGTCTGATCATGAAAATCTATAAGGTGAAGTACATATCCCAACCTAAACCTAGATCTTGTGACCTTTGGAGACCGACCCAAAATCCGCAGCATCTGGTGTTTTCTCCACGCTGGAGAGCGTGTGTCTCACGTGTTCAGCCGTCGCTTCTTCTTTTTCTTTGGCGCGGCTGTTTCCGCTTTTTCCTCATTGCCAGTTGGTTGCCCCGCCCGCGTGACCAAAGGTGAAAACAGTTCAAACATTTCACAGCAACTGTACAGTAATCGATTCGATGATATCTGGGTGTGTCTCAAAATTGCAAAGCATCAACACTTCGGTGTTTTATCATCATGTTACCTGGTAAAACTGCAGTTTTAGGGACTTTGTGGGATCTCCCATGTTGAAAGAAACTCAGATACGGTTGTATCTTTAGCACATCTTTAAATAAACTCTTGAACATCAAAGAGAAGTAGTACAATACAAGCCCCCAAGTGCATTGTCAATTTTGTGTCACGGATAAGTTGTTTGCCGGTCACACATTTTGTGTAAAGCCTTCAATCCTAAAATGTTAGTAGCTTTACATCCATCTACCAATTTACTTCAAGACTTCAAAGATCATCACCTGGGGCCCCGGTCTTCGGGAGCGTCTGCGTCTTGAACCTACCACGAGCTCAAGGACTGGCGATGTGAACTCTGAGGTCATTTAATCACTGGTTTACTGATGAGGCACAAGTCAAGATCCTATAAGGCTTTGAGGCGCCCGAGCCCTAACCCATTAACCTATTGGACCTACATTTACCATCATTTACCCAACAAATCACCCACTTGTGGAGTTAAACGTGCAATACTTCTGGCTCCAGTCTCAAATTTCACCAACCTGAAACGCTAAAAATCGCTGGGTGTTTGCACCAATGTAAAGCACGATTTCTACTGATGAGTCAGTGCGGTTGATTTCACCTCCACGAACGGACCCATTTTGATCAATTGCTTCCCATTATAACTCATGGGACATTTACCAGCCCCACGGATTGTATGGATACCTTTGGATCCCCGTTGAAATTTGGGGGGAGAGGTTATCTCCTCTTGATGCAGGTACCTTCTGGCTGGGTACAACCCCCCAGCACTACAGAAAGCCTGGCCAGGTTCCAAATTAGAAGATACAAAAAGCTTAGCCACAGATCCAATGGCTTCAAAGACCACCAAAAGAGGGTAATCAAAAATGTTGCTGCCGAAGCCGTTTCTTTTCTCCCTGGGCATGACGTCTGTTCCAAAGGGTCTTTTTGTAGCCTATCTTGACAAGAGTTCAAATTTTGGCATATTTTGCCTTTTTTGTTATGTCCGCTGGAAGTCTCTGGAATGGTCCTTGGCAGACTGGTTTGAAACGAGTTGTTCTTAGTCTAAACTAATTATAGATCATATTGGATCTACTTTCCTCGAAAAGTTTGACTTGGGCGGGTTAGTTAGGGGGACCTGGGGGCCAGCATCCTCTTCAACCTCTCTGTTTGAAGTCCATACCTTTAGGGTTTGACTTGGGGACGTGGAGACAGGCAACTTAGAGGACATGGGGAACAGGGCACAGTGTGATGGAACCTGCCTTATGGATACCTTTGGATACCTTTGGTATCTAACCGGGACAGAAAACATGTGGCAATGCGGCGTTTGTTTGTTGCCAGCTTTGATCAAAAAACATTGCTAGACTGCTAGACTTAGATACCTGCTAAAAATGATTTGCAGATAGTCTTACCGTCCTCTATTGACAAAATATATTCTTCTCGTGGCAAACGATGGCCCATGGCCCATAGATTTAACAAACTAAGGCCCAACCTCCAAAGGCGGCGCAGCCGGCTCAATCTTCTTCGTCTTTCCTTGGCGGAAAACACCCCACATTGCCGTGATTTATGGTTAAAACTTCCATCTAAAGGAGATGTTCCATTAACATGTTTGAATACCAGAGGGTATCCTTGAGGGATCTTGAGGGTATCCATGGAGCAACTTCAACTTCAAGAGCTACCACAGAAGCTTCCCATACCGCTGTTGGATGCTTCACGGTCTCAAGGCATTTGAGGTGAGCTCAGCGTGAAAGGTCCTGCCTGCAATCTCATTATATAATATTATATACGCCTAGCCACTTGCCTCTCAATCTACTTCACCAATCAATCAACATTGTCACAACCAATTTATACCAATTTAATTATGTTTTCACCTTCCCCATGCCACCGCGACCGGTCCCCCGCCTTTGCCACTTTTTTTCGTCGCCACGACTTCTTCCAGGGCTTCTGGAGGGTCACTGCGGGGCAAACTGCCCAGAAATCCTCAAAACGACCGCGCTGCGTGGGGCGGTTAATTCAAATTCAGAGCAATGTTTTCTGGGGAGGATACGTATCTAAGATTGTCTAAGTATAGCTATGCAAATGAATGGAAGTGAGATTTTCCATTGCCAATTTGTATTAAAAAGGGGTTGCTTTTCGTATTCTTTAGTGACAATTTGGATTCATTTGGTGAGAATACGTACAGTAAATGCCTGACAGTCTTCCGTTCAAAAACCCCATCAACTCGAGGAGTTGGGATAGACTCAATCTCATAAACATCTCATTCAAAAATATAGCCTATACAATTTACTGTATATTTTCTTTTAGTACATATGGAAAAATCTATACTAAACTCATCTAAAATCCATACTTTGTGGTTTTCAGCCCAGGCATGATACAAGTTGATCTTCTATCTTCAGTTCCTGCCCCAGGTGCCATTGCCCAATGACCACGACTTGATGTCCCAGGCGCTTAGTGAATACGCGTTGTTCTCAAAGATCTTCGACATGCCAGCCTCGGCCGCTGTCTCTGATCCGCTGCGGGGATAAAAACAAAAAGAGACTTTCGGTGAAGATCACGTCTTTGGGAAATGATTTCTGGATGCAAAGAGAATCTATGGTTCAATTCTGGCACGCTTTAATCATTGTACCTAGCTGCATGTACAAAGGAATGCTTTGGGTGAATATATTAATGTACCGGCTTCAGTCAACACGTTTGTTGGTGGAAACAACTTTCAGACATGTTAAATCCGTTGAAGTTTGTTAGACCCCCTTTGCAATAACCTGGGTAAACTATCATTGTTCATCAACTATCAACCTGAAATACTATAGTATACCTGATACTAACCATCATTTCTAGCAACGTCCTGTCGTGACGTCACTAGAAATCCACGTTAAAATGACCCATCGCCCATCGCACACGAGGTGGTGCATCATCTCATTTCATATCTCCCATGGTATACCTCATTATAGTATATAAATTATGGGTACGAGTACCCTATCATACAGCAATTATGGTACCAAAGGTGGGTACAATTATATCTCACATATAAATAAATAAATTAATTAATTAATTATATAGTACAACGAATAGAAATTATGTACCACATATAAAGATATATATATATATATACACCCAGCATATCATACAGAAATTCCAATGATCTACCAACCCTTTGGATCCCCGAAAGTGCCCGAAAAGCCATCCACTGCGACCCGCACGTGTCGCTGCGACAGCTCCACCAGCAGCTGCAAACAGAGCGCCGCCACGTCGCTGTTGGCTGTCTCCAGCAGCGACCCCGTACGCGCCGTGGCACGGCCGGTGGTCATCCTGCCGCGTGGAGATTTTTGGGAAAACATGGAGAAAACACAGAGAAAACCTAGGAAAGTTGTTGGGATGTTTAAGATATCGAAGAATTGTGAATATCTGTGAATGGGGAAGATCCGCTGATTTCATCGAAGATGGGAAACCTCCATATTCCATTACAAGACCATGGGCCGAAATGGATACCAATCTGCTTAGATTGCTGGAGTGCAGCCCTCAAAAGTATGATGCTACGAGCGTCCTGCTGGGATGTTTGGGAGAAATGCAGCCACAAAATCAGGGCAAACATGTCAGATTGCATGTGAAAATCCAAGTCATCTTGGCAAGTGCTGCAGATGCTATAGCAATTGGCCAGCGCAATTCCCCGCACTGACCATCCCCAGAAGTCACAAGGGCTTAGCCAGGAACTCCCCTATAACGTTCTCACTAAGACTTCACAAACTGAAAGTGGTTCAGGATGTTTCAGGGCCTGCAGGTCTTCACCTTGCACATCCCTTACACCCTATATAGATCTATAAAAAAGGGGGGTTCCTAAAATTGGCGACCCGCAAAACCATGGGTTTCAATACTAAAATATCTAAAATGATCTAATGACTTGGATGATTTGGGATGCTCCCATGACTTATAGGACACCTCCTAATATTTACCCAGCTGAGCTTGGCCTCAACCCTTCCAACCGCCCGTCTCGAGCAGCGTCTGGAAGTGCAAATCGATGACCGCAGAGATCCAAAGCACGTGGAACTGGTAGTGAGGACTTCCCGTCTGAGGCTTGAGCCTTAAGGAAGATCGCCATAAACCAAGATCGGTGGCAACATCTAGACATCCTAAAAGCACAGGATGATGATGATGATGATGATGATGATGGTGATGGTGATGACGGTGATGGTGATGATGATGATGATGATGATGACTGATGGTGATAATGGTGATGGTGATGGTGATGATGATGATGATGATGATGATGATGGTGAATATGATGATGATGATGATGATGATGGTGATGATGATGATGATGATGATGATGTGATGGTGATGATGATGGTGATAATGGTGATGGTGATGATGGTGATGATGGTGAATATGATGATGATGGTGATGATGGTGATAGTGGTGATAATGATGATGATGATGATGGTGAATATGATGATGATGATGATGATGGTGATGATGATGATGATGATGAATATGATGATGATGGTGATGGTGATGATGGTGATAATGGTGATGGTGATGATGATGATGGTGATAATGGCGATGATGATGATGATGATGATGATGATGATGATGATGATGATGACGATGGTGAATATGATGATGATGGTTATGATGGTGATAATGGTGATGGTGATGATGATGATGATGATGGTGGTGATGATGATGATGGTGATGAAGGTGATAATGGTGATGATGATGATGATGATAATGGTGAATACGATGATGATGGTGATGATGGTGATAATGGTGATGGTGATGATGATGATGTTGGTTATGATGGTGATAATGGTGATGGTGATGATGATGATGGTGGTGATGATGATGATGATGGTGATGATGGTGATAATGGTGATGATGATGATGATAATGGTGAATATGATGATGATGGTGATGATGGTGATAATGGTGATGGTGATGATGATGATGTTGATGATGATGGTGAATTTGATGATGATGGTGATGATGGTGATAATGGTGATGGTGATGATGATGATGATGGTGATGATGGTGAATATGATGATGATGGTGATAATGGTGATGATGGTGATGATGATGATGATGATGATGATGGTGATAGTGGTGATGATGATGATGATGACTGATGGTGATAATGGTGATAGTGATGGTGATGATGATGATGATGATGAGGATGATGATGATGATGATGGTGATGATGGTGATCATGGTGATGATGATGATGATGATGATGGTGATGATGGTGATAATGGTGATGATGGTGATGATGATGATGATGATGATTACTACATCAATGATCATTGCATTAATGATGATGACTACTGTATTATGGATATACCATTGAACCTTCCCGCCGTGCCGAGACACTCCGAGGCCAAAAAAGCGATGAGTGCCGGGAGCAACGGTGAACCAATGGAGGCCACCACGAGCTCAATGGATGACACTGGCACCTACGTGGTCAATGGATTGATTTGATGGGTATGTTCTTATGTTTGTATTGCATATATATATATGGATATCGGTGATATTGAATGATGCTGACCATGATTAGCCACATAGATAGAATATGATAGAATTCAGATTGGTTTTTAAGGATAAAGCTTTACCAGAAACCATGGGTTCTTACCCTCAAATAGATTGGGTTTTCCATGGTTTTCCTTTAAAATGTGTTATATTGTCACATCATTTTTTATCCCGGGAAGTTTCAAAAAGGTCGGCTAATCCTAATTTGGCTGCATTATCCAACAATGTGGAATGTGAGTTTGGGATGGTCACATAGTCTCCCTACTCAACCATCATCTACGGTGACATCGGCTTGTGAGGTACCTCGTTTCTCATTCACTCAAAGGATATGATAGCAGTGCCAATGGCATTGCATAATGACCTGCTGTTTGGTGATAGTAATGGCAGGTTTCTACTAACAGTATGATACTCAATGATGGCCATGATCACATCCCAAATCGCCCAAATCTGCAGTAGCAATGGGTCGAGACACCTGGTGATGAAGAAAAGAACGGAACCCCTGCAGGACAGCTGAAAAATATCCACGCATTTGTTTACCTCTAATGGTCACCGATTTTCTTAGTTACTCATTATTTCTTAACCATTATTCATGTTCTATAGTTTATTCTAGCCAAAATATATCACAAACCAACCATGATAATATAACCAAACAATTGCTTCAATGCCAACCCAACAACATCTCAATCACATACGGTGGATGGAAGAAATCCCGCAACAGTTGATAGGTGGTAAACATCCCATTATTTATTGGGCTTCAACCATCGTTTTGGTGGTGCAGGAATTCGCAATCATCCACAGTAATTATGTCACATATCACATATCTATCAACCCCTGATTTTTGTCGCCTCCTCATAGACTTTCCTGAGCAGGGCGTAGTCGTTGAGCGCCAGGGCCAGAATCATGGCACGCGTCAGGTCTTTGGCCTCCAGTGCCTATGGCGCAATGGCGCATTTGTGGAGTGTTCACTGGATCTGTTGAAAGGAAAATCGACGGGAAACCATGGTTTTCCCAATCAAATATAGGGTGTTTTTTTTCGGTTAGACCATCGAACGAATTGTTCTGTTTCTATCATAGGAGGTTTATCAGCCATTTTAGGTTGATGTATAGTTTACTTACCCTAAAATTGGGGATGGTTTATGGTTTTGCCGCATTGGGTGTATATATACAGTATGTATATATATATATATAATCTGTGCATATGCAAATATATATATATATATGTATACTGCACACATAGTTACATAGCAAAATTACATGTACATGCACATGCCACACACACAGACACATAAGTTATATATGTATAAGTAATATCATACGTCATAAGTCTACATCCAGCAGCAAATGCCGTCACACCACACACACACACACATCTTCCGGCACTGATTGGTCATGTGGGATCATGCTCCCAAGTAAGGCTTGAACACAAAGAGATCCACAAAAAGTAAAGAGAAACATAATGAGTCAATGACATAGAACTTGGAACCCAATATGAACCAGTGTGACTCAGTGTGAACCAATCAGAATTCAGATCTTATATATATATATTTATAAATATATGTAAATATATATATTCATCCACAGGCAGAATGTCCTGCCTTCCATTCCCCGCCGCATTCTCGCCTTGAGCACCGCTGGGCCGGACACGGCTTTGGTCAACATCTGCGGCACGAAGCGCGCGTCGTTGCCGTAGATGCCGGCCGTGGCCATGCTGCCAGCCTGGTGCCAGGCTCTGCAGGCGTTGGATGTTTCACAAAAAGGGTTGCAGAAAACATGGGATGGTCATCCCCAAACCAATGGAGAATACTGTATATATAATTATATATATATTTGTGTGTGTGTGAATTTATGAATTTGAGATGAAAAGTTATGAAGTTATGTAGGAACAAAAAGAGTTGATGCATCCCTATATAGTTAGTTTTTTGGGAGATTGGCCTGCTCACTGCTCACACAGGCAAAATGAATCCTTACCTACATGTTTTTCCTTGTGATAATATGTGCCTCTGACCTATCACCAAAGCGTAGGCGAACTGAGCAAGAATTGCAGTGCATCTGATCTAAGGGGTCGGAAGATCAATTGGTGCCAAGAGGAACTGAACTTAAGTGAACATAGCTGAACGTGCAGCAGACTTCAGTTGGATATTGTTTGCCCTCCAACATCCTCCGGGATCAGAGAAAAGAACATAAGCAATAACCGAACCATGGCCTTGAAATGCCGTGAGCTGACCTATCTTGAACGCCCCGATTGAATCATCCGATTCAAAGGTTTGGGCTTTGCCCCTGCCCCAGCCCATCACCATCTGCACCTGAGAGAAGACAAAGGTCCCATGGGTAGTGGCGACTGCGAACTGCTGCGAATCTGCGCTGAAGGACACGTCCCAAAGGTGGAGCTGTTTGTCCGTGTACGCGTCCTGAACAGCGAAAAGAACAGCATCAATTGGCCAAGCGGTACCCTGCACTTTTTCTTGAGCTGGTTGGTATATATTCATATATATTCCCATTCATGGCAAGAGATTAAAAACAAACAATGGAGAATCCAAATTTGATGGAAACATCTACCCGAAGGCTTCAGTTACTCCAAATATGAGCCATATAGATCTAGACATACCATGGACCATATTTTTGTGGGCAACCCACCTGTTTGGCCGGTAGAATTCATCGTGAATTCCAGTCATCCTGCAGATTTCCCCATTTTTTGTTTTTGTGATCCCCCAAACTCATCAAGAATGACAACGATCGATCCAAAACCAATCATTGAACAAAAACCGAAAAACATCATCCACATATTCCACGAATTTCCACGTCTTCTGCATCCCTTTTTTTCGTGCATTCCCATGGTTTCCCCAGTGGACCCGCCGCCGCGGCTCTCCTTGGCCTCGCCGATGTCCACCCCTGGGAGGCTGCTGGCCTTGCGACGGCGATCCTGGCGAAGGGATGGCCCTTGGGAAAATTCGAAGTGTCGCAATGTACCCTCTGGTAAACCAACAAAAAGCTATTGAACATGGCCCATTTATAGTTGGTTTTCCTATTAGAAATGGTGATTTTCCATAGTCATGTTAGTTTACCACAGGGTAAGTTACTACATGTTAACAGTTCCAAGTTAACATTAAGCTGGTTGGTGGTATACCTACCCCTCTGAAAAATACGAAAGTCAGTTGGGATGCTTATTTCCAATACAGGGAAAAACATGTTCCAAACATGTTCCAAACCACCAATCAGGTTACAAGTTAACATTGAGGGAGTTATAACTTAACTGTTTACCATTGAAAGCGTTAAGGGATGTTTTAATGTAACTGTTTGCAGGAGTTATAACAGTAACCCTATAACTCTCCTAAACTGAAGTTATGTAACGTAAGTTCTAACCCTAACATACCCTAACTATTAGCTGTTAAACTGAAGTTATGGCACATGTAGTTACATACATGAAAACAAAAACAAACTATATAAAACTAACAAATGTGGTAAACCAACTTTCGAGGACATCATTTGGTTTTCCACATATTCTTTAAATGTTTACCCTAGGGTCGCGGTTAAAGCAAAATTCGCAAAGAACCCAAACGACCCCTGATTTTGTACTGGAACTGCTCATTTGGGGGGCCATATGGGTGCTGAGTTGTTTCATATTAGCGGGTTGGGATTACATGGTCAGTGACTAATGGGTAAGATGTTGTATCATGTTACATATACTATAGTAGACATGATAAACGTGAAACTGGCCAGCAGAATTGATTTAAGGGAGAATTTGGAGGAACCCTCCATAATATCCCATAATATCCCATAATATCCCATAATCATGTGGATGGTAATTCTAGACAACTATCAACCCGATTTCTGTTCGAGACCCAAATGATATCTCAAATCCTTGTGTTTCATGTTTAAAACTGTTTGATGGCGTTAAAGTCGCCCAAAAAACTCTCAGAAAACCACCGCTCCCAAGCATCCTATCCCCCAAAAACCACCAAATTTCCGAAGTTCCACTGACTGCCGTGGCTTCCATGGAGTTTCCATATCTACTCCCCGGGCCCCCATCCCCTGTCCCTGTCCGCCCTGTCCCCCTGTCCGGTCCTGCGATCTGGCCACGTCCACATCGTCCGCCTCACTGTCGGACAGGTCGTACTGCTGCCATGCCCCCCCCGCCTCGGTCATATTTTTGCCTCGGTGACGTCGACCATCCGACCATCCGACCGGACCAGGTGACCCAGGTGACCCAGGTGACGGCCCGGTGATGTTTCTTGGTTTTTCTTGGGCCCATGGGTGTAAAAAGGGTCTATAAAGTTTATACAGCCCACATGAAGATATAGTAAGATATATGGAGTAGTTCGTTATATCATGTTATATCAAGTTATATCTACGTATACTATGATTATAATTGAATGGTTATTACTGGAGCTATGTTTAGAAACTTGGCGATTCCGAACTGGGGCGCCACCTATACCCATGGTACACGGCTAGTGGATCCAACTGGCTTTGGTACCCTGAAAATTTAGGGGGAAAGAACAACGTTGGTTTGTTAAACCATGTTAAACATCAATTTCCCTATGAAACAAAAAGGCAAACATGGAGGGACACTAACATCACTAACCGTTTGAAGATACACCCAAGTCCCTTCTCAGAGGACTCGGGCCCATGGAGAAATCTATAGTAACCTGAATAGTCAGAAAATCAAAATCCCTCCACAAAAGTGGTAGGAAAAATAGGATGAGCAACCATGGTCAGTACAACGCGGCCGTTGAGATGGATTACCCAAGCAAAGGGGCTGAGGGACAGGTCTCAGAAGGTGCTTGGAGTGGGAGAAAGCTTGCTGGTGTCACACACACACAAAAGAGTTCAATGTCAATGGGCTAACACCAACAAAAGCATACAAAAGCATTCTTTCCAACCAAGCTTCTGTTCAGAAAGGACTGAGTCCCACTGAGACTACGATTCGTGGTGACAGCCACACGCCCCGTCAGTGCAAAGGCCGTCGTATCCTGAGAAAACCGCCAAGTGGGAAGGGTTCACAGCTGATATCTTGGTTCAAATGGCCACATAGATGTTTATGGTCCATTTATGGTGCATAAATCGGAAGTTGATGGGGTTCATAAACCACAACTACTTGGCAGTAATGTTGAGTCCTGATTAGTACCTAGGGTCGCTATTGTGGCAAATTTTTTCCAAATTATTCTGAAACTCATGTATTGTTTGGAGGGTTCGCTTTTGTGGCAAAACAAAATTGGGAGAGCCCTTTTTTCCCCACCTGCCAGGTGAGGGTTGTTAGATTTTATGTCAGTTGCCTCCTCCTCCTCCTGCTCCTCCTCCTGCTCCTCCTCCTCCTCCTCGTCCTCCTCGTCGTCCTCGTCGTCCTCGTCGTCCTTGCTCAACTGCGACCCGCGATCCACAGTGTTCGCTGCCGGACCTCAACCACGACCATCCACGCCCAGTGTTCCCTGCCGGACCTCAACCACGACCATCCGCGCCCAGTGTTTCCTGCCGGACCTCAACCACGACCATCCGCGCCCAGTGTTCCCTGCCGGACCTCAACCACGACCATCCGCGCCCAATGTTCCCTGCCGGACCTCAACCACGACCATCCGCGCCCAGTGTTCCCTGCCGGACCTCAACCACGACCATCCGCGCCCAGTGTTCCCTGCCGGACCTCAACCACGACCATCCGCGCCCAGTGTTCCCTGCCGGACCTCAACCGCGACCATCCGCGCCCAGTGGTCCCTGCCGGACCTCATGTAGGAAGATATGGGACAAAGAATGTGCAGAAGAAAGTTAGAAAGAATGTCAGAAAGAATGTCAGAAGATATGCCAGAAGATATGCCAGATAGAATGCCAGAAGATTTGCCAGATAGAATGCCAGAAGATATGCCAGATATAATGCCAGAAGATCTGCCATATAGAATGCCAGAAGATATGCCAGATAGAATGCCAGATAGAATGCCAGAAGATTTGCCAGATAGAATGCCAGAAGATATGCCAGAAGATATGCCAGATAGAATGCCAGATAGAATGCCAGAAGATTTGCCAGATAGAATGCCAGAAAATATGCCAGAAGATATGCCAGATAGATATGTCAGAAGATATGCCAGAAGATATGCCAGAAGATATGCCAGAAGATATGTCAGAATATATGCCAGAAGATATGCCAGATAGAATGCCAGAAGATATGTCAGATAGAGTGCCAAAAGATATGCCAGATAGAATGCCAGAAGATTTGCCAGATAGAATGCCAGAAGATATTCCAGAAGATATGCCAGATCATATGCCAGAAGATATGCCAGATAGAATGCCAAATAGAATGTCAGAAGATATGTCAGATAGAATGCCAGAAGATTTGCCAGTAAGAAAATGTATAAATGTCATGGTGGGGATCACACGAAGTAAAGTAATTTTGCAAAAAAAAAAACTGTAATTGCTGAGAGGCATTTTTTCTCAAAAACGCTGTAGCTCAGTCAATTTTTTGCTCATCTCCCTATCTGAGCCTGTAAATGCATCTCTATCTGAGTAGGTTTGTTTGCTGGGTTCACTATTGCAGCAAGCTGTGCCAGAGCAGCCCCTGAAGAAGGGAAGCAAGCCATTTCCAAAATTGCCAAATTCAAACTGCAAGCCTTTCCCAAAAGAACCAATCCCTTATTCAACCCTTATTAGAGAACAGCTTTCCCACAATTTTCCAAGGCCCTGGACCAGTAGAGGCCCCATTTCACTTTAGTAGGTTTGTTTGCTGGGTTCACTATTGCAGCAAGCTGTGCCAGAGCAGCTCCTGGAAGCCCAGAAGAGAAGCAAGCCTTTTCCAAAGGCAATTGCCAAATTCAAACTCCAAGCCTTTCCCAAAGGAGCCAATCCCTTATTAAACCATTATTAAAGAACAGCTTTTCCACAATTTTCCAAGGCCCTGGACCAGGAGAGGCTCCATTTCACTTTAGTAAGTTTGTTTGCTGGGTTCACTATTGCAGCAAGCTGTGCCAGAGCAGCCCCTGGAAGCCCAGAAGAGAAGCAAGCCATTTCCAAAATTGCCAAATTCAAAGCCCAAGCCTTTCCCAAAGAAGCCAATCCCTTATTAAACCCTTATTAAAGAACAGCTTTTCCACAATTTTCCAAGGCCCTGGACCAGGAGAGGCTCCATTTCACTTTAGTAGGTTTGTTTGCTGGGTTCACTATTGCAGCAAGCTGTGACAGAGCAGCCCCTGGAAGCCCAGAAAAGAAGCAAGCCTTTTCCAAAATTGCCAAATTCAAACTCCAAGCCTTTCCCAAAAGAACCAATCCCTTATTAAACCCTTATTAAAGAACAGCTTTTCCACAATTTTCCAAGGCCCTGGGCCAGGAGAGGCTCCATTTCACTTTAGTAGGTTTGTTTGCTGGGTCACTATTGCAGCAAGCTGTGCCAGAGCAGCCCCTGGAAGCCAGAAGGGAAGCAAGCCTTTTCCAAAATTGCCAAATTCAAACTCCAAGCCTTTCCCAAAAGAACCAATCCCTTATTAAACCCTTATTAAAGAACAGCGTTTCCACAATTTTCCAAGGTCCTGGACCAGGAGAGGCTCCATTTCACTTTAGTAGGTTTGTTTGCTGGGTTCACTATTGCAGCAAGCTGTGCCAGAGCAGCCCCTGCAGAAGGGAAGCAAGCCATTTCCAAAATTGCCAAATTCAAACTGCAAGCCTTTCCCAAAAGATCCAATCCCTTATTAAACCCTTATTAAAGAACAGCTTTCCCACAATTTTCCAAGGCCCTGGACCAGTAGAGGCCCCATTTCACTTTAGTAGGTTTGTTTGCTGGGTTCACTATTGCAGCAAGCTGTGCCAGAGCAGCCCCTGAAGAAGGGAAGCAAGCCATTTCCAAAATTGCCAAATTCAAACTGCAAGCCTTTCCCAAAGGAGTCAATCCCTTATTAAACCCTTATCAAAGAACAGCTTTTCCACAATTTTCCAAGGCCCTGGACCAGGAGAGGCTCCATTTCACTTTAGTAGGTTTGTTTGCTGGGTTCACTATTGCAGCAAGCTGTGCCAGAGCAGCCCTTGGAAGCCCAAAAGGGAAGCAAGCCTGTTCCAAAATTGCCAAATTCAAACTCCAAGCCTTTCCCAAAGGATATTAAACCCTTACAAGTACTACAAGTACTACAAGTACTACAAGTACTACAATTACTACAAGTACTACTACAAGTACTACAAGTACTACATGTACTACAAGTACTACAAGTACTACAAGTACTACTACAGTACTACAGTACTACAAGTACTACAAGTACTACAAGTACTACAAGTACTACAAGTACTACAAGTACTACAAGTACTACAAGTACTACAAGTACTACAAGTACTACAAGTACTACAAGTACTACAAGTACTACAAGTACTACAAGTACTACAAGTACTACATGTACTACAAGTACTACATGTACTACAAGTACTACAAGTACTACATGTACTACAAGTACTACATGTACTACAAGTACTACATGTACTACAAGTACTACAAGTACTACATGTACTACAAGTACTACAAGTACTACAACTACAAGTACTACAAGTACTACAAGTACTACAAGTACTACAAGTACTACAAGTACTACAAGTACTACAAGTACTACATGTACTACAAGTACTACAAGTACTACAAGTACTACAAGTACTACAAGTACTACATGTACTACAAGTACTACAAGTACTACAAGTACTACAAATACCACAACTTCATCGGCAAAAAAAAACAATAGTAATTAGATTTCAATTGTAGCCAATTGAAATCCTTACTTAATTGAGGATATGTTTTTCTTTTGGGAAGAAAATTTTTGACTTTCTACTTTAAAGAGAGTCCAGAAATAGTTTTGGGGGGGGGGCCACACACTAATCAGGACGCAACATTAGATTGGATCAATGACCTTCCCATTACGGTGTTTTCACACCACGGTGTTTTCACCGTGATCCTTTGCTCCAGGGCACATAGAGTGAGACATAGGGCGAATTCTGCGAAGAGGCGATCAGGACCTCGCCGCTCTTGGCGTAGGCAATGGAATTGTAGTGCTGGTTCAAGTTGAGGCCATCCGTGGGATTTCCTGGACCAAACATCCGAAGATGGGCCAAACATCAATGGTTGGCAGCTATACAAAATAGAAAAGTGTGCCCTAGGAGACCCCATCACTGACCCCTATGACACATCACTGACTCATCACCGGCAAGTTTCTTTTCCTCATGCCTTGCCCAGTTTTCACACCTCTGGTGTTGATGGCCGAAAACATCTCATGCCAGTGCCGTGCCGTTTGAATGTCGCGCAGGCCGTCGATGGAGCCCACGGTTTGGGCCGAGACCACGTTCCAAAAGAGGATCTGACCAGACATGCAACTGGCGGCCAAAATGTCATTGGCTCTGGGGTCAAAGGAGACGCAAAGAACCTGGGCCGTTGTGGAATATCGACTTCCTCCAAAACGGTAAGAGGCCGGGAGTGAAAACAAGATCTTCCAATTCAACCATCCTGCGGCTGATTCATCCGAGGCGACTATAAGATGAGTTTTGCTACAATCATGTTGGCCCTACCTTGAGTCACCCGTGATGCCTGGGGGCATCACTTAAACGATTTGCACAGACAAACAAAACTGTGAGACAGGATGGGATCTAACACCAGCATAAAGAATGGCAAAAGGGATCAAAAGGGATCAAAAGGGATCAAAAAATAGTTACTACATCATATAGTACTATAGTATCTGTATATAGTTACTATAGTATCTAGCCCTACCATATGTCTGAGTGATTTACTGGATCCCAAGGAAAAATAGGATCCTGTTCCAAGACTATGATGCTCTGATGTGGCTAATGGGGGGTCAAAATCATTCAGATATGCACTTACAAGGTGAGGCCCCCTAATAATTAGCTAAGTTGACAGAACTAGGCTGGCGATGGATGGGATAATGATATAACTATTACATAACTATAACATACCTGGCCCATTGACTATAGTATCTACTATGTTACTATGATATAGTAACTATGATACAATAACATAACAATAACATACTGCGTTACTATAGTAACTATATAGTTATAAATTGGGATAAACTATTTTACCATTGGGGTATAACCTTCATCAAGCAATGCAAGGGCTACCCCCACAGCCCCACCCGGAGATGATCGTCCATCTCCAAGCCACGCTCGAAGAACATTGCAGGGCTTCTGCGGCACCCCCCTTGGTGCCGGCATAGAGGTCCCAGACATTCCTGGGGCAGAGTCAGGTTCGGAGAAAACTGCAAACTCTATATATATATATACATATTACACATAGTATATATATATGATTACATTTATATATATGATATGCTTAAATCAATCAACGAACTTCTGCACAATTTTACTGTGAATATGAGTGTTTAATTTATATACATTAAATTAAAGTATATGAATACCGTTTGCTTGTTTGGATGCGACCCTGAGGCGCCAGCCTATGGACTCAACATAAGATCTGGCACTATCTTCCAGATTCTTGAGGACAGTACATCCAATCCCTGAGTTCTGGTATTTGTGTTATCGTTATTACTGATTGTTATTATATCATTATCGTTATTATTGCTTCAGTATAATTACGTCTATTCTTATTGCTATCATGATTGCCATTAGTTTTTTTTCATTCCTTCCTTGTGGAAAGGATCACGATTGGGTACCGGGATGGCTTACACCCAAGACATGCTCCATCCCCACCAACAATGCTACTTTCAAATGCCCCCCCTAAATATCACCAAATACTGCATCTAAAAAAAACTACAGTACTGCCAGCACCCTTCACTTTGTGGTTTACCAATCTTGTTGCATCCGGCAATTCATGTATGATTATATATGACAATGTCTCTATAATATAATTGTATAATCTGTGTGTGTGTTTTCAGGTTCTACGCTGCTCAAACATGCCAAACCACCATCATTTCCATGGCCAAGCTTCAAGGAGCCATCCCAGCTACCACTCACCAGCTGCCCCGGATGGTTTGCAGAGGGCGAGAAGTGCAAGGTCTGCACGAAGGAGGTGTGCCCAGTGAGGATCTCCAAGATGTTGCCCGTTTGAATGGACCAAACGTAGATGGCATACTTGCCACCTGCAAAATTCTGGCCAGTTGTGGTCAATTCTGATTCAAATTATTGGAAGTTGAAGTTCCACTTAGTATTGATCAATATGAAAAATAGTATGAACGATATAATCAATATGATATTGCATGATCAATATTGATCAATATGGATGCTCAATATTCAATATTGATCAACATGATAAAAACCATATACCCTCTGGTTATTTAACATAGCCATGGAACATGGCCCATTTATCGATGGTTTACCTATTAAAAATGGCGATTTTCCATGGCTATGTTAAATAACCAGATGGTATATATATATATATACATATCTGCATATATATATATATACAATTTATATGCATATATGATATGGGTCCAAATTCCTGGCCCCAAGGTATCCCAAGGTCCATTGGTCATTGTTATGGCCAGTCCATAGAACTCAAATTAGGGCTGCGGCTAACTCATACTGACCAGGAAGCAACATACCGGGAGCTGGTTGGGAGGTCTATGCTGCTGTTTCAACGGGGCCTGGTGAATCTAAAAGGATCTCCGTTGTTTGAAATTCCAGGCTTTGATTCGAGACCCATGTTCGTTGCTTCTCTGTACACTGTCGCTTGTCATTCTTGTTGCTATGCAAATCACCCATGCACCCATTTGTGGTGGCGAAATTAGTGAAATCCCCACTTGATGGTGCTTGAAACCTGGTGAAGTCCCCCGTAATTCGCGTGTTCCAGCCCCAATTTCCTGGGTCCCACAGGGGTCCCGCAGGACGGAGGGGGACCTTTGGCACTGGCCGCCACAATTTCACCCCCCGAGTCCACGGCAAGGCTGGAAAACCTGTCCGGGCGATGGCTGAAGCTGGACATGGTGATGTAGATCTAAATCAGAAACAATAGGGGCTTTAATGAAATGAACAAAGCCACACATCACATTTGATAGATTGGGGTTGTTTTCACTAACAACAATGTGATTTTTACCACATCTGACTTGACAAAGCAAGATTTAGAACCATTTACGTGAGGAATTTCCACCTGGACCTGAGCCATGAAATTCAATCCCTGTCCCATCCCATCATATTCGGTCGGTGTTTAGGTATCCTTCTATGTAATTGATTTCCGGGTTATCATAATCGCCAATAACCTATGTACTGTACAGTATACTCCCGTACTTGGTGGCTCATCCCAGTTTGTAAGTGGGTTTAGTTCAAACCCCAATTACTTTGCCCCTACTTACTCACCTTAGAACTGCCGTTGAAACCCACTTATGAACTGGGCCGATGCCACCAAAGATAGTAACCCATCAACAACCATATCTTCAGATACCCTCTTGTAAACTAACATAACTATGGATACTATGGAAAATCACCATTTTTAATGGGTAAAGCAACTAATTCAATGGGTCAGATGAAGTGGCTGGCACAGGCCATCGGGCGAGGCGAAGGTTCGGAAGTTCCGGTAGCGCAACAGGTCAAAGGCGCGCACGGAGCCGTCAGCACTTGCACTCAGCACGGCATTGCCTGGCGCCAAGGTAACTGGTATCAACTGGTGGATGGGCCAACGGTCATCCCTAGCCGTCCATGGTTGTCCCATTTCATTATTTTCCATAATATAATATATGGGATAATCCTTCCCATTGACGAACTCATATTTTTTCAAGATGGTTAGAACCACCAACCAGATCCAACCAGATATAAATTAAATTCAATTGTTTGTTTAAAAAATGTGAAGCCATACATTTGCCTCAAGCTGGGTGTCAAAGCTATTGATGTTTGCTAAATTGGCACCCTGCCAGTGGGCTTTCTCCACAAGGGAGGTATCGAATGATCCCCTGGCTGCATAGAGAGTTCCATGCATGGATGAGATTCGCTGCTAAGTTCTCCCCTCGCCATATCACAAAAGGGATGAGACAAATACACGTTCTTAATCTTTCTCAGTCATAAGGACGGAAAAAAAAGGAAACAAACCACCATAGACGACCCTTTCCCGTCAAAGGGCTGGGGAAAAGTCAGAGGGATAGAACCTGCTGTGGCACAAAACTCAAGTTCCAGGCATTCAATGTAATTGCTACCAGTAACCACTGGTTTTTGCCAACATCCGTAAATTAGCTACAAGTAGTCACTGAAATCCTTAATCCATGCAGGAACAAACTTGAGACCATCTTGGGATCGAAGAAATGCCAACCAAACGCCCATCGCCTTGCGGTGTGAAGCAAAGGTCCTGCACTGCGGCGGTGTGTTCCGCGAAGGTGACGAAGCACAGACCGCTTTGAGCGTTGAAGAGTTTCACCTTTCCATCGTAGCCACCTGGCCGTCAGCTGGTCAAGATCACCGGCGATGGCAACAGCTATTCATCCGTTTTCGATGTGTTTCTATGTTCCCCAAAGTAGCGGTGAAATAAGTCAAAACGGTGGGAAATTAAATAAATCAACAACTCTACTGTGAACTACACTCCGAATTCCTATTCTATTAAGTCAATAAGAAAATCTCCATATATCTCCATAAAGCCCTGCTCTCTAGTAAACTATGGACAATCACTATGTTCTATAGGTAAATCAACTACAGCAATATAAATATCACCATGTTCAATAGTTATACAGTTATACATATTACATGTGTGAGATTTTACCAGGAGGGTATCGTTTTCACATGTTTTCACACCACCAAAAACGCCACGCGGAACATACTGCGTCCGCCTGTGGCCAAAAGGCGTCCTCCAATGGCGCTGCGTTCTTCCGGCCGCGCTTCGCTGGTGGCCAACGCCTGTGGCCAGGTGGCCAGGCTGGAGGGGTTCAGCAACAAACAAGCCTTCTTTTAAAGGTGCTAATCGTATATATTGATTGATATTTGTATGGTGTTATTAACTTTTATTGTATATATATATATATATAATATATTCTATTTATGTGGATATCAATGGATGTGAAAATTGTTCTCAATGGTTATTAAGGTTACGAAGGGTTCCCAATGCCGAGTTTCGAAGGGTTATTGATGGTCACAAAGATTGAACTGAATTGGATTGATCATGATTGATCTTTATTGACTTGTGATAATTGACAACTTGATCTAAATCCAAGACACATTGATGATTTCACCACATGGCAATTTCAATTGGATTGATTTTCAGTAGCCAAAAGAGGGGGCCATTGAACAACTTCGAGTGAAGCTGACTTGGGCTATGTCAGCATCAAACAATGATCAATGGGAGGAGGACTAGCCAAACTTGGAATTGCCACCGGGTGACAAACAAACGCACGCACACACACACACAAAATTATCCATGACCATGGTTTTTGGATGAGGTGGAGGATATTACTAATCGGGAAGGACGTTTCAATGGTCCCATTTATCGACTTAATGATCTTAACGTGGTTATCATTTGTATCAGGTGTTTTCAATGTTTAATGATCATCATCATCATCATTCTTTTCAAAGCCATTGTGCTTCATTTTTTGATGAGGGACATCGGATATCAAACATTGTTCTCCAAATCATCAACCAATCAAAACCCACCCTTGATGATGGATTGCCCCGCCTTGCCACGTTTCAAGTTCACAGCCCCTGGTGAGAAAGCCACGCACTTCACGCCCCAGTGGTGGCCCTGTTGCTTCAGCACCTGAGCTGTTTGATTCTTCTTTTGGAAGTGGGATCTTCGTTCCAAGGAATAAAACGTATCCTGTGCAGTACTATCATCACTACTATTCTTGGTGCAAATGAAAATACTATTCTTCATAAATTATGATAATTCCCCAAATTCAATTGATTCAGGCCATGTGTCCCCATCATTCCAATGAGGTGGCAGTGAGGTCTTTTTGTTTTCAAACCAGACTTCGATTTCGCCGACTTCAGCGCGAGCAACATAGGTTTCAGACCGCCATTCCCACAACAGCAGTTGCCCCACCGCGCCAGAACCCACCTCAGGGGGTCCGGCTGGGCTGGGGGAAGTCATGGTCGACCTTAGGTCATCTGCATGTGTTTGTTCAATATGTTTTGTTTGCTGGTTGGTATTGCGGTCCTATGTTTTGCCATGTTAAAGCGTTTTCTAGCTGGTTAGTAGGGTATCATCTAATATCCGCATCAACATTGCAAAAACAGACATGGATAATGTTTTCATTTTTTTCTGAGAAGCATGAAGAACATCACATAGATGATGCGGTCAGGGTATCAAAAAACAATCTAGGTCTTGAAATTCAGGTTTCGTTTCTGAAGATTTCCAGTTCTGGAGCCGTTTCCGTTACTGAAATCTTGCTGGCCTGCCCGTGATATCGCACCATTGCAAGTCAATGAGTCGTACTGATCAAAAGAAACCAAAAGAACACACACCACCAAGGTTTATATATGTATATGTATATACACACACATACACACACACATACATATAATATATATATGCGTGTATATACATCAAATTCTTGTGTTTGATAAACCTGCGATTTTCCGAAACAATCGGCCAATCGGCCATGACATCATCAATGATTCTTAGAGGATTCGGCAACCGCAATCCCCAAATTCGTCCCGATCAAAGCGAGCTTCTGCCAGCCAGTCGCCCTTGGCCCCGAGGCGCACAGTATCCAGAGACTCCTAGCGCTGGAGAATCATTGGGTGACTGGGTTGGTAGTTGAGAGGCCCTATAGGCCGATATATGATCTATATAAATAAGAGAACATGTGGATTTAATCTACCAAAATGCTGCTTTTACAGTTTACAAGTTTTACCACACAAGAATGCGAAGAAGTGATTTTAAGGATGGTTTACTTATATATCTACTTTTCTGGGAGGGCTCGTATAAGATTGTACCGGGGGTCCTGTGTACCCCACATCCCTAAAGTTTTTTTTGAGAAAAACAACGCGTAGACATAATTATATATATATACTTTTTTTTAACCCGCGCTTGTGGCAGATTCCTTGGATTTTGTGCAGGAGTCCATGGTTCTTGGCTGTGTTTGATGTTTTCACTTTTACAGGACCGGCATCTATGGGGCTTGGTGGGGATGATCAAGTCAGCTTGCTGCATTGTGGTTGGTAATATTGGCATACTTTGCAAATTGGTGGGCGCAAGCGGCAATAAACGGACAACAAACAGAAAAAGAGGAATTGAATAGAGGTAACCACCAAGAGCAAATGAATATCCTACTCAGAAACTAATCAGAAGATACGTCACAAACACTGGTTCAGCCCACATTGAAACCATCATTTGTGCAAACATGGTTTAAACAAATAACTAGGGATCAACAGTAGCCATTCACATTGCAATGCTTTGCACGTTGCCCCATAACAAGCTGCTGCATTAGCTCCTGACCCAAGCTCAAGGTTTGTAGCGCCTGCAATGACGGCATCCTTGGCCATCCATCCCAGCGGCCCGGAGTTAAGGTGTCCCAGATTCCCAATCTGTTTCATCTTACAAGGACCAATCTTCCTAGATCTTGACCTCAGTTTGGCACTGGAAATCCAAATTCGCACCTTAAGAACATGATCTCTAAGTGATCTAACTGTCTCTGACTCACCTGGTACACCAGCCCCATCCCAGCTCTAAAAATCGCAGTCCCAAGCGGCTCGAAGAGCATCAAAACTCCCAGGCTGAAGCCAACCGCCAGCAGACGCGACTGACTGTCGTAGTCGCAGCGCGTGACCTTGTTGTAGATGGGTTGCTGGCAGGAGGCCTCACCGCTGCGGGGTTGGACATGGTTGGACCAGGCCCCCCGCCGCATCAAAGCATGATGTGTTTACCATTTGTTTTTGTTGCCCTATTCTTTTTTAATCATATCTTAGACAAAATATATCTGATCATATGCTGGTACAGGCCATGAAAAAACCGTGCGAAGTTGGGATAGTTCTTATCCTGGAAAAATTGCACTGCTGCTTTGGAGCAGGGCAGCGAAACAAAGGAAATTTGGACCATGCCAACCAGTTTGCAAGTTCCATTTGCTGAGGCAGCAAACGTGACGTTCCGACGCTGCTTTGTGCATCTTTGGTCAATAAGGACTACAGGGAACCACTTCTGTTCCGCCTTTTGGTGAACTATATAGTTTAACACTGTGAACATCCACGTTCAAAAAGCAGGTGGGACTTGTGTTGCCACCATGGTATTTTCCAGCTAAAGTCACTTAATTCCGCTAGCTTTCCCTGGTCCTGTTAGCATCCCAATCCATCATGGTCCGACTGAGGCCTTTGATTCTACTGACCATGTGCCAGGAAGGCAATACAAGGGCTTTTCTGCATCAGCTTCCACTCCATCCTTCAGCGTGTACTTGGCTGACACCTTAGCTCGTGCAGTTGCAAGCAGATAAAGAACCAGTCAAATAAGCAATCCCTCAGATTGCATTGTAGGAACACAATTGACAGAGGTACAACACTGTGATTCCAAGGTCAGAACACTACCTGGGGAGAGGAACATAATCCGCCAAACGTGCAGAGCCACCAGAAAAAAAGGAAACCAACTTGTGGTCCCACAATGCATGTATGATGACAGACTCGCAGATGTGTTGCTGGTCATCAAGGCTGAACATAATATGTTACAAAAAGTTCTGGGCTCTCAAAATGGGTTTGTCCGACAATGAGGCACCTCAGAACGGCATGGTTTATCATACATGTGTTCCCATTCATGCGGCCATTTTTGGGGTATACCGCATTTTCAAACAAACCCAAATGGCATGAGCCAAAAGTTCTCAAACGTCCCAAGACCAGTCATCCCTGCCTGCGGGTTTCTTCCCTCAGAGATGTCAAAATTGGATCGATCTGAGACTAAGACTAGTCTGTCAAAACTGCCAAACTGCATCAAACTGCTAGGGTGGATTTTTCTAAAGGGTATAACTTCCATTACAGTGATTATAATTAATTATCCATGTCATCCATGCTTAATTTGTTGGTGAACCTTGAGGAAACTGCTGAAAGCGCCGAAAGGCGCCGCCAACGCGCCGCCAAGGTGCCAACTGACCATCCCGAGACCTGGGAAACGGCCCCGTCTCAAAGAGATCGGGCAAGCCCCGAGTGTTTTTCGATCACACAACTGTGTCATAGAAATATCTATGATATTGGTATTGTTTATATGTACGCATATATGTACACATATATGTACAGATATATGTATACATATTATGTGCATATATATATATGTGTGTGTATACATACACTAACATATTAGATATATTAGAATATATCGTAGATAGAGATGCCAATGGAGATGCACATGATTGCACATAGTATAGGATTCTGTAGGTGCATATCATGGGTATAAGATCAGCAATGCTCATCATGTTGGTACTGAGAATGCCTTTGATACATACTTGGATGATGCGGAAAGTTCACTGCATATTTTTCAGAGGACCCCCTGTGAAAGGTCATCCTTCCGCCATGACCCCTGCCATAGCTGGCCAACTAATGGTGATATCAACCCAGCTACAGTACCATCCGCAGTCACCTGGGTATGTCTGAAAATGGGGTATTCCCCCAATTAAAGCCATTTAATAGGGATAATGATCATTAACCATTGGGTGTAGGGGTACACTATTTTCAGACAAACCCACCTCAGTCCCTTCTGCTCAGCGTCATGCTGTAGACGTACTGCAGATCCTCCGACAGAAAGACGGCCCGCACGGGGCTGCGATGCTCCAGCAGCGCCATGGACTGAAAGTCATCGCGGGGGACGACGCTCCAAAGGCGAACCGTGCCATCCTTTCAACGCTCGGCAGCGATGGTGAAGATCCAGGGTCTTTGGATTGGTATACCCTCTGGTAATTTAACGTAGCTATTGAAAATGACCATTAATAGTGGATTTTCCCATTAAAAATTGTGATTTTCCGCAGCTATGTTAAATTACCAGAGGGTACTGTTTCAACCAATTCTGGGGCAGAGTTGCAACTTTTCCTGGTAAGAGATTACCCTCATGTTCAATGAAGTACTACGTGATGCTACGGTGAAGGTAGAAGTTCATATTAAACCAATATACTGTCAGAGGCACTTTTTTGCTTGGGACTATTTCCCCATTTATGGCACAAACAAATCAGCTACACAAACATACGCAAACAAGGTTTGCCCAGAAATGGTGGGCGGAAAATGAGCACTCAATGCTAGGTTCCTATAAGGCCTAGGGCTTTACAATGCTTTCAAAATTTGTCCATTCATATTGTACTTTGGATAGAAGGCTTTTCTGAGCCAATATTCGCCCTTATATTCTGCTCCCCCAAACGACGCAAAAACAAGTCACCACCCTGAACAATAGAACATAGAAGAATCGTAACTAATGCCATCATGTTCGGTTGGGTTTTACAATTCTATACATCATTATACAACTCATTTTGTGAGAAGCCAAATAGAAGCTTGAATTTCGAATTCTCCAGTCTTCTCAGAGCCCCCATCCCCTCTCGCTCTGGCCTTGGAGCAAGAGGCAAAGAACTGGGAATTCTGGGCCCAAGCCAAGTCGACCACATCATCATGATGCCCAGCTAGCCTCCAACGTAGCCGCCAGGTTTCTGAAGGTTCCAAGGTGCCAGCCATCGCAATTTCGCAGGCTGGCAATTGGGTGGTTGTATTGAGGACCATGTATTGCATGAGGGCCAATATATATATATATATACATACATACATACATACCAATGTATATATATATATGGATACATACCAATCAATATATATATATACATACCAATATATATATATATTATATATAAAACAAGACAAGACAAGGTTCTATTTCTCCCCATCGCAACAATAAATACCTCCCTTCGGGGCCCAAAAGGCGTATTCAATATCCCTAGGGGTTCGATCAGGATTGCTGAGGATGGGTATTTCAATGCCAATACCATGGTGAGGTAATTATTCAGTTCACCTTCACACTGTCACTGTGAGATTGGATCGTGGCAGTGGAAAAATCTGTTCTGGTCAACAGGCTGTCCTCTTGTCCTTCACGAACTGCCATCCAAGTTCCACTGTGGGGGTCCTGTGGGGTACAACACAGTCATGGATAGTCTGGGATTAGGGGATCCTAGGTAAGAATAAAGAGATATAAAGAGTCAATGAAAACCAGATTATGTTTGAAACATTTCGAAATCACCAGCCACCAGCCAGAAGTCAGTCTGCTTTGGTTTCCATCATTTCACGGCTGGAATTGAGATCACCCAGGATTTCACCAGCGTCCTCCAAAGCAAGATTTGCCGCCCATGGGTCACCTGATCGCGCGGGAATTAAGGTGCCGCAGGAGGTACATTGGTACAGAAGTTACGGCATTTCTTGCAGCCCTGGCTAGAATGATTAATCGCTTCCCCCTAATATTAAACACCACCTAAAGGAAACCATGGTTTAGTAGGGAAATTCCACATAATTGGGACCATGAAGAAACACAAACCATGGATCTGTTTCAATATTTTTCTACATGTAAGAGTACCAACTTCAAATGCCCATCTAAGCTGGTTCCGATGTTGCACAAGCCTTATTTCTATATGTGCAAATCGGCTTCTGAGATGGGGCAGAAAGACTGGCAGTGGTATACTTTATTCCTGGTGTAGTTTTGATCCGACTATTGATGCGCATCCTGGTGTTCCTAGGAATCGAGAGAGTACGCCTGAAAAGATCTTTGGTGGCTTAGCTGGGGAGTGAGTTGACGTCCTTCCTGGGTTTTGAGGGATGAAATTGTGTTTTATTCCCGTGTGTTTCTGTATTTCGTGTTTTTCCCATAGTTTTTTCTTCTTGTGTTCATAATGTTTGTCTTCGGAAATGTGGACTCCAAAAAAATCATAACTAGCTGTTCTCATACTGATCTGCTTTGATGGACCAGTATGTTGAACATATATTTATACCGCACATGTGATTTTGGGGATGGTTTATTATTGGATTTCGTTACCACATTATTTGGCATACATTGAAACAATATCATTGCCTTGCAAGTCCAACTATCTATACAGTCTAGTTGTGACACAGTATTAACCACTTCCCCGTGTCATTTTCCATGGGAAATTCCGCTGAGTGACGATCAACCACTTTCCATTGGGGCTCCATTTGGCACTCCTCACCTTGCCTTTGAAATTGATACGTGTCAGCACAGAGCAGCGCACGAAATTGATCAGCAGAGCCTGGAGACGTGGCAACTTTTGGCGCGCCAAAAGGGCGATCCATCAAGGAAAAATGGGAGGAACGACCTGTATCAATGGATTGGTTTAAGGGAACATTTACAGGAAACCCCCATATTTAATGGGAAAATTGATGGTTTCCTGTAGATTTTCCCTTAAACCAATCCAATGATGGTATTTTTGATGATTCGAATATTTGAAATGTTCATATATGTGTTCTTGGATCACTTCCCAGAGACGGCCTGCCAAGACATGCCAAGACCTATGTGGAAGAGGCACAGCACCCAAGTCACCCAAGGGTTTTTCTCCTGAAACATCTTATCTTGTGCGTGGTTGAGATTGGTTCCTTTTGGCCAAGGGACAAGGTGTTGCTGAATATTCAACTTTACCCTCTGGTAAACTAACATAACTACGGAAAATCACCATTTTTAATGGGTAAATCAACTATAAATGGCAATTTTCAATAGCTATGTAACAAATTAGCAGAGGGTATGTCTCTTCTTTTACCCTTCGCCAATCAAACATGGCTGGCTGGGAAATTTGACTTGGCGACGGACAACACCATCAACCATGAAAAACACCCTCCAGTAATCAAACGTGGCAATCGAAAATCACCAATTTTTCATGGTGTTCCATTTAAGACCTTCATTTACAGGGGATGTTCAATTGCATTGTTTCATTACCAGGGGTGTAACAGATCATTGTTCCATTAAGCAATTAGATTTCCCAGCTAACTGTTTGACCCAACGCCAATCGTAGACACTTTGCAACACAAACAGACCATAATACTGACCGACTGGCTAGCAAATACCTATAAGAAAACTAGAAAACAACTGCATTTCTAGCAACAAAATAGTGACATACAAATGTATTCATCCAATTGGTTTAAGTAGTTGTTTTATCGCCGTCATTGTGACGAAATCTAGTGGAACCCCTGTAAATTATGATGGAAGTGATATCCCCAGTTACGACAAAATGCCTCCATGTCTTTTGCGGATATATCGCCGTTACATCCCCATAGTATCTATATATATATAATGTTAAATCCCCATGGGCCAATGGGTGTTAAAACTGTTATATCAACCGCCTTCTCATCCCCATGTCTCATGATCATCTTATATCCATAATATAATTTGATGCTTATTGTAGCCTCAGCCTCCAGCAATCAAACGTGGCAATCACCGATCTCGCCGGGGCGCGTGGCCAGTGACGTCGATGGACAACAGGAGCTTCGCGTCCTGGTGGGAACGGCAGGAACTGCTGCACATTTGATCGAACTTTGGTGGGTAATGTTGGAAACCCAACAAACAACCTACCATGATTGGAAATTGTTTATATATAACTGTTTTACAATCCATTTATATCCATTTATAGATAGTAGATAGTGATTTTGGATCGGCTTTGCCACACTAAGTTTCCAGTTTCGGTTGCTAGGTTTGACTGATTTGGACTGATGTGCATGTAAATTGTCTCCCTATGTGAATGCATATTTTGTATCTAATATAGTATCTGTTCAGTGGTATGAAACTCGTGAATGGCAAATGCATATCATATAAACCATTTGACTACAACAAGCAAGGTTCAAGCGGAAAAAATACAGCAGGCATCCTGAAGACTCTGGCATTTTTACAGGCGGAAACCGCCCAAGTGGCTAAAGTCAACAGCGTCTTCCAATGTTCCCTATACGAGTACCTTATTGAAAGCATCATTGGCATGAGAGCCTTGAGCTGTTGACAAGCTTTCGTATGAGTCGCTTTGTGTCACACAAGCAAATCCAAAACTGGTGGCGGTGGCTTTGCACTCCTTTCCACATTGGACACAGATTCCTTTTTGAATACACCAACTGGGGTAGTGCATAAACGAGCCAAGCAACCTATCCTTCCATGGACACCTTCCACAGACAGTGATGGTTCCCGTATAATCTTTTCTTCGGTATATACTTTGTCTTTTAGCATTTAGTTTGTCTTTAAATCCTTTTCCATGTGTCAGTTCTGTTCATATCTCCACCATTCTCCACCTTGTCTGACACCACCCTACCCCCAATATACTCACCAGAGTCCCAACCCAGAGACCCCAAACCGCACCACGCCGCATGTGTCGCCTGCGTCAAGGCCAAAATGGCAACATCTTCGCGGTTCTCCGGCGCAAGGGTCACACACCTGGAGAGGGCATCCACAACTGGTTGTAAAGCCACAGCGAAGCCACCAAAAAATGCGCCATGTCGGGATCAAGCAGAAAGAATGGGAAATTGGATTGACCTAGATTCATCGGGATCATTATCGTGAACAGGAACATCAACTATCATGTGGTTGGGAAAATCCAGCTCCACCTGGCTCCAACGGAAAGAGACGACCTGATGCAACCTGCCTGCCCTGCACGAGATCCACCGCGTTCACGCGGTTCCCCACGGGGCTCAGAAGAACATTTCCATCCGGGGTGTACCTCAGCACCATGGAAATCTTGTGGAAATGCTATGGAAATGCTGATGGTACATGATGGAACCATATCCCTATGGTACTCAGGTACTCATTGATGATGCGTCAATTTGTGTATAGCATATCCATCTGTTCTGAGTTGGGGCAGTCCAACATATTCCAGCAGTAAACTGCGACAGCGCGCAAAGCATCATCCTGGCAAGTCCCCCGATTGGGGAAACGAACCGTGATTGATCAACCCGCGGCAAAACCCCCATCATGTTTATTTCTGTTTCCCAGTTTATGATTGATTAAATCCCAAATGACCATGTTTAAAACCCCAAATGAGATTTGGCATCATGCCTTTCAAATCCCAAATGATCATGTTTATCCATGTTTATTTTTATCCTGTACAAGCTCCATTTCTTGGCGGCGGCTATTCTTTCACGGTCAAGACATGCTATACGCGGTATGGTATGTTTATGGTCAGCTATCCCATATCGAGAACCCTTATGGTGCGCATATAGAATCCTGTCGATGCCTATTGATGGATTGATGACCACCCAAAAATATAGGGAAATCATGGAAGATGGGCTACATGGTGTTGACCATGGCACAAAGTGAGCTGACCTGCGCTGCGGCCGGTGACCAAGTTCCAGCTAAACATAGGCTTCATCCATGACGCAGTTTGACATATTTAACTGGTAATCAACCATGGCTTGCCGGAAAATCCCTCATCTAGTTCCATCATTGTCCCATTAAAAAAACCATTATAAAACCATATTGATACCTGAATTGATGAGCACTTCCCAGCCATGGCAATGACACCGGATACCCAGGTCCGAGCCCAGTCACTCAAGGCTGCCTCCTTTGTAGGTGGCTCCCAGCAGATTTGTAAATCGATAGGCCGCCATGGGACAGCTACGTCGCTACGTCATGGTGGCAGTTCTGGGGCTACCAGCGCGGCGCTGCTTTCGATTTATGACACCTGGTGACATCAGCAGTGACACCTGGGTTTAAGCATCTTGTTTTTTTTTAAATATCTTGAAAGCTGGGAAAAAAACACCTCAACAAAACCAGTTGGGGTATCTAAAGGTCCACAAAAATGTCCAGCAAACACATCCATGGCTTGGTTTCATGGTCCATCTGTTTGGCTGTCATCATGCGAGGCGCAAGCACCTCCATGCCGAGCCATCGGCTGTATCCCAAATTCACTGGCTTGTCGCAATGTTGGCAATGTTCCTATATAAAATTGGCCATAAATTGGGTGTATAGCCGATGTTCACTCTATTTAACAATGGCATTTTCTGGGTCCTGCCATGTCCTGCCCGAAGGTGATGGCTCAATTTGGGGGTACTGTCTAAATTCATTCCTAATGGAATCCACATGTGCTAAGCGATCCATGGTAAACTGGTAACTTCAACCCGTACTAAAAACATATTATTGATAGTATGACGGCCCCACTCGTGCCGCAGAAGCAACAAACGAAGGGTAAGCCCCTCATCTGTGACACCAAATCCCCCTCATCTGTGACACCAAAACCCCCCTGATTTTCCCTCATCTGCGACACCATTTTCCCCTCATCTGCGACACCATCTGGTTTTAGGGTGGGTGGGGTGGGGTGGTGGGGTTGGGGGTTGGGGTGGGGTGGGGTGGGGTGGGATGATAACGTCCATGTTCCTGTGCGCACACAGGCACGGCAACCTCATCACACGAGAGCTGGCGGTGGGTCTCTGTCCCTTTCTCTCCCTCGTGGTCCGTTTTGGCCGCTCAGCAGCCCAAATCCTCCAAAACGGACCTACCCAGCTCTTCCACTGGGTGGGGGTGGGGTGGGGGGGTGGGGTGGGATGATAACGTCCATGTTCCTGTGCGCACACAGGCACGGCAACCTCATCACACGAGAGCTGGCGGTGGGTCTCTGTCCCTTTCTCTCCCTGGTGGTCCGTTTTGGCCGCTCAGCAGCCCAAATCCTCCAAAACGGACTTACCCAGCTCTTCCACTGGGTGGGGGTGGGGTGGGGGGGTGGGGTGCGATGATAACGTCCATGTTCCTGTGCGCAAACAGGCACGGCAACCTCATCACACGAGAGCTGGCGGTGAGTCTCTGTCCCTTTCTCTCCCTGGTGGTCCGTTTTGGCCGCTCAGCAGCCCAAATCCTCCAAAACGGACCTCGCCAGCTTGATCAGCTTGGCTGTGCTCCTTGCTCTCCCTCATGGTGTTCCGTTTTGGCCGCTCAGCAGGACCTCGCCAGCTTGGTCAGCTTGGCTGTGCTCCTTGCTCTCCCTCTGGTGGTCCGTTTTGGCCGCTCAGCAGCCCAAATCCTCCAAAACGGACCTCGCCAGCTTGGTCAGCTTGGCTGTGCTCCTTGCTCTCCCTCTGGTGGTCCGTAGCTCAATTCCTCCAAAACGGACCTCGCCAGCTTGGTCAGCTTGGCTGTGCTCCTTGCTCTCCCTCTGCTGCACCATTTTGGCCTCTCAGCAGCCGAAATCCTCCAAAACGGACCTACCCAGCTTTTCCACTCGGTGGGGGTGGGGTGGGGGTGTGGGGTGGGTGGGGTGGGGGGGGGTTGGTGGGGTGAGATGGGATGATAACGCCATGTTCCTGTGCGCACACAGGCGCGGCAACCTCATCACACGAGAGCTGTTGGGAGTCTCTGCCCCTTTCTCTCCCTGGTGGCCCGTTTTGGCCGCTCAGCAGCCCAAACCCTCTAAAACGGACCTACCCAGCTCTTCCACTGGGTGGGGGGGTGGGGTGGGGTGGGGGGGGTGATATAACATCCACGTTTCTGTGCGCACACAGGAACGCAACCTCTCCACGAGGTGGCGGTGAGTCTCTGTCCTTTCTCCTCTGGTGGCCCGTTTTGGCGCTCAGCAGCCCCAAATCTTCCAAAACGGACCAACCCAGCTCTTCCACTGGGTGGGGGTGGGGTGGGGTGGGGTGGGATGATAACGTCCATGTTCCTGTGCGCACACAGGCACGGCAACTTCATCACACGAGAGCTGGCGGTGAGTCTCTGCCCCTTTCTCTCCCTGGTGGTCCGTTTTAGCCGCTCAGCAGCCCAAATCCTCCAATACGGACCTCGCCAGCTTGGTCTGCTTGGCTGTGCTCTCCCCCAGGAGTCCGTTTTGGAGGATTTGGGCTGCTGAGCGTCCAAAACCGACACCAGACGGAGAGCAAAGAGCACAGCCAACCTGACCAAGCTGGCGAGGTCCGCTTTGGAGCATTTAGGCTGCTGAGCGGCCAAAACGGACCACCAAAGGGAGAGCAAGGAGCACAGCCAAGCAGACCAAGCTGGCGAGGTCCGTTTTGAAGGATTTGGGCTGGAGAGCGAGGTCCGTTTTGCAGGATTTGGGCTGCTGCGCGGCCAAAACGGACCACCAGAGGGAGAGCGAGTTCCGTTTTGGAGGATTTGGTCCGCTCAGCGGACAAAACGGAGCACCAGGAAGAGATAGGGACAGAGACCTTCGACTTTTTCACCGACCTCTCTGGACACAGAGGTTGTACCTGTGTCTGCTCTCTCTTTTCCTGGCTGCCTCTTCTTGTGGCGGTTGCTTTCTGTGAGAGCCTGTCTGTGGATATACCGGTTTTCTGCCAAAGTTTTCAGATCAGTCCCTGTATGGCAGGGATGTCTAGCTCAGTCGGCAGAGGGCAAAGCTTTTAACCTGAAGGTCGAAGTTTCGACCCCACCCTGCACCTGCAACCAGTGGAAGTGTTGGGTCAGTTTTGAAGGCTGCTGAGCGGCCAAAACGGACAAGCAAGGAGCACAGTCAACCTGACCAAGCTGGCGAAGTCCGTTTTGGAGGAATTGGCCTGCTGAGCGGCCAAAACGGACCACCAGAGGGAGAGCAAGGAGCCAAGCAGACCGCTTTTGGTTATCGATCAGCAACCTGGCTTACTCTGAGCCTGGCTCTCCGTTTCCGGACTGCAGAGAGGGATTAACTGACCGCCTGTCTAACTCAGTGTTGCTCCCGGGTATCGAGCCCAGGACCGGTCGGAAGAGGGACGCCGCCATAACCGTCCGTTTTGGAGGATTTGGGCTGCTGAGCGGCCAAAACGGACCACCAGAGCGAGAGCAAGGAGCACAGCCAAGCAGACCAAGCTGGTCAGGCCCGTTTTGGAGGATTTGGGCTGCTGAGCGGCTCAAACGGACCACCAGAGGGAGAGCAAGGAGCACAGCCAAGCAGACCAAGCTGGTCAGGTCCGTGTTGGAGGATTTGGGCTGCTGAGCGGCCAAAACGGACCACCAGAGGGAGAGCAAGGAGCACAGCCAACCTGACCAAGCTGGCGAGGTCCGTTTTGAAGGATTTGGGTTGCTGAGCGTCCAAAACGGACACCAGAGGGAGAGCAAGGAGTCCGTTTTGGAGGATTTGGGCTGCTGAGCGGCCAAAACGGACACCAGAGGGAGAGCAAGGAGCACAGCCAAGCTGACCAAGCTGGCGAGGTCCGTTTTGGAGGATTTGGGCTTCTGAGCGGCCAAAACGAACCACCAGGGAGAGCAAGGAGCACAGCCAAGGAGACCAAGCTGGCGAGGTCCGTTTTGGAGGATTTGGGCCAAAACGGACACCAGAGGGAGAGCAAGGAGTCCGCTTTGGAGGATTTGGGCTGCTGAGCGTCCAAAACGGACACGAGAGGGAGAGCAAGGAGCACAGCCAACCTGACCAAGCTGGCGAGGTCCGTTTTGGAGCATTTAGGCTTCTGAGCGGCCAAAACGGACCACCAGAGGGAGAGCAAGGAGCACAGGCAACCTGACCAAGCTGGCGCGGTCCGTTTTGGAAGATTTGGGCTGCTGAGCGGCCAAAACGGACCACCAGAGGGAGAGCAAGGAGCACAGCCCGGCAGACGAAGCTGGCGAGGTCCGTTTTGAAGGATTTGGGCTGCTGAGAGGTCAAAACGGAACAGCAGCGGGAGAGCGAAGTCCGTTTTGAAGGATTTGGGCTGCTGAGCGGCCAAAACGAACCACTAGAGGGAGAGCGAGTTCCGTTTTGGAGGATTTGGGCCGCTCAGCGGACAAAACGGAGCACCAGGGAGAGACAGGGACAGAGACCTTCGACTTTTTCACCGATCTCTCTGGACACAGAGGTTGTACCTGTGTCTGCTCTCTCTTTTCCTGGCTGCCTCTTCTTGTGGCGGTTGCTTTCTGTGAGAGCCTGTCTGTTTATATACCGGTTTTCTGCCAAAATTTTCCGATCAGTTCCTGTATGGCAGGGATGTCTAGCTCAGTCGGAAGAGGGCTAGGCCCTTAACCTGAGGATTGAAGGTTGGACCCTGCCCTGCACCCACAGCTAGTGGAAGAGGTGGGCAGGTCCGTTTCGAAGGATTTGGGCTGCTGAGCGGCTCAAACGGACCACCAGAGGGAGAGCAAGGAGCACAGCCCGGCAAACGAAGCTGGCGAGGTCCGTTTTGAAGGATTTGGGCTGCTGAGAGGTCAAAACGGACCAGCAGAGGGAGAGCAAGGAGCACAGCCAAGCAGACCAAGCTGGCAAGGTCCGTTTTGGAGGATTTGGGCTGCTGAGCGGCCAAAACGGACCACCAGACAGAGAAGGAGCACAGAATCAGAGCCACGGGAAAAAGGAGCAGAACAACTAGGCAAGCCCGCTTTGGGACAACCAAAGAAAGGCAAAGTCGATGTCACCAAGCCCAACACGCGCCACTCAAGGAGACCATCGATGGCACAAAGTGCCACGCCTGCCACGCAACACCCCACCTCGCGTCACAACGGAGGGACCGCGTCACAGTTGAGGAAACGCGTCCGCGTCACAGATGAGGAAGATTTCCGCGTCACAGACGAGGGGCTTTCCCAAACGAAGTAAAACATCTGGTAATCAAACATGGCTTGCTGGAAAATATCCCATTCAGTTTAATCATGTCATTAAAACATGTTAAAACTGCATTTATAAAGGATTTTCAATTGTCATATTTGATTGGCACAGGGTAATCCCAACTCGGGCCTAAAAATCTCATGGTTTTTGTCCCATGTAATTGGGGGTTTCCATACTCATGGGGATACCCCAATAATCCAATAGCTGGATGGTTTATGTCATGGAACACCTTTTTAAACTGGATGATATGGGAATACCCCTATTTAGGAAACCTCCAACTCTACCCCCGGCTGTGCTCCTCAGTGACTTTCACGCCATGTACTCCACCATTTGGAACCCCATTCCATGGTCAAAGTTTGAAACCACATGTTCCCCATAAACATTACCCATCGGTTAATAATATTGATCCCAAGGGCCCAAGGTCCAAAACCTTGCTTTGCCCATCAAACTTGCCATCACGTGAGAGTATACATTAATCGGCCCCATAAAGGGAGACACATACATTCAAAACATTATCAAACAGCAGTAAGAACAATAAATTGAGCATCATTCAAAAACAAAACAATTCAAACAACACGGTCGATATCAATTAAAACACACTAAGAACCAAAACCAATAACAAGAACACAATGATACCAACTTAACAACAATGAAACATCAAACAAAAACAGTTGAAACCCATTCAACAGCACCAAAAAACAATCTTAAAATCACCACCGTTGGTTTGCCTCAGAGCTCATGGCCATGACCATGGCCGCCATGGCCACCATGGCTGTGCTCATGTCCCACCTGGGGTTGGGATGGATGGATTGTTTCAGTGGTCAAAACGCTGTCAGCTTGTGGTTTTCATCTCAGCATCCCATCTGGTCCCATCTCACCACGTGTCTTGCCACATCCGCCATGAAACGGCGAAGAGAAATCAGCTGAGTCGCTGAGTGCAATAAAAACTCAACGAGGCCGACGAAGGTGCCTCCAACTCACCGATGCGCACAAGGGCATAGATGGCCATCATAGCAATGACCACGCACAACCTTAGAGTTTCTGCTTGACAGCGGGCGACTTGATCGCGACCAGCAAGCATCAAACAAAGTCCCCTCCAGCAAAAATGCTGACGAACTGGGGGATATCATTCCAACGGTTCCCAACGCAATCTAGTCATAAAATGGTACCAAAAAAATTTAAATGGGCTGTATCCAAATAGAATCCAGCTTTAGGATGCTTTAGGGGGTTAACAAGCGCACCAGTGCCTAGTATCATCACAGCCGCGCAGCCCCTGCAGCCCTGGAACGAATGGGCTCGAACAGCCGCGATGCCCTTGTGATTCTTGCTGATGGACTCAGACACCTGCGGGCTGTCACTCCCATATTAGGTCAACGCCTTTCAGAGCTGAATAATATCAGAAATACACATGTATATGTATAGGATTATAAAGATCTACCTGTCGGTCTTTCTATCTGTATATCTGTCTATTTATCTACCTATATTTCTTTCTTTCTGCCGACAGTATCTCTATCTATTCTTCTGTCTTTCTTTCTGGATATTAGTTGGGTAATCATCCCCAACTAACTCCTCCAGTCTTTTTTTTATCCCCGGTATGTCCCTTTTGGGTGGCCCGGTATGGCCTGTGGGAAGATCATGTTCAGGGCCAGCGACAGGAAACTTCCCGCGGTGAAGGCGGTCGCGTAGCGTTGCACCGTAGCGGCCAGGTCAATTTGACCTCGCCATGGCGACACATGGCGACGCGGTGCCCGGCGGTGCCCGTTGACCAATGGTGGCTTTGACCAATGGTATAACGGTATAATTATAGTGGTTATAATGGGGGGTTTTATAGGATTACAATTGGTATATATATATAATTATAATTATAATGGCATATATTTTTTGATAGGGTTTGATAGGATGATAATGGTTTCGTCCTGGTATACTACCGAAATCAACCGTCGGACATGGTGGTTTTACCCATGAAACAGGGAGATTCAACTGGGAACATAGGAATAATCCAATGGTACATGGGCATATCATGGGGTTTTAGAAGCACAATAGGGAGAACATGAGGGGACATTTCAATATGTTTAATTAATGGGATCGATTCTGATCAATTCAACTCCCGCTATCTATCTGTATCTATCTGTATGTGTATATATATATATGTGTGTGTGTGTGTTTGTGTGATATCTGCGTATGTCCCAAAAAGTAAAAAATAGTCTTATGCCCACAACAAAGGGCTATGTTTATGGGTGAAACGGTAGTGTTACAGTATTACATTGGAAATGATGGTGGTATACATACCCTTCAAACCCACTCCTGCAGCGGCTGGGTTCTTGTCTTGCCCAGGGATAGGTTGGAACTGGCAACAGCCCACAGCATGTCTAGGAGTCCCGGCCAACCACATGCACAAGCGCAACCTAAGTGTTGGAGGGAACAACGGATGGTTTTGACTGGGTGCCCGGTGCCCAACCGGCCACAAATTGTCAAAACTTGAACGTCACTGTTGCCATTCGGAAGTGCCAGGGGTACCGGGACGACCACTGGAAATTGGGCCGCTACCCCGATGGAATATGGTTCCCCCACCAACACTGCCAGATTCCACCAGGAACATCGTCTTCCAAGCTCAACTTGTTGATATCTTTGGGGGTTCCCGGTTGGTTTCAGGATGTTTCAGGTAAGTCTCGGTATGGCATGCGACACCCACGGCCCGAACGCAATACGGTCTGGCAAATCAGTTTCCGGGCGCCACACCCCACCCAAACAGGTGAGGGAAGCGATGAAATTCCAACCTGGGACGTCAACCCATCCCAAGAACAAATGGGGCCAAGAGTGTCAAATCAATAGGGATGGAGAATCGAACATTATGGAAACCACAAATCAGCAGTGCTTCTTCAGACAATTCAGGGAACTGCCTAATACAAACACTCCTGAATTTTGGCATGAAACATCATGAAACCATATAACCCTCCAGGTCATTTGCATTTCAAGGCTAAGTCTTCAGAATGGGAACCAAAAAAAAAGAGCCTTTAATGAACCATGATGAACCCAGGGACACAAGAGTTGGCGCACTGGAAATCCTGCAGCACGAAGTACCATAAAGTCGCCAATCTCCTGCACCACTGATGGCCACGATTATCATCCCAGGATGCTAACAGGAAAAGTAACACCACTAGCCAGTCGAATGATGTCGAATGGGGGCAAACACAATAATAAACCATTCAAACCGTTGGGGTTTATTCTTGGGTAGTACCATATCCCCAGTTTTTTTTTAGATTTCTGGATGGTTGGGATCTTTTTTTATGATATGTAATCTATGGGATTTTGTGTATGCCCATTCCACCTCCAAGGAGGTCCATCCTACACCTTGAAAACACCTGGCTGCTATTGTTACTACTGTAATAATCAAGTTATATATCATAGATGTGTATATATATATATATATCATCGATGAACATATTTCACATGCTATTGTATATCAAATCATCAAATTATATAAATATGTGTTTATCCACATTTGAAGTTTTTTGACATGTATATTATATACTACATACTATATAATACTATATATATGCACTAAAATCTCGATCCGGATTCATATCTTTCATCTCGGTCATCCAAACATCTCCAAACCACCCGTTCTTCCATCCTGGGGGAGTTCGTGCACCTGATCCACTGGCCGACCAGCCCTTTGGAATGCCAAATCACACATCTGAAGCCACACAGAATCCACACCTCAAATGGGATCTCTTTAGGTCATCCTCTGGTCGTCAAACAATTCAAACAAATGCAGGGCTCGTCGCAAACAGAGGTCCCAGGGCAAACCTGTGAATCCATTAAGAAAAAAATCGAACTTCTCTATTCCGGACGAGTAAAGTATCTTGGTTTGCGCCCCTCCCCACTTTTTTAAAACACATTTGGGCAGGTTGTCTGATATTATCGCATCATATCGCATCCACATACAGCACTTGTGGGGGGAAACGCTTGAACCGTGTTGAACCACGAAATCACAATTCTGAGGCTGCAGGCCGCCACTGCCAGGGCAGTGGAGAAACCTGAGGCAAAATGAGTTCTTCAAGAATTTCACCAACAAAGTAATTGGGATAACCTAAGTTGGTTGGAGTATGTTTGTTTTTCTTTTAGATTAGTCATAGCTGTTCAATGAGCTGTTGATGATGCACTTGGGATAAGTCATGGGAATTATAACTGATAGTGGACCAACTATGATAGTCTTGTCTGTCTGAAAATGGTTAGTCTAGCCCATTCGCGGCAATAGCAATCGGGAAATGGAGAATTAACACAAAATTTGGGGATATTGTACCCGATGTTCATACACACCCATATAGAGAGATACAAAAAAAACTCATGAGCATATCAAATGTATTGACAAGTAGCATCGGAATCAGATTGGGATAAGAGATCACGCAACTATTGGCATGTCTATTTTTATTGGGTAATTACATATGATACATTGGTGACATATAATACATACATATATACCCTCTGGTAAACTAACATAACTATGGAAAATCACAAATTTTAATGGGTAAATCCACTATAAATGGCCATGTTCAATAGCTATGTCAAATTACCAGGGGGTATATATACAATTCTATATCTTCAATTTCATGGGGAGCACATTGGGAGAAGGAACAGAGGGATCACAAAAAGACGAATGGGATTCATCCGGCCGTCAGGTGACTTTTTGAACAAACATAGTCATAGTCGTGGCTTAACCACCAAAATAAGAGCGTATATCACATAATATATATATATAGATAGATAGATTATACCTGGGTAAATTATTTGAAAAAAAAACGCTAACCTGAATTAAGGCTATCTTGGGGATGATTTCTCTTACTAACCATTATTCCAGTGAGGGAGAACAGTGAGGTCGTTATAAGTTACCCAGATTAAGGGCGTCTTTTTCTCCGCTATCATTGGACTATCCTTCACCTTTGGGGGGATCACTTTCTGTGCGAGTTTTTCTAGGGGAATTACTTCACGATCCTAACAAGTCATCCTCCAAAAGTCCGTGATTCAAACAGATTCACATACGTTTCACCTACTTTCATACGTATTTTTCCATCATGTATCCTGATTAGTGCCATGGTCTGGTACTGTGATTTTTTTTTATGAAAACAATTTCAGCAGTGTGAATTGATGGGTCGGTATTGTGTCATTTTTTCCTCAAGCATTCTTCAGTTTTTCCGATTTTGTTCAGGCATTTTCTAAAAAACAAAGATTTCTTTCCAGAATTGTGGTGTCATTCAAAAGAAAACACGGTTCCAAAAAAATCCAAAAAATAAGTTCCTTATTAAAAATAAGCAGCACCCAAACAATTTTTCAACGGGATAGCCCATGAGCAACTCAAATAGATCTTCAATACTAATTACCCTTGTTGGGGGTCGTCTATTGTGTCCAACTTTTTCTCGGGTGATTTTTTCCAAGATACTTTTATGTTTTCCTTTACTGTAGCTTTTGTCTCTGACTTAGTTCCGTTCTCCAGATATACTTTGCTGTTTTTTTTATGGAGTTTCTATGGGATTCCTGGAGGTTTGTATGGGATTTCTATGGGATTTCTATGGGGTGTCTATATGGGATTTCTCTGGTGTTTCTATGCGATGGCTATGGCACTTCGTTAAGATTTCTTTGCAATTTCGGAGGCGTTTCTATGGGATGTCTATGCCATTTCTATGTGAGTGATTTCTATGAAATTTCTATGGAATTTCCACGGGATTTCTACGGTATTTCTGTGGGATTGCTGTGGAATTTCTATAGTATATTTTTGCAATGTCGATAGGGCATCTATGGGATTTCCCTGATATTTCTGTGAGAATTTCTCTGGAATTTCAATGGAATTTCTGTAGTGTTTTCGTGGGATTGCTATGGGATTTCCATAAGATTTCTTTGCCGAAAGGATTTCTATGGGATGCCTATGGGATTTCTACATAGATTGACATTAATTGAAAACCTTGCTTTCCAATTGTTTTCCTTTTGGGTTTAAAAGGAAAATCAATTGAACATCGATGGATATCTATTGAAGTCCTCATATACTTGATGTCCTTAAGGTTTAAAAGTAAAATCAATTGAAACTAAATTGAAATCAATTGAAATACTTTCTTATGAATTCATTTCTTGTGGGTTTGGAAGGACAATCAATTGAAACTAAAATGAAATCAATTGAAATACATTCTTATCAATTCATTTCTTGTAGGTTTGAAGGGCAATCAATTGAAACTAATTTGAAATCAATTGAAATACTTTCGTATCAATAGATTTCTTGAAGGTTTATATAAAGGGAAAATCAAATGAAAGTAAACTGAAATCAAGTGAAATCCTTTCTTATCAATTGATTCATTCAAGATTTGAAAGGAAAATCAATTGACAGTAAATTGAATCCAATTGAAATCCGTTCTTATCAATCGATTCTTGAAAGTTTAAAGTTTAAAAAATGAAATCAATTGAAAACAGATTGTAATCGATTAAAATCCTTACTTACAATAATGATCCAAAATTGTTTGAACCCTGGCCCCTCAAAACTTACCAGCCTAAAGAGACCTCCTCCAATGTTTGGGGGGTGCCTTGCACTAATCAAGATCCAACATATCTATAGCAGAAAAAAACAACATCTCATCCCAAATTCCCAGCTGTACTCCACACATGATCATTTTAGTACTATTAGCAATTGTTTATTGGGACTTTCGAGCATCTTGGTATATTCATAGGTCTATGGGTAAATTCACAAACCTCAATAGTTTGGCCAATTGCACAACCTCTCCCGTTGAAGTACATGAGTTGGTTGATAGGTATCACTACTATGGTTTACTTCATAACCCCCCCAGCAATTCGTATGTATAACCTCCTAAGCATTATCCCACCAACATGAATTAACAGCGGTATTGCGGTATTTTATCTAATTGGTGGGATATCAAGTTACAACTGTATCTACAACATATTTTACTTAAAATAAAGCCTATTTTGAGACAGTTGCCCAGTTCCAGGTAAAACAAATCCATCTATGACCCAGTCATAGCTGGTAAGTCATACCGGTCATTAATCGAAGTTCCGGGTTCTAATAGCTATACCCTCTGGTAAACATACAAAAAAACATGGAAAATCACAACTTTTAATGAGTAAATCCACTATTTTGACTGGGCCATGTTCAATAGCTATGTCACAAATAACCAGAGGGTATACATTATCATACATCCCAATCATTTATCAATTGTATTCTCCCATTTTTCTCTGATAGCAAAACTCCCATGAAAAAAAAACTATATGTGATGCTTCAATCCCAAAACATCTATTAACAGGGGTATAGGGCTATATACTGTTATATATCCACAATCCACATCATCTATCAATCTGATCCCCATTTCTTTCCACATTAAATACCATAATATGCATAGTATCAACTCAGCACTGAAACCTTCAATAATCTTAGTAACGTCCATTGCATTTCTTTCATTATTCATCCACTTCAATTCCATACTTTTTGACTGGATTTTCTCCAGCACTTATTTAGATGTTTTCCCACAATGTGGCCCCCCCCCCAGTGATGTTAATTAGTTGGTTTATAAACCCCATGAATACTATAGTTATAAGTACCATAAACCATAGTTATTGGAGTTTTCCCAGCAATGTGGACCTCCATTTATAAAACGGGAAGTTGCACCACCAATGGAACCACCGTTGCACCCCACCAGGTGCGCCTGAAGAGGCACTGGCACGCCAGGCAATGCCTAAGCCAATGCCGTCCACGAAGTTATGCATCATCTCGGTGACCTTAGGCTCCAATGTGGGTGCTTTATGGAATTTATTGGAATTTATTGGAATTTATAACCATTTATAACCGGTAACCCAAAAATAACCAAGAATAATCTAACTAGTATAGTTAGTGCAAACTAAAAAAAAAAATCAGAATCACCAAAGCGGTTATTACATGTTATTGTTGGGTTGATGAAACAGCCATGAATGATGGTTACTATACTAACGTGGCAAACCCAATAATAACAATTCCCTAATATTGCCATATGTGGATATATATATATACATCATATGGTATCGGTATAAACCATCCAAGTTGCAGGGAAATGATTGGCTTTAGTATTGACTTAGGCTAGAATCCTTAGACAAATGATGATTATATTGAAAGCATGACATGGATATACATTATATATATCATATTCAAATGGCTCTTGTTCTTGACATGTTAGCAGCTAAGCGAGAACCAATCAAGTGTTTTCAGAACCACGGTATCTGTGTATGTTTTCACACCAGAAATGGTTAGCTGATAACCACCGTAGTGGTTGATATTTGGGTGTCCCACCAGGTCTCGACAGACATCCAGAGAAATGCTCCAAATGTGTGGAGAATCGCTTTCTGAAGTGATTCTGGCCGAATATCATTATATAATACAAATGAATAAGTCCCCAACAAAACTTGAAACATTCCATTAGCATCAGCGAAGCAGTCGAGGACTGCTTCACGCGCAGCCACGGAAATCCGACAGCTGAGGTTGAGGCGAGATTGGCAATGCCATAAGCATGGACCTGTCACAGTGTGGACAGTGAGACACCTCACAACAACAACATGCAGTAACCCCCCCCTCCCCCCCGTTCATGTTTAAACACCCCCCAGAAACCATGGCTTGGTAAGGGACAGGGATAGAAACATGTTTTTTTCTGAACCATAGAAACATCCATGGGATTCGAGGGTTTTGAAGGTTAGGGGGCATGGGATTTTGTTATGAACTCACCCATGGAGGGATTCAAAACCTCCATCCCTTCCGTCAAAGTCCGAAACTTTTTTGCGACATAAAATTGGTGTCAGCGTAGTTAAAGGACATGAAAATGGCATCAATTGTACAGGATACCTCTCTATTTGATGGTACTTAAATACACAAATATACAAAAATAATGGTTTTCTGAGGGTTTCCCTTTAACCAATCCATTGACTGCTGTTCATGTGGATCCAATTTGATAACCGCTGGAAGAGTCCAACTGGAAAATTTTTTTCACCGGTCCAACGGTCCAACGCGATTCCCCGAATGACAGAATTACCCTCTGGTAATTTAACATAGCTATTGAAAATGGCCATTTATAGTGGATTTTCCCATTAAAAATGGTGATTTTCAATAGTTATGTTAGTTTACCAGAGGGTAATGATTGGAACATAGAGAAACCACTTTTCAGAAAATGACAGAAAGTTGATGCTTTCCTCGTTCATTCATGGTTTCGCCACCTGTTGAACACAGCTGGCGGTTGTATGATTCTTGATTATCCCATTTGCCCATGTGTGACATGGAACATGCAAAAAGACACATGATCACACGCTTTTTCAAGCACCAGCCAAAGTTTACAGATTTCTTGAATTACTTGGTTGAACACCCATGTGTTCTTTCATAATTCCTACTTTTTGTCTACATTCCGTTTCCAATGATATCCAACAAAATGATACAATATCAAATATTGGGATCTCCAATCATATGTCCAACAACATAGGGAATAAACAAAAATGGGATATGTCAAATGTAATTTCCAAATATGTCCAATGACATCCATGGGGATATGATACAAAATGATGAAACTTGATGAAATCCAACAGGCTGCAGTGCCCCAATGGTTGAAACCCACACCACTGCATTTCCCAGCGCCTCGTGACTGTGCTCATGACCTGGACGCTTGCCGCCCTTGAAAAGTCCGCAAATGTGTATATGTGTATATATTAATAGATCTATTTAATCTATTCAAATGTGTACAATTGTACACATTGAGATAGATATGTTATATGTTTGTGTGATAAATGCTATGCATATGTATATATATATACATATATATATATAATATATGGATATATATGGGCTTTCCCAAAATAGGGCTACCCCCCATCCAAGTCATTAGACTAGTGCTGAAACCGGTGACTGGGGATCCCCCCATGACGTAACGCCCATGGTGCTAGCGCGCGCCTCGATGGTGCCACTCCACAAGGCCAGGGATCGTCAAAATCGCCAGACCTCATGGCCGCTGTGCTGGGTTTCTCCAGTGATCCACAACGATTTTTTGGACAAAAATGGAAAGCCACTGGGTGATCCACCTTTTTGTTCCAGGTAAAAAAAATGGGAGTATCATTTTGAGTATCATCGTTTTTGGAGAAGTACACTTTGCATATGGACATGGAAGATTTTTCTGGAGATCGATATCCAGTTGGAATTTGGTGACCATTTTCTCACGATCCAAAAGGCGCATCTGGTGACACCTGGGCAGCCCCTACACCCTGCCGTGGCAGCAATGCCCACCGCAGTCATGGTCCCGTGGTCTGCGCCCTGATGGTCCGGGAAGAGATCTGCATGAAAAATGATGGAAGAAATTGAACATGAAGTTGTTTTACTATGTTTTACTCCTACATCTGCAGCTGAAGCTGCAGATGAAATCTTACTTAAATGTACTAAAATCTATCACTAAATCTATCTCCTAAAACAAAATGAAGGACTAAACTAACTGCTGTCTCTACAAGACTGGAACAACCTTTCAACATTTCCAGTCCGAAACCCACGAAACCCACCTCCAAGGCATGTGGCAACAGGTGAATCAACGCATCTGCCACCAGGACCGTGGCTGAAAACGCCAGGCTGCAGTACTCCACCACTGCTCCAATCCTGATGGTATACCCGCAACGATGTCATCAAACATGGCTGGAGGATCAACACAAATGGAGTTTTTTTTTTTTGTTTTTGGCGGGAAAATCAATGAACATTATCTAAGTCTATATCTATATCATCTATATAATTATATGTAATTATATTATACATATATATATATATATGGTGGATTTCCAGCAAGCCACGTTTGAACTCCGGAGGCTACTAGGAATAATGGGTAAACGGGTAAACCACCATTTTAAAGGCCCATGAAGCGTTACCCGATGGCTGGTTCTATCATCCCGATCATCAGCTAGGGGCACTTCCATCCATTGATTGGTTTTGCCACATTACCATCATTACCATAAACATCCATAAACCATCCCATTATCATTATCCATCAACGATAGTAAATGGATGTAAATGGTTATGGGATAGCTATGGGGACTTCATTTTTGTTACCAGGCTTCCAATGCTTTGCCCTACAGCAAGATATTTACAGCATTGACAGCATGCAGCATGCAGATCAAGACTGAAAGATCTGGCCGAAAATGTCTAATTCATCATTCAACCCTGGTTGGTGGTTTCAAGCCCTCCGAAGAATATGAAATTCAGTTGGGATGATGACATTCCCAATATATGGAAAGTCATAAAGTTCATGTTCCAAACCACCAACCAGTTGTTGGGTTACTTCAGTGGAGTTTACCAACCCAAAAACCTCACAACATTCTATTGGAGTTTACCCAACAATCGTTTCGGGACTCGGCTCGGTTAAGCTACGCTACGGCTGCCATATAGGCTCGGCGCCTCGGCATTCGCAGCGGAATCATCAGCGCAGCGCCTGGGCAAAGGGAAACGGATGAAAGTTGGGAACATGTCACATAGACAAGATATCAAGATAGTGATAGGTTACTGTTTGGCATCTTTTTAGGGGTTACTCAGTTTCTGTATGATACTCTTGAACTATGAAAGAAAAGAATGAGATCGCTGCACTGGGACCCGCAACAAACCAACGTGATTTTTTTATTTTTTGCGAATCACAGGCTCCCAAAGTTCCAAAGGCAGGAGCAAGAAGTCATTAAACTTTAAACCATATTAAACCCCTACTTCTCACGGCAAGAACTTTTGGGCAAACAAACTAAGTCATACATAAACATAAATATCCGCCTTCAAGTCCAGATGAATTTCATTGAATTTCCCTAGACATGTGTCACTTCCAAACAAAACCTCGTCCTCCAAAGGTTGGTGCCGTTGGTGCCAGCATTTCTAAGTGTTCAGCCTGCAAAGCTGAGAATACTCATCAGACCAGCCGATGCCTCATCCGCCGATCACCCCAATGATCCCAGATGGAGCCCTCCAGTTCCCAGTTCCCACCTATAAGTGGAGCCCAAAGGCCCAAAGGCGATCAAAGATGATCAAACCATGTCAACCTCCGGAAATTGGATGATTTTATATGATTTTATATGATTTTGATGGGGATCATCATCCAACCACCAACTCATCAACCAGTTACTTATTGATCAATCTTTCTTCTTATTGGCATGGCCAAATATAGAAGTGATGGCTGCCAAGCATCCACTTTCTCACCGCTTGTGGCAATGATTTTCCTACCAGGTTTCTCGCCAGTTATAAGTTGATTTATACATCATCCAATTATAGTTCTGTTTGCCATTATATAAGCCCTAGTCATTGGAGTTAGAAACCAATTATGGGGCCACACCTTGTATAAACCACCAACATCACCAACTGAGATTTGGAACGTATGCTGGAAGCCACCATTGGTGCCTCACCTCCATACCTTGTGCATGCAAAAGAACATCATTTCACCAGCAGAGAGGGGAACAAACCCTTCATTCAGTTCAAGAATTTCCCAGCTAACCATGTTTGATTACCAAAGGTATCCAGACGGCATTGAGAAATGGGGGTCCATTCTGAAGATCTCAATTTGGAGTTGGGGAAATTAATATAAACTTAACGATAATCGAGTGGATTTTGGGATACCCGCGCTACCAAACAGCAAAATACTTCTTCTCACCTGGGATCCTCCCGTTGGGGTGGACGATGACCAATCGCAAACCCGTGAGCAACCACACAGCAGTTCACCTGTTTAACGCGAGATGGGAAGACAATGACCTTCAAAAACAATATGCTTGTGGTTACTGTGGTGCAAGATATCAAGGTCATTTTGGATCATCTTGGATCATGTTGGATCATTTTCGATCATCCAAAGTACGAAGTGGACAATAACTATTCGGAACAACATCCAGCAGTAATGGCGACATGCCTATTCCATGGTGGTAAATTATTCATCTTCTTTCTCGTTGTTTGTCGTTGTGCTTGTTCTGGTCGGTCCGGTGAAAAATTGTGGTTGTTGTCGTTGTATGTGTGTTTACCTTGTTGTTGCTTACCTTGCTATTGTTTACCATGCAGTTCTTGATTGCCAATGGACCAATATCCAATGGTGTAGACCAAACCCCATCTGCTTGGAATGCGCCCACAACCCGTATTTTCCCAGCTCGCACCGTGCGATACGCACGGAGTGGTTTCTGCAGCCTGGCACTGCAGTGTCAAATCTATAATTGCTCAAGTCCGGCTGAGGAAACCAAGGGATGGAGCAAACGGGCTGAAGACGGAGCCCAGCGCAACCCGATCGGAAAACGCACATGGGATGTTTCGTGATGTTTCATGTGCGTCCATATATTGGCTTTGGTTTCTTTACCACAAATGACGAAATAGGTGAAACATGATGAAACATGATGAAACGCCATGCAACAATAATTGGAGATTGGAGCTGCCAGAGTGGCCTGTCGATTTGCCGATGCTCAAACAATATTCATCGACCTTCGTGATTTTTTTCAGGTTTTGCGTTTAGCTTATCCATCCCTTTTCCCCGTCTGTACACAGGTTCGTGTGCTGCAATTAGCCAGCACTGGCCCGTACAAACAGTTTCTCAGCAACAGTTGATCCGCTAGAAATTCAGTCCCTCACGCCCCCAGGCGCGTGACCACCCATCAAACACCGACTTATAGGGCATGCAGTATATACCATGCGCATATGCACCGTCCTGTCAACAGATCAGTTCACAATACGGAGCTAATTCCCAATAAATGGATCTGTCTGAAAATAGGACGCCCCAAAATCGCCAAAATGCAATGGCACCCCCCCATGGCACCACCACGATCTAATGGCTGTTTCTTCATTTTCTTCGTTTTTGATACTATGAGATTTTTGTAACATGCCTAAACTTGGACTTGGACCACCCTAAATACAATCATCCTTCGAGAAACGCAAACACGAGACTCAGCAACAAGGACATCCTTTTGGTATAGTTAATATATTTCGGATGATTTCAGGCTCATTTTTGGCGATATGCCATCATTTTACATACTTAAGTATAATACACATATAATGTTTTTATAGGGAGGCCACTCTGTTCATCAACCAACATTCAGCAAGATTATCCTTCAGCAAGCCCCGAAGGTGAGTCACCTTTTTGCTGAGGTTATTGGCTGAGCCATGAAACTGCTGCTGGAGCCATGACGCAACGCGCCTGGCCTTTACAATCATTCGTACCCCGAACGCCGCACGCCCGGGGAAAACAAAAGAGGCCGCCTCTTTCTCGCCAGGATGGGTAAATGCTGATGTCATGGTCTCCATGGCCCAGAGGCCATGGAAAATATGGCCAATGTTGGTGGTCATGACCCTCCACCATGGTTGATGACCTCCATTGTATATATATATATGGCTCACAAGATTCACCTATCCATACCTATCCAAACTTTAGGAATCAAGTATGTTTACCTTCACCGTTTAAATTTATAAGTATCTACAGTTGAAAAATAAAAATAGATCATGGCCAAAATACCCTGCAAGAGGCATGGATAGGGAGTGGAAATATCACCATGCCGGCAAAAAATAAAGTTACTAAAGTGCCCATCCAAGGTTTACAAAGTTTACCCAATTGAAATAACCATATGTTTTGATTGCTTCAGGTATACACCCCTACTGAGGTTATAATTGGTCATATCTCCATTATATTGCCACGATTATCCGGCTTATATCGCCAGTATATCTCCACATTAGCTACTAACTTCAATTGGTTAAACCATGTTAATTCCCCCATCTTTGATAGTTAGAATCAACCCATGGATAATGTACTAGATCCCCATATCCCATGTTATTATCATATCCATATCATTTCGATGGCGATTTCTTGGTTTTCCCACCTCTTTCGGTTTTTCTCATCCGCCACGAGCGGAATGGCCCCGCTGCCAGTGGGCCAAGCTGCTGGAAGGGATTGGCACCACTCCAGACCTTTCGGAAAATGGGCAAGTTCGGCTGCTTGTGAATGATAATAGTGATGATAACAGTGGTGATGCTTCTGATGATAATAGTGGTGATGATTCGTTATGCTGATGAAATTTACCCTCTGACAAACGTTTGCAAAAAGTGAACTGGAAAATCACCATCTGAAAAAAGTTCGGCAAATCAACTATTTCTATGGGCCATTTATATCCATTTATGCCATTTTCAATAGCCATGTAACAAATTACCAGAGGCTAACGAGAGATCATGGGAACTGGGATGATTTTCAGTAATGATGGTTAGCTAGTGATGAATGTGTGGGAGAATGATCATGGGATGGTTAATTTAATCGTGATTAATGATGAATAGTATCTCTATATATATATATATTCATATCAGATCCAAGGGTAAATGGTTACAGTAAGATCACTGGAATTCATGCGGGATTCACCCAATGGCCATTTGCACCATCCCCAAGTCATCACCATTGAAAAATGGGTGGGATTTTTTCACAATCCTGAAATGGTACGATTAGTGTGTTGCCCACATGAACTAGCAATAACTGGCTAAGAATTCACTGGCAAAAAACTGTGGTTATCATCTGGTTATTTAACATAGCCATGGAAAATTGCCCATTTACAGATGGTTTACCTATTACAAATGGTGATTTTCCACGGCTATGTTAAGTAACCAGAGGGTATCATCCCAATGATCCTAAAATTTCTAACTCGCCTTACTGCAGGTACTATATAAGTGGGATGATCCCAACCGTGTTCCCACTCCCGTGCACTCAACAAAAATAGCAAGCCCCAGCCTTGCTAACGCCTAAAGGTTGGAAACCCTGGAAATACTGTTCTGTTTAGGGACATCTACATTCGAAACATTGAGAAAACAAATGGGAACCACAAACATGGGAAATCCATAGCGTTCCCTATTCTCACTGGATAAGTTTAGGGGAACATTGACAGGAAACCATTGTTTGTGCTATCAAATTTAGGGGTGTTCTGTAAGTTCTCCCTTCAACCAAGTCAAATGAGCAAAGACATGAGCAAAAATATGGGAAAATATGAGAATTCCCTATACTCGCTGGATTGGGTTGAAGGGAAAGTCCACAGGACAATTGGGTTTGCTGTAGATGTCCCCACCAAAAAGGTAAATTCCACATGGACAAATTTAAATTTGGGGATATGCCAAAATATGGAACAACATGTGTTTCATGGGGGGAACTACAGTATGGAAAAATGTGGGCAACCATGGCTCGATTTTCAGGGCCATCTTTGACACCATACGGTCTGATGTTTCTCTCCATGCTGGGATGACAATGCACTGCAAAGGCTTTCTGCGTTGCAATCAAAGGTCATGTTCCATGCATGGAATTCTATGGACACGTTTCATGTTGCATTAAGTTGCCATGGATATTGCCTGTGGTCGTGCTTGTTGCAACGTAAAATCGTGAAGAGTTCGTGAACTTATACCCTCCAGTAGCCAGCAATTTAGATCATTTCCCCAAGGACCCCCTTGGGGAAGTTCTCGAGATCGTAACTCCATGATGTTCCACCATAGTTTCTACGGTTCAAACTTTTCTATCCATGGTTTGCTTAAATCAATCCTGTATCAATCCATTGTTGGTTGGTTGTATCCCATGTTTAATTTTAACCCATTAATAGCCATTGAATAAAACCATTAAAAGACCATTGCTAGCCATTGCATGTAGTAGTCATCAAATATCTTGTCTAAATTAGTTCAATTGACCATTTACAAACGAGTTTTCAATGAAATTCCCCACATAGCTCGGTTGGATTGTCCCAGCTGGTCCCAGCTGGCCATATTGGATAACTCCGATTTTCTTCCTCCAAGCGTCTCCTGGCGCATGAAACTTTGACTTCGACCCCGCCGGAGTTCTGCAATCTCCTCCTGTCGGGTCAAGTTCTGCTCAAGAGCAAACATACAATACACAGTAATTAATGTGGATTAGAAAATATATGCCATAATAATTAAACCACCCATTTGGGGATGGTTTACTATTGTTTGCCCAACATAATATATCAATATTCCTAGTATCCGCGCGCAAAAATAGAAAAGTCATTTACCATATGTGTATATATATATAATAATAATAATCATAATAATAATCATAATAATAAGAATAATATTAATAATAATAATAATAATATATAATCTAAACAGGATAACATTTTTTCCCAAACAAATGGGAAGGTAAGTTGGCAAATCCTATTCAAATAGGAGTCTACTGTTCTATCTCTTTCGGGGCTGTTTTTTTGTGGCAACATGTGGCAACCATCCCCAAAAACTGACCAGAGACTTCCCAGGAAAACCCAGAGACATTCCACACATTTACTCTCTGGTAAACATACAAAAAACTATGGAATATCACCATTCTTAATGGGTATATAAATCAACATATAAATGGTAATTTTCAATAGCTATGTTAGTTTACCAGAGGGTAGCTGTTTGTTTACCTGAGGGTGCAAGCACCTTGTGAAACATGTTGCGATTGTGTGAGGAACACAATAAACAGTGACACCGAGGGCCAGAAAGATCCAAAGCCTCTACGACCGAAATCAGAAAATCCCAAGAATTCGTGGGTGGTCCCAACGAATTTCAAGACGCTCAAAATGACGTTCATCAGTTTGGTAATTCGAGTTCAGGAGCAAGTTCCACACTTTGATCATCCAAAAGCAGACCACTTGAGTATGATACCATTTAAGAACCCCCCCCCACATATTTTCCATTATTCATCACTACTAATTAACAATTTATCACCATGTTTTATCATTGTTAACATTATTGACCATTAATAGCCATTACTATCGCTAACAATAACCATATTCTTGGACTTGGATTGCAGTATCTCAGTCATTTGTCCAGGAACTCACTACCTAAACACCCCGAAGTTCTGTCCAGTCCTTCAACCTTTCATGGACTCTAACTAACTATATGTGAAACTAGTTTATATACTATAGGTTTTGTCTTTTGTTTATCTAACTATAGCTTATACGTATATAAATATAAATATATATATATATAAATGCACGTTTTATCCAGTTTTGTGATTTACAGCAACATCTGATACTATGCAATATCTAAATGGGTTCAGGTGTGGCACAGGGTTACAGTAAATAAAGGGAGAAAAAAGGAAAAACTCACCATGTCCTGAACATCATTTTCCGCGAAACCCATCGATAGCCCGATTTTTCATTGTCTTAATTTTTGCAGATGGTATATCCACATTTATCTGGGCTGCTCCAAACACCCCAGGTACAAAAGGGGAGTAAATTGGGCTATCAAAGTAACATATAGTGAAACCATTTTCAATAATATACATCAATTTACCAATCTTCAATAGCAACCTGTAACAAATTACCAGAGGCTAATCCATATTCATCGCATTATCAACATTTAATGGATATGAACCAACATTAACATCCATTATATAACCACTAATGGATGTAACAAATTACCAGAGGGGTCCCGGGTGGGTATGGTATGTTTTCCATCAGTTCCATGAGTTGCATCCCCTGCAACCACATCCCCTGCAACCCACGAGCCTCGTGAGCTTCGAAACTCCGGGTCTCCAGGTGTACCGGCTGCGGGGTCATGCGGAAATCCACGCCCCACTTCTTCAGTTGACCTCACAGCTGTTTTCTGGATCCGAAAAGTCATGAAATAATGCAAACTAGTTATATATATATATTATATGTATATACATGGTCGTATATTTGTATTATATGACATAGGTTGATATTATATACATGTAGACCCAGATAAGTCTCTAAAGCTTCGCTATATCTGACTATATTGTGAAAATAAGTATGTATAAGACGATATAGGTACTGTATATTATACACATTGTATAATCCCACATGTCTTTAATTTTGGCAATGAAACTACAACATGGCTATAAATCCAGAAGCAGTAGGATGTTTGCATTTTTTTGGGTGCTAAAAACTAAATCCACACATTGCGAGTAGATTCCTCAAGTGGGTTCGAACTCATGGAGATAAAATGGCATTGATTCAGCAAATGAAAGGAGATGGAAACACCAAAATTGACTCTGGTAGCCTTGCTTCAAATCACCAGATCTGAAACGCGCAGGCGTTACTTTCGTACAGTGGAGATCGTTCTTGATATTTACAGGGCCCAGTGGTGGTGATTTACACATCACTCAGCCAGTAGCGAATGTCATCTTCAATGACTATAAAGGTACACAATATCACTCTCTCTCTCTCTCTCTCTAGCCCTGATTCTTCCTGATTCTGGATCTATCTGCAAAGGGGACAATAAACAATTGATATCTGGAAAAAACAACGCATGTTTGTTCACGTTTTTCCGAATTAAATGGGGTATTCCGCATTCCCTATGCCCCTACTTTGGACAAACGCTGGAATCTCAAACAGGGCTAATATGGGTTTACCAGCAATGGTCAGTGAAGAGTCTCAAAAATTTGTCTGCATTTGTTTTCTCTCGCAAAATACTGGATAATACTGGTGTGCCTAGGTTATCCTAGGTTAGCGTATTATATCATATCATAGCATATAGTGGTACCCCCAAAAGGGAGGGGGGAAAAAATGTAAGTTACATTTCCCATGTCCCCCTAGGGGGGGTCATAGCTTACATGTTTCACCCTTCCAAAACCTGGATTTCTGGTACCTTAGAGATTTTAAGTTACAATTAACCCACCCTAAAAACACCCCGAAAAATGTAAGTTACATATTGTAACATCCCACCCAAAAATATAGGTTAAGGGGGTGGGGATGATAAATCTACGGAATTGGGAACTTACCAATTTACTTGAAGTTGCTAAGAACATGAGTTAGCAGAAAATTCCCTTCTTCTTTGTGATGGTCCCCAGAATCAAATGCCATGCCCAATCGGAATCAGAGTTTTCAAGGTGTGCCACCCTCCATCCTTGGCAAATCTGGCAACCAAGCAGCCCAGCAAACTGTACATCACCCGGGAGGTATCGCGCCGGATCTCTGGGATGCTTTGCCAAGGCTGGCGATGCATCAAACGAATGCCTTGCGCAGCACGGTACGTATGTACAATTGTATATGTATGTATATGTATGTCAAAGTATGTATATGTATGTGCATGTGCATCTGTAAATGCAAATGAATTTGTATATGTACATGTATGTAAATATGTATGTATGTATGTATGTATGCATGAATGTATGAATGTATGAATGTATGAATCTATGAAAGAATGAATGAATGAATGAATGCATGAATGAATGAATGAATGAATGAATGTATGTTTGTATGTTTGTCCTTGGCAAATCTGGCAACCAAGCAGCCCAGCAAACTGTACATCACCCGGGAGGTATCGCGCCGGATCTCTGGGATGCTTTGCCAAGGCTGGCGATGCATCAAACGAATGCCTTGCGCAGCACGGTACGTATGTACAATTGTATATGTATGTATATGTATGTCAAAGTATGTATATGTATGTGCATGTGCATCTGTAAATGCAAATGAATTTGTATATGTACATGTATGTAAATATGTATGTATGTATGTATGTATGCATGAATGTATGAATGTATGAATGTATGAATCTATGAAAGAATGAATGAATGAATGAATGCATGAATGAATGAATGAATGAATGAATGTATGTTTGTATGTTTGTATGTTTGTATGTTTGTATGCATGTGCATGTATGTACATGTAAGTATGCATATGTATGTTTATGTATGTATATATGTATGTACACATATATGTATACATGTATGTATATATGTAGATAAAAATGTATGTGTATATGATGTGTGTATATACGTATGTATATGTATGAAACTAATGTACGTATACATGTATGTAAGTAAACATGTATGTGCATATATATATATATATGAATATCAATATATATGTATACATACATGTATGTATACATGTATGTATATATATATATATGTGTGTGTGTATGTATGTATGTATGTACGTATGTTTGTAGGTATGTAGGTATGTGTATGTATGCATGTGTGTATGCATGTATGCATATATATATATATCTGTATGCATGTATGTATGTATGTATGTATATGTATGCGTATGTATGTGTATGTATATGTATGCGTATGTATGTGTATGTGTATGTATGTGTGTGTATGTGTGTATGTATGTGTGTATGTATGTGTGTGTATGTATGTGTGTATGTATGTGTGTATGTATGCGTGTATGTATGTGTGTCTGTATGTGTGTATGTATGTGTGTATGTATGTGTGTGTATGTATGTATGTATGTACGTATGTACGTATGTATGTGTGTATGTATGTGTGTATGTATGTGTGTATGTATGTGTGTATGTATGTGTGTATGTATGTGTGTATGTATGTGTGTATGTATGTGTCTATGTATGTATGTATGTATGTGTGTATGTATGTGTGCATTTATGTGTGTATGTATGTGTGTATGTATGTGTATATGTATGTGTGTATGTATGTGTATATGTATGTGTATATGTATGCATGTATGTATGTATGTAAGTATGTATGTATGTATGTGGTATATATGTATGCAAACAATGCATCGTTATGTATGTCTGTCCGTATGTCTGTATGCCTGTATGCCTGTCCGGCTGTCTGGCTGTCTGGCTGTCTGTCTATTAAGTTAGGTGTTACTTTGTGCTCTAGCCATGTGATTATCCCGATCGGCAAAAAGAGGCGACATTACCCATGATTAACCTCCGGATAGTACCTCTTCAAAAGTTGGTACTGAAAATGTGCCACATTGCCGAAAAATTACCCATGCTTCGCCCCGAAGACCGGCATTTGTCCACCCATCCGGCTATTTATATATATAATATTTGTTGCCGTGGGCGCTAGTTTACAGTCGAACATGTAGGAATTCATCGAATTTTCTCCAAATTCATGAGGTAACTGCACCAATTACAATTGCTTTGTAATAAAATTTGATGACAATTCATGAGATGCTCAGATTCTGTTCAGATGTTCCCTGACTTTCATGGCCTCCCTTTACGGCCAAGCTGCAATGCGCGGTGCCCCCGGAAAGATCGCAGGTGGCCCGGCCGCCGGACAGGGCGCAGAAGGAGCGCAAGTAACTGGGGACCCAGGCCTTGAAGCTGGGAGCTGAGGAGCGTCTTTCTGGTGCTTAGTAGTTGAAAATTGGGAAAATATATGGGAACATGGATAAACTTTGGGATGATTGATGCTTGTTGATATGGATCATTCCCAGCTTTTCCCGACCAGTAAGTCATACATGGTAAAGCCTAGATATAGATATAGGTTTTAAGCCGAATCTGGGGCGAATTGGGACAGGATCATAGACTTAAGCCCCAAGTTTGTTTTCAAAAACTCAGCCATAAACCGTTTAAGGTGTTTAAAAAAAGATATCACCAATTTTAAGGAGGTTTTTGTTTTCTGAGTACATTTCTGGGATGAGCAAAAAAGGTGGCTGTCCTTGGGGATGCCACCAAGCCCGTGACTCTTGCCTAAAAAAAATACATTTATCCAACACACATATATATCAGATTAATCTACCTACCTACATATTGTATGTATATAATATATATATATACATATAATATGTATATACTGTAATGATGCACACGATGCACACTGTGTATATGCAGAACTTTTTGGGAAACACACATGCAAAGTGAAATCGCGTGAAATCTATGTAATGTAAATTGATTTTGGAATCGATTTCATGTACAGTGACTTCCCTTAAACACCGAACGAAAATCTGCACCTCCTTCTCGTTGCTGATGTAGTTCTCAACAAAAGCGTTGATCCTCGCTGAGTGCAGGGACATACGATACAAAACACACACACATGGACATAAATACATATATATATATGAATACATACAACAAAATTCATTATACACATGTCTACATGTCTACATCACATAATACTGCCATAGTGATTTATTCATATTCACATTAATCTTGGCATGAAATTAATGTACATTATACCATCTGGTTATATAACATAGCCATGGAAAATCATCATTAAAAAAAGAACGGTAAACCATCCATTTCTATGGGCCATCTATACCATGACAAAGTGTTAGTCATAACCAGAGGGTAATCAATATTCTGGATACATTATATTATTTCACTAACCTGAATCTTGCGGCCATTTGGAGATGATTTCCCTCAAATAAACCATGATTCCAGGGTTCGGGAGAACAGTGAGGTCGTTATAATTTACCCAAATATATGTAGATCTTAGACATACTATAAACATTATAATATTATAAACATTATAGTATAAACATACTATACACATATAAACATTATAGTTTGGTCCTGGAGATCACGTCCGTAGAGACCTCGGAGCTTTGGAAGACCACGTTGATCTCCACCTTGTGGCCCGCGCAGACTGCTGGGGGGGGATCCTGGGAGTTTTGCATGGGAACCCTGGAAATATGGTGGAAAACGATGGACAAAACTGGGAAAATGTAGGAAGAACATGGAACATAAATGGAAAAAATGAAGGACAACTGAGCCAAGAAACCACCTAACACTTGGATTTGAGTCATTTGAGCATGATTTGAGAATGAAAAAACATATCTGGGGCCGACTGGGGCCCCACCAAACATTCCAAGGTCAGCTGGTTCATGCGGGAAGGTGCCAGAGTTGCTGAATCACCAGAAGACGGAGGGATCATGCCAAGCACGTGAAAACTGGGATGCGGCTATGATGGGATATGGACATGACAAAATCTGACATGCCCCACTTGGAGCACCCCCGAAAAGGATCGAAAACACAATGTATACTAATGTTAATGTGTATCCAGTAAAGCAATGATCAGCTCATACCTTGTTGATTTATACAACCCATTTGTATCCATTTGTCGTACATTTAGGGATGGTGTTGCTATTGTTTTGCCAACATCACAATGATGGTAAGTTACTGTTGTTTCTGTACTCCCTTTGTTTGGATCACAGCCCAAATCCAAGTTGCAACGGCATTGAGCGAACGTCCCAGATTTAGAATGTCCTGTTGGGAGGCACAGCACAGGACCCTGAGAAACTTCGCTTCATGGCTCTGAACATCTGTAAATCATGAGATTAGCCGGTTTTTCTCCCGAAAAAATCATGAACAACAAATGAAATTACTTTACTTCGTGTGATCCCCACCATGACATTTATACATTTTCTTACTGGCAAATCTTCTGGCACTCTATCTGACATATCTTCTGGCATTCAATCTGGCATTCTATCTGGCATATCTTCTGGCATTCAATCTGGCATATCTTCTGGCATATGATCTGGCATATCTTCTGGCATTCTATCTGGCAAATCTTCTGGCATTCTATCTGGCATATCTTCTGGCACTCTATCTGACATATCTTCTGGCATTCAATCTGGCATTCTATCTGGCATATATTCTGACATATCTTCTGGCATTCTATCTGACATATCTTCTGGCATATATTCTGACATATCTTCTGGCATATCTTCTTGCATATCTTCTGGCATATCTATCTGGCATATCTTCTGGCATATTTTCTGGCATTCTATCTGGCAAATCTTCTGGCATTCTATCTGGCATTCTATCTGGCATATCTTCTGGCATATTATCTGGCATTCTATCTGGCATATCTTCTGGCATATATTCTGACATATCTTCTGGCATTCTATCTGGCATTCTATTTGGCATTCTATCTGGCATATCTTCTGGCATATCTTCTGGCATTCTTTCTGACATTCTTTCTAACTTTCTTCTGCACATTCTTTGTCCCATATCTTCCTACATGAGGTCCGGCAGGGAACACTTGGCGTGGATACTCGCGGTTGAGGTCCGGCAGGGAACACTTGGCATGGATACTCGTGTTGAGGTCCGGCAGGGAACACTGGGCGTGGATGGCCGTGGTTGAGGTCCGGCAGGGAACACTGGGCGTGGATGGTCGTGGTTGAGGTCCGGCAGGGAACACTGGGCGTGGATGGTCGTGGTTGAGGTCCGGCAGGGACCACTGGGCGTGGATGGCCGTGGTTGAGGTCCGGCAGGGAACACTGGGCGTGGATGGTCGTGGTTGAGGTCCGACAGAGAACACTGTGGATCGCGGGTCGCAGTTGGACGAGGAGGACGACGAGGAGGACGACGAGGAGGAGGAGAGGAGAAGAGGAGAGGAGGAGCAGGCAACTGACATAAAATCTAACAACCCTCACCTGGCAGGTGGGGAACAACAAGTCTTAGGCTTAGGCATTACTTTACTACCGCAACCGTTTAGACCAAAACTGTGAAAGATACCAAAAACACGCTTTTGATGAGAAAATGATGGCAGACCATCATATTTTGGGGTGCCCTAGTTTTCAGAAAAAACCCACCGTGGTGTATGAAACCAACAAACCTTGGCAACTTGGACAAAAGCGCTGCCCGAGAAAAGGGTTCCCAAAACTGGCATGGAGCTTGAACAGGACTGGAATGATCCAAATGAAATCACCAAAAATTTTCCCAGGTTTTTTTGTGGAAAGAAGACCAGCCACTATCTTCATCCACGTTGCCTCGTGAAAGAGTTTACTGTTTTTCAGGTAGACGCAGTGGTTGGCCAGATCTCGGGCTTCAGTGGTTAGGATGTTGATCCTGAGTGGACGGTGGCGGTTAAGAACAGCTTCAATGAATCTTTGTTGGCACAAACATAGAGATACCCAATATGCATATATTATATTATGTATAAATAATATATAATTATTATATATATTGTATATATTTATATGTACATTAACATACCGTAAAAACAAAAGAACTCAACATCAGCCCCAAAAGTTTCCCAAACAAAGTAACTGTGCCTGCTCGCCATCATCCCATGTTCTTTCAATGTGGGACCCGGGATCTTTTCAGGGAGCTCAACTCAGCCGGGTCGGTAGCGTCGCCCCAGTCCCAGCTTCTTCTGAACGGTGTAGATATTTGAGCCATCGCCCAATAGGATGCGATCCCCGACATCAAAAGGATGGATCACCAGAAGCAGAACCAAACTCTCAAAGATCTCCTGGTTCCGGCACCGCTGTCCAGGATGGTCCAGGGATGTCCAGGGCTTCTGGGGAGTAACATTGGGGGCGCAGGGAATTCTATAGACCCACACGAATGGGTCCTGGGTTTACTTTGTAATTCACGCAGTGGAGAGTCAACATGTATCAAATCTAGCTTGTTGGTAGGGCGGTGGGCCAGACATCATCCAGTGAAGAAAAACTATATATACCCGTACCCTCTACTCTTGGCATCGATATCAAGATAGTGTGTCGTCAACAACAACAACCAAACAACCAACCAACCAACCAACCAACCAAACAAACAAACAAACAAAACAAACAAACAAACAACCACAAACAACCCGGCGGGTTGTTTATCGAACCCGCGTTTTCAACGTTTGCAGTGTTCGTCATTGATTTCATACCACAAATCACAGTGGTTTTGCATCTCTCTCAAAGTTCAATTTCCTTAAAAAGTACGCGCGTACTTTTCACTGGATATGTAAAAAACCGCAGCGGCACTCTCTTTTTTTCTGCGCTAAGTGTTCTTCACAATTTCTGCAGTGAGCTTGGAGAGGTTTTTGTGGGAACTGTTTTCCCATCTCCACTGCCAAGCGCGAACATGCGTCCAAATCTTGCCATTGAGCAAGACTAAGACTAACATAGCATCATATATGTGAGGAAGTGCAAGACGACATACAGTAGGGTTGCATCATGTATGTGAGGAAGTGCAAGACGACGTACACTAGCGTAGCATCATATATGTGAGGAAGTGCAAGACGACGTACAGCAGCGTAGCATCATGTATGTGAGGACGTGCAAGAAGACGTACAGCAGCGTAGCATCATGCATGTGAGGAAGTGGAAAAAGACCTACAGCAGCGTAGCATCATGTATGTCAGGCAGTGCAAATGAACGTTATTACACCACCCCACCCCACCCCGTTAACCCCATGAAAGACATAGAAACATGCAAAACGCTGGTTCGGTTTTCAACCCGTAGGCACAAACAACCACAAACAACCACCACAACAACAACAACAACAACCACAACGACGACAACGACAACAACAACAACAACAACAAACAACAACAAACAAACAAACAAACAAACAAACAAAAACAACCAACAACAACAACAACAAACAACAACAAACAACAACAAACAACAACAAACAACAACAAACAACAACAAACAACAACAAACAACAACAAACAACAACAAACAACAACTAAAAAAACTAAAAAAACAAACAGCAACAAACAGCAACAAACAGCAAACAACAACAAACAACAATAAACAACAATAAACACCAACAAACAACAACAAACAACAACAAACAACAACAAACAACAACAAACAACAACAAACAACAACAAACAACAACAAATAACAACAAACAACAACAAACAACAACTAAAAAAACAAACAGCAACAAACAGCAACAAACAGCAAACAACAACAAACAACAATAAACACCAACAAACAACAACAAACAACAACAAACAACAACAAACAACAACAACAACAAACAACAACAAACAACAACAAACAACAACAAACAACAACAAACAACAACAAACAACAACAAACAACAACAAACAGCAACAAACAACAACAAACAACAGCAACAACAACAACAACAACAACAACCACAACAACAACCACAACAACAACCACAACAACAACCACAACCACAACCACAACCACAACCACAACAACCACCAACCACAACCACAACCACAACCACAACCACCTCCACAACCACCTCCACAACCACCTCCACGACCACAACCACCACCAACAACCACAGCCACGACAGAACGATAACGACAAGGACAAGGAATGGACAGGACAAGGACAACGTCAACAACCACAGAGGTTGGGTCTTAGGACGCTTTTGGGAGACTGGCAGGGACCCTTGTGGAGTTTCAACTCCGCAGGGGGATGATGAAAGCTGCTTGGGGCTGCAGTGATTGCAGCAAAAACAAGTCTCAGGCAATAATGTCCGTTTTGGCAAGGGAGGTTAACCCCTCTGCCAATCAACCAACCAATGAAAAAGGACATCAAAACAAACAATTCTCAGTTTTCAGTTTCATCTCAGCAAATATTTCTGGCAGAAACACCACGAAAGAAAGAAGCAACAGTCGTACCGAAAATTGGAGGGATAAGTAAATTAAACTGTCCATTGAACATGGGTCAGAGTAGAAAGCCTAGGAAACCGGATGTTTTTGGGGAATCTTTGTAAAATATTTGTATCTAGCAATCCATTGCTAGGGCTAGTTGATGGTACCTTCATGTACTCGGGGTAAACCCCACAAAAATGTCCAGCCGATCCATCCAAATTCACCCAGACTTTGCAGAAGGACGTCTCCTTCAGCAGATTCCCAAAGATGAAGGACAAGCCCAAGGCTACGGTCGACATACTGAGGCAAACGGTCCGAAGCACCTGGACCGGATGGTGAGGATGATGGGGATGTCTGAAACCCTGCCAGCGCAGCTTAGATTTTTTGCCACATTGCTACTTGATATTGACATTTACCATTCAAACAGTCATAGAAACCGTTTCATCCCTGCTACTGTGAGAAAACATTCAACCTGAGCCTGAGCCTTTCCACATTTGGCCAATGTCAGGCCTGGGATGGGAAGAAGAACCCCAAGACAATGGCCAAGGACAGCAAAAAGTGGACAGCACTCACCACGTTGCTGAAGACCAACCAAATCGCGGACAAGTCTTTCACCTGGCGGACAAGTTTCGCGGTTGAACAGGCAGGTGGTTGGAATATATATATATGGGTAAATGATAATAGTAATAAAAATCATAGTAATTATAATAATACACTATAATCTGAATTAAGGCCATTTGCGGATGATTTCCCTTATTAACCATGATTCCAGTGAGGTCGCAGTGAGGTCGTTATAATTTAACTAGATATATGTAGATCTTAGACAAAACATGTTAAGCATATATGATGAAGAGTCCACCGTCATGATTGTTTTTTGGAAGGTACCCCTGACTTATTCAACATAGCTACGGAAATTGGCCCCGCTCATAGATGATTTGCCTATATATATATATATATTTTTTTTTCATGAATTTCATAGCTACGTAAATTACCAGAAGGGATCCCAAATACATCCAAATACCTTTGGGGGTCTTGAGGTCCTCTGCTGCAACAGTGCCGGGCAAACGGTTGCCGCAATCATGTGGAACCGCTCAAAAGCCCCTGACGAAAAGAGGGATGTCACCAGGGATGACTCATGAAATAGTTCTTTGACAACGATATAGTTACAGTTGGTTAATAACCATATTATATATATAGTTATAGTCTTTTTAGGGACTTCCAAAATGCCAAGTGTAATTGAAGTAAAGAACCGTAGTTTTTATATGTTATAATCCGTAGACGGGATACACCACTTATGTAGGGGACTTACTAACCAGGGCAATTACCCCCTCAGCCATCAGTCGCATGGCTGGAAAACCCACCATTTCGTTCAATGATTTTTCCAAGCAGCAATCTTTGATTACCGGAGGGTAGCTTTTCAAAACTACCAAGTTGTTCTTGTGCAAACACGTTTGTGGGCTGGGTATGTTGTAGCCATTGAAATTTGAAGCATCCACCATCTGATTATCCATGTTTGACTCCTACACATGGCCAACAACCGAAAGAATGAATTTTAAGATTATACTTCGCATGCAGTCTGCAGCAAAAATGAATGACATTGCAATGGTTCAAATTAATCTTCATATCTTTGATCAAGAACCACTATAACATACTATAACTACCCTCCGGTAATTCCATTGAATAATCACAATCAATCAACATTAATCAGCATTGTTAACCATTCAACCACCATAACTACAACCCACTATAAAAACGACACATGCATATATATATATTTATAAATAAATAAATATATATATATATGTTTATATAAATCTTTATAAATTGATTTAAATATATATATATAAATAAATATATATGCTTATATAAATCTTTATATAAATTGATTTAATATATATATATTATATATATGTGTTTGTAAAAATGCATGTATATATATATATACATAAAATTATATATAGATTAAATATATATATATGTGTGTGTGTGTTTGTGAACATGTTTTTTATATATATATATTATATATATATGCTAATTCCGTGATTTCAGTCTTCCATCCCCTCGTGAGGCGCCTTTTACGGCCCAAACGAAGTCCTCCACCGTGACTTCCCGGGAGCCGCAGCGGGCGGTGAGCATCTCCCAGGTGCGAGTGGCTTCATCCTGGGAGAAGTGGCTGAATTCTGTGGTTTTCATGGGAAAAAATCTGGTAAACATATAAAAAACTATGGAAAGATCCACCATGTTTCAGAAAATTTACTATTTCTATGGTAGATATAACTATACTTAGTGACAATGGGTTTTATAAACCAACTTATAACTTATATAACTTAACGATATATATAGTTTTAATGTCTTTTTTCATTCCACCAACTTTATCCTATGGGAATGATCCAACTTGCAGCTTTGTCTGACACGAATGTGGATACCTCAATTCATGGCTATTTCATTGGGATACCGGAAAGAAAAACAGGATAAACGATTGGATTTTGAGGATGCCCTATGTTCAGACAAAGCCGTATATTCCATAGCTATATATAGCTACAGTATTGAAAGAAGGATGAATAATAAGGTTAGTAAAGCAATAGGCTCCACCATCCCCAAAAAAGGTTTGGCAGTGCCCTCTGAGCACTGGGGCTCGCGGGTGAGGTCCGGCGGAGGTGGGGGTGAAGGTGGAGGTGAGCGGGGTGCAGCTCGGATAAAATCTAGAGACCCTCACCTGGCAGGTGGGGAATAACAGCCAACTGCATCAGCTCCTGCGGCATGATCTTGGCGATGTCCATGAAATCCAGTGTTCCTGTCTCTTCGAATTTCCTCAGAGCTGTCTCGAAAAATGCGAAAATGGCATGTCATGGCAGGGCCAGGTCCCTAATGGTAACCTCTGTAGTTAAACATAGGAAAATCACTGGTTAAAATAGGTAAATCATTTCAATTTTCAGCATTTTCCGTAGCATGGTTGAATTACCGGGTGTCATGCAGTGATAACCGATGGATATTACAATTTTACAATACCTCCGTACCAGAGGAGGGGCCACCTCAAAAATCCCCAGTGTGGATCCCAACTTCAACTCCATAATCCTGCAAATCTTCGACACCCTGCTTGAAATAGAATGAATTGGTTGGTCAAAATATTCCCATGAAAATAGCAATGGATGATATCACTGGTAATAAAGCAATAGATGTTATATGATACTATACTGTACTGTAATAAAATGTTATAACAATTTCAAGAGCTATTGAGAATATATATATATACTATTTTTGATATCAATTAGTATAACGGAAGTATAAGAAAGTATAACCAAATAGCCATTCAGCCTCGCCATCCCCACGTCAAATCACTCCTCCGTCTCATCCTGTCCATTGCTGTCCGGTCCGTCGCCGTGTTCACTGGGCGAGGGCAGGGACATGGACCGCATCACCTCATCCTCGCCTGAAAGTGGTCAGAAAAAGCTGGTTGGTTACGTTTCTGAAAAGGGGTGGTACATGGTGGTACCCCAAAAGCTGAGTTTGGGGGCTCCCTCGTTTGAAGAGACGTGGAGAACATCGAGACTTCTTTTATGAGGATTGACACTGAGATATGTTGGGATTATTTCTTGGAAATGAACCATCCTGTATCATCCAACATCTCCTAAAGCCCTACTATAAGTGATCCAGAAACAGTTGGAATTCATGCCCGCTCAAACCCATTCACAAAAGGGGCTCTGAATTTGCATTGTAAAACCGATTCCTCAACTGAATCAATTTGACAGTGGCTTCTATACCCTGACTGGCTGGGAAACCCAGTATCATTGGGCATTTAAATGGGGAAAACATGGAACTAAATGGATCTAAGTGGAGGATTTTTCCGGCAAGCCATGTCAAATTGCCAGAAAGTAGGGGGAAAAATTACTGGAAACTAGAACTGTCCATGTTTGACGATGACTAAGTTCTTCCAAGTCCAATCTTTCGCATCTTTCCACAAAAATCAATCAACTCAATTGAAACTCAATCATCAAAAAAACCTCATTTTTCGAAGATGTTTGGGAGATAACTCACCCATCTTTCATCCATCGTTCCACCCAGCCGGAAAAGCAGCGTTTTGCCCCGTTTTGCCTTCGGCACTTCCCATGATCTTGGCGAAGGCCAACTGGGCGGCCGCTTCGACCTCGCGGAACTTGCCGTCCACCTTCATGAAGAACCTCGCTGAGGGCCATCCATGGGGGCAAATCCATGGAACCTTCGGTTTCCGGGAAATTATGTAAGATATATTGAGATATGGAAAATACGAGAAACAATGGATTTTCCATGGACCAAACTGTGGAAAATCATGGTACCCTCTGGTAAACATATAAAAAACTATGGAATATCACCATTCTTAATGGGTAAATCAACATATAAATGGTAATGTTCAACAGCTATGTTAGCGTACCAGATGGTATATGGAAAAAACATGAGAAACAATGGAACAAACTACGGGAAACGATGTGGGAAAACTATATGGGAAAATCCCGAGTCATGAGGGACTCAAGGAGGGTGGATAAGGGCGATCAGGATTCATGAAGAACAAGGACCGGACGGGTCCGAAAAATCGATTGAAAAAGATGGAACATGCTGGGAAAAGTAACTATGCGAAAGTATGGTATCGAAGATTGTAATGATTCACTGACTTGAAATGTTGAGCCATGGGGCAATTCCGCCCACCAACCATCCTTTACAGTGACTTTGCAGTGACATTGCATCCCCCGGACTCTTCTCGCCCCGTTGGTTTTTGTAGTTGGATTTGGTAAATCAGAGCGCGGCCCAAGTGATAAGTTGCCTCAGGACAGGACAAGCCATCCAACTGTAGATCTATCATGATGCATCCAGGACTGTATATGATATACCCACCATGAGTCCCGATGACGATGATTTCAAACCGACCTACATAGCCATCTTGGTAAGCCCTTCCTGTTGTTGATTGATTAGGCGGTTGCCCCCAAAAAGAATGGCCTGGTTCCCAATCAAAAATAAACCACATTATAGAGAACACACACACACACGCTCACACACACAACTAGGTTAGCTGTAGTTTTCATCATGTCCAACTACTATGCATTCGAACCAGCACGTGTTTCACACCCTTCTTATATCTGGGATACAACCAGTCATATGCAATGTGTGTACATTACAGTTTGTGCTATATCTGCATCATGGTTATTATATTATTATTACTACGTACCAGTAGTACCGCACAAGGCGGTGGCGGAAGTTTCAAAATAGGAAACCTATAGGAGAGATTGGTTGTTGTGAATCAGGGATGGCAGAGTGAATCATTTTGCTTGAGGTCTCCTCTCTTTCTCTCTTTTTCTCTCTGTTTGTCTCTCTCTCTCTGATTATCTACCTACCTACCTACTGATCTATCTGTCTACCTATCTATCTGTCTGTCTGTCTATCTACCTACCTATCTATCTATCTCCCTATCTATCTAGCTGTCTAGTTTTCTAGCTATTTGTCTATCTATCTATCTATCTATCTATCTATCTATCTATCCTATCTATCTTATCTATCTTATCTATCTATCTATCTATCTATCTATCTCCCTATCTATCTAGCTGTCTAGTTTTCTAGCTATTTGTCTATCTATCTATCTATCTATCTTTCTTATCTATCTATCTATCTATCTATCTATCTCCCTATCTATCTAGCTGTCTAGTTTTCTAGCTATTTGTCTATCTATCTATCTATCTATCTATGCATCCATCCATTTATCTATCTATCTATCTATCTAAAGTACCGCGCCTGCCACGAAAAATTGATGCCAGGTCATACCAAGTGCTGCACCTGTCACGCAAAATCATCTTAGCAAACCTACAGATCTGATGCTCCAAAATGCATCCCCTCTCCGGAAATGAGCGCCCTGACCTCCTAACATCTCTCATGAACATATCTTTTGTACTGCGCCTGCCACGGAAAATGCATCTTTGCAGATCCTCTTCAAAAGTCCCATGCCTGCCATCGTTTTTGGAATTGCAACAAAACCCTCACGTTTTGCTCACTTTCGACAAGATCGACAATCCCTTGCACCTGCCATGCGGAACGACATCACAACGTCCAAAAGTGGTCCGAACCCCTGGTGCTTTTAACATTTTGACATCGAAATGTGCTTCGCGCCACAACGGCATTGACTTTTTCGACATCTCAACTTCCAAAAGTGGTCCGAGGCAACGGCGTGCAATTTTTCATCTCTCATCTGGCCAGCTGGCTCAGCACCCGCCGCTTTAGCGAGCCTACTTTTCGACCCTCCGGAGCCTCAAATCATGGGAAAAACACAGTGTTTCGCGACTTTCCTACCTTTTCGCACATCTGCATCCTCTTTTTTCTGACTCTTTCTCTTCTACTCTTCTCTCTTCTAATCTTTTCTCTTCTCTCTGCCTCTGCCCTACTCTGCTTTTCATCTGTCCATATTGTCGGAAGTTTGACTTCTAAACTTCCTTCGGTTACTATCATTGTTAGTCATTCTTACTATTACTATTATGTGTATATAATTGTAAATATATATATATATATATGTATCATATATCATATAATATGCCATCAAACGGTAAGCACCAAAACGACAGAAAAGTAATATGCCATCAGTTACCGCTATTTTAGTAGGATTTTACAAACTTCTAGCTTCTTGGAGGTTGCTATATGATATATAATTAATTAATGTTACACTCAGGTAATCAAACATGGTTTGCTGGAAAAAAAACATGCTATGGACCTCATTTTAGTTCGATGATGTAAAGAATAAATCACCATTAAAGAATAAATCACTGGAGGCTAATTCCAGACAGATCGCAATTAATCACCATTATTAACCATTAATCACCATTAACCACCCTTTAATCACCATTAAAATCGATGATTCCAGCATCAATAGGTCCTGTAGGTGATCAATTATTGGTAATTAGTAATTAACCTATATTCCGCACTAAAGGGTGATCAAATCGATGATATTGAAATTGGTCATCACTATGAATAACCGTTACCATCATTCAATCACCATTAATCAATATTAATCATCATTATTATCCATTCATCATCATTAACTAGCCTTAAAAAAATCACCATCAAAAATCGATTTTATTCATTAAGTGTGACATAGTGTCACCATCATTCAGCAGCAATCCAAGGCACATGGTGGTAGAATTCCCCCGCAGCGCGCGGAACAGTTCCAAGCCGCGGCCAATGGGGCGGATGGTAAGCTGTCCTGGTGGCCAGGGATTCATGTGGCTAAAACAAGTCCATTTGGAGAAAAAAAAACCAGGAAAATCCATCATTTTTATAGATGGGATAGGAAATAAACCAATCCCAAATGGCTGTTTTTTTTTATGTTTTACCCGCATTATATAAGTTTGAATATGGATTGAATGTGGATTGCAATGGTTTGTATGACCTAATTCAATGTAGCATTGGTAAGTCCAATATAATTCGCATTTCCCTCATGATTTTAGGCTGAAATAAGGCCATTTCGGGATGATTCCCCGAATCCTAAGCATGATTCCAGTCAGGTCGAAGTGAGGTCACAGTGAGGTCACAATGAGGTCACTATAATCTGGCAAGATATATGGTTCCAACATAATTCCACTCATGGATTCTAATAATCTGCACTCAGGTGAAGAGCCACAGAGCACCAATTAGAGGGTCTAGTCAATGCACCAAAACAAGAACCTGGAGCCCTGTTGCTACAAACAGCCAGCACCTTTTTGGCAAAGGTTGGTAGAAGCCCAACGTGAACAAACAACAATGATGTTTGACACTTCCCATGTGAACATCTTATAGAAATGCGGGATCAAAACAGATGCCGAACAGCTGGACACCTGGACGGGATGCTTTGCCTCGAAAAAACATCCCGGTTTTAGAGGTTGCCATGCCTCCAACGAACAGTTTTATTCCAGGGAATGGATGGTCATTAGTCATTAGCCACTTGCATCAGTCTGCTATTTTTGATGGGATACTTTTAATACTTTGTGTTGGTGAAATCCTCGCATTCCGCTTGTTACAAACCCCATTGCAATAAAGACATTTTTTAAGACGCCGTTGAGCCCATTTCAATGGGATTGTGCCCATACCCTCCTCCCAGCCACCAATATCACCAATTTAATGATACATTCATTAGTTCATTAGTGGGAGGCTTGTGAGTTGCGGAAACATTTCTTACAATAAGAGTTGCTTAAGATGACTTGAGTACAGTAACAGTTGGAACAACAAATGAAATTGTGGGTACATAGCGGTGAATCTCGCAAATCTCGCCAGTTGATGCGGATGGATCCAAACAATGGCAGCTTCCACATGAGCCATCCAAAAATTACTCCTTCTGATTTGGCATTAAGAGTTTATACCACAATGATTAATGGAGATTCTTACGGCTTACGGCCCATAACAGGAAACCAACCAATATGATGCTTGGGGATTCTTGGGGCCATGGATCACCCACAGCCAGCTGCATCATCCAACGATACTTCTTATATATATATATGTATATATGTATATATATTGGATCATATCGGTAATGTTTCAAACTTGGGTACTCTGAAAATCTAATAGCCAATTCAGGCATATCAGCATCTTATCCACTTAAATATAGTTTTCGGATGTTTTTACTTGCTGGTCCACCCCAGTTACTCAGTTAGTAGGTGTGTTAGTGGACCCCACTTATAACTGGGTCGAATCCTATTTTCCCTACGTAAAAAAGCTACACTAACCCACAAACAATAACTGGGGATCTCTTCCAAGTAGGATATCCCATCCATTTTTGAACCCAAATCCCATATCTATCACAGGGCGCAGCAAAACCCAAGGTTCCACTGTAATTCTTATGGCTTCTCTGGCGGCCTGCCGGTTCGTGGTGAATTCTTGGGGGCAATCTTGGATACCCAGGAAAAAATGATGGTTTAACAGTTTAACAGTCAGAAAGTGTGATGTATCCAGCAAAATTGCAGTGTACCCTGCAGTAAACTAACTCTGAATGATTTTGAATGTGGCGAATCCATGATTTTCGTACGAAAATGATCTGCAAATTGGTGGATTTCTTCATCTTTGCATGGTTTAGTTTAGCCAATTTTCCGAGCCTCCGGAAAAGTCAGCCCACTGACTATTAGGAGCTATGAGATGTCTACATCTAGTACTGAAGAATAACCATGGATTGAATAGATACCCCATCTAGTAAGAATCACCCTTTGGTAAATTAACCTAGACATACCTAGACCCCGAAAACTTTTTGAATTTTTGGAATCTCATCTTCCAACTTCCAACCCCTGGATTATCTGGCAGGGTCTATGTTGTACCAGAAAAGAGTACCACCCATTACCACCCCCAGTCAGCTTGCGGCCGCCGGCCTTGGGAGTAGGCCTTGCGCAAGTGTTCCGCCGTGAGCTTCTCGAAGGCATGGGGGTCCTCAACAGGTCACCGTTTTTCGGAAAAATGGCGTCGGAACATGGTGGAAACTCATGGTGTAAAATGCCATTTCCTGAGATTCCTGTAGATTTTCCAACACATTGCTGGGAATGGGGCAAGCTAGGCAAGCTGGCAGTGGATAGGTTTCATATCTTGCACTGTCCTGCACTCTCTGCAAGTATTGCCTTTGTTCAAGACAAATACCTTACTTATCGTGTAATATTGTTTATGATGAGGCCTGCTCGGAACAAATGTACACATATTTAAGGGCATATCAATATATTGACAATAAGCCTATATAACTATAATTGACATGTATATTATTCATCAGTTAGGATTCAACAGCTCAGGTGGAGAATGACAAGAAAAACAGCAACCGGTATCAAACTAAACATGTTTTAGGGCAATTCCGCCCAGATGCTGATTCAGCCCCAGTGCATGGTCTGAAAAAATGCAGTCTATAAAGACTATATATATATACACAGTACACAGAGAGAGAGGTATACAATATATATATATAGAATTATATATAGAATATATACAATGTATGTATGTGTGGGTGTGTGCATCTGTATAGGTACACTTCTTCCTTCCTTCCACCAGAAAATCATCCACTCCTGCAGTATAGGCAGCACTGAGCTCTGCTGCAGGAACTGCAGCAGCTCCGGTGCAGCATCCTAGGTGCTCAGCTCCAATTGTGGGATAAACAACTGGGCAAAACCCATGAAAATCGAGGCTTTCAACAGGGAAATTCTGGCAAATCCTCTAATTAACCAAAAAAAATGGTTTACCAATGGGGATTCGAAAGGGACATCGAATTTTTGCATGAGGTGGAGATATACGGAATGATACGGACATCACATTTGAGTCTTGCAAAAAAAAGGCCTTTGAATACGTGCGATATATGCTATGCCTATTCCTGTACACAAGGCCAGAAGATTTCGAACCTGCGGTGCTAGAGTGTGTCAATCATTGGCCAGCAGAAAAGGATACAGCAACAATGGCAAATTGCAGCTATGTGATTCCTATCACTGATCCTGGGATCAAATCAAGCCTGCCAAGTCATGTTCAAATGTCCGAAACGACTCTCTGATTCTTGCATAGTGCAAGATCTCCAATCAGCCCAGATGCAAGAGCTGCAACACTTTTTTGGTCGGGAGGTGACGTTGTCAGCGTTAGCTCATGTTTAGCTCTGATCGTTATGGGGTACAAATCCGTGCATTTGCTTTTACCAGCAGGGAGAACAAAAAAGGCGTTAGTTTCAGCCGCCCTTCAGCTGCTAATTAGACGCCCAACTTCGGCCAATTGTTGGCGCTCTTGAAGTGCACATGGCGTATCTTTTGGGTCTCAAATATCAACTCAGCAAGTGTCAAATTCTTCGATAGACCACTTGCTGGAGTATTCATGCAATGCCGGCTCAATCAGGTGCAACCTCTCTTTCAAGCTCGCTTGTGTCGCTCGATTGCTGGCAGAAACTTCGTCTGTACCGTCGTGAGGTTCCTAGGTGAATTTCAGCAGCGCTGGGGATTTTTAGGGAGCTTTCGCTGCCGTCTGGTTGGTTCATAAAAGGAACTTGAAGGGTGGTCACTACCAATACTATTCCATGATATTCCACGATTGTACTGCTTTGAGGGATTGAGCAGAATTATGTAAACAAAGTAAATGCCCCGACTATCTATATATATATATATATTATGTTTTTCTCTCTCTATATCTATATCTATATCTATATATATTTATATATATATATCATGTTATATCTATATCATATCTATATATCACATAGTATGCAAACAAAAATAATATATTACATGTATCTCATGTATACAACAATCTATATCATAGATATATACACAATATATATATACAATGTGTATGATGTCTTTCATGTACATTATGTGTATGCATATGTGTATATATTCTATACGCGTTATGTATATTTATGTGTATATTTTTATATAATACGTGTGCAGGAGTTGTTTCTCAACATGGAAAACATGGAAGAAAACACCGGTTATCAAACATCAACATTTCTCCTGGTGGTTTCCAGGGTTAGATGCAACATCACTTAAAACAACAATGGCACAAGTCTGGTTTCCATTATAATCATTTATAATCCCATTATAGTTTTATTTTAACCTGGTTCATCCTCAACCAAAAAAAAACAACACACGTCTGGGCCAAGTCTGGTTTCCGTTAAATTTTGACGGATTTTCTGGAGCTCCTTCATAGCAACCCGCAAGTTGCGCATGCCTCAGGAGCCGGACTTGGACGGCGTGCTGGGTTTGGATCTTTTGCATCAAAACATATTATAGATATGATGATGATTGATGATTGGTGATATACACATCTACAGTACATGATGTACAGTATTTATCAGTATATATCCTAATAATATATATGTTGATAATAGTTGATAAGTTGATATAAGTTACATATTATATATATATATATATGCATTTTTTAGTACAATATCCATAAATGTGAGACTTGGTGACTTTTTCTTGGCCCATGCTTCCAGGTGATCCGCCCAGCCCAAAACGATGGCATTTTGATGACTTGGATGGCCCGGATGACTGGGATGATTGGGATTGGGATATGATGGGATCCTTCGTCCCAAAACAAAACCCGAAGCCAAAAGATCCAGGATGATCCAGGTCACTGGGATGATTCTCCGGGTCCCATTTCTTCTCTGCCTTGGCCTCCGCCTCGTTCGTCTCCTGTTCCATCTCCTGCTCCAGGCGTCGCACGCCCGTGCCGTGCGGCCGGAAGATCGTGTCCTCGTAGGTCAGAGGGTCAAAGCCAGGTAGGTCCAAGCCGTTCTTCTGGATCTCGGCATCCGCCAGCAACAAACCTGGCGAACCGTGTCCAAGCCTTCCTGCTGTAGTTGGAAAGTCATCGAACTGACTGGCTGTGAATGGAGGCTGATCATGATTTTCCATTGTCACATGTGATTCTGACTGGGAATGACTGGGAAGATTTTATTGGTACAGAAACTGGAGCGTACATGATGAGGGTGTGGTATGGTGTGCAGCGTTGAGGCGGCGAAATAGATGGCTGTGTCACTGACATAGTCTATGCCCCTATGCTTCCTCCTATTTTTCGGCGATGTTTTCCAAAGGTTCAAGTTAAAACCCCTTCCTCCCCACCTCTCAATCAGCAACTTCATCTACGACTAAGCTCAAGTACCCTGCGAGACAGTTTGTTCAAAGCAGGACATCTGAAAAAATCTGCAAAAGCGCATCTCAACATCCGTTTTGACCCACCAAAATCAACCTATAACAATTGCTGGGTCTATACCCCTAGGTTGGGATTACTGTAATTTGTCTAGTTTGTATCCATTTTAGCTCCTGTTAGCTCCTGTACTCCTTACCGATATTTAAGACACTTTAAGACATTCCTTTTCGTTTGGTATCCATTTTAGGTCTTTTAGCCATTCCTTTAAGATTTTTCAAGAGATTTCCCAGTTGAATCCATATTGAGATTCATCCATTGGTCATCGTTGGAGGTGGATGGAACACTGCTTTCACTCACACCTTTCACGTCGAGCGCTGCCAAATATGGACAGCATAGCTCATGAAAGAAAGAAAATCCATCCTTGATATGGAACAATATGGACATGATCCATCCTCATCATGATCCATATATTATGGATATATTCTGTCCAAATATGGATACCAAATCACCATTTTCAATGGGAAAATCCACTATAAATGGGCCATTTTCAATAGCTATGTAACAAATTACCAGAGGGTACCATAAATATTGAACATAGCTATTGAAAATGGCCATTGTAGTGGATTTTCCCATTAAAAATGGTGATTTTCCATAGCTATGTTATATTACCATAGCTGCCATAGCATCATCCGTCCATCCCACCTTCGTAGGGTCCGACCAGGGTCACCTGTGGCAGGTGTCGACCTCCGAAGTCGTCAGCATTCGCCAGGCTCAACCAGGTGCACTGCACGTCGAAGCTGCGCATGGCCACGGAGCAGAGCTTCACAAAAGCGATCCTAAGGCAGGCCAGGTATGGCCAGGTGCCGTGGGGGGATTTTTGTATGTTTATAACTGTTTATTGTTGTTATGATTATCATTATATTTATGATTATATTTATCATTATATATTAAATTATACTGCTATTACTATATATACACATATATGAAGGTCACTGCATATAAGCTGCATATATATAAGGTTATAAGATCCGTAGTTATATATTTTAAAACAAATGTAGGATCACCAGGATAACATCAATTATGAGGCAAGCTTATTGAGGTATGCGCCACTTATATCCAGTTGCCAAAGTCACCTGCGCCCAATGCGCCAATTAGATCCAATTAGGGGATGAGGCTTGAACATCCGTCCTTTTCACGGCGTTTCCCACGCGAATGTCATAGGATTTCCCAAGAATTGCGCGATGAACTGACTTAGGGTTGATGGCTAGTACATGTTAGTAATTACTCATGAGTGATGGACAACCAACAAAACTATTGCAAACATTATTTCTGAAGTGATGCCATTCCAAAAGTTTGAGAAATCACAATATCACAACACATTGTGTTTGACACCTTAGTTACTGGTGCTCGATTGGTAGCCAAGTGGTTCAAAAACGCTAATTTTGGTTTACCGAGAGATATGGCCCTGTCATAGCCTATCGAAGAGTGGGGGACCGTAATCATCCAACGGTGTCTCACCATTTTCCCTCTCCAATTTGCCAGTTTGGCGTGCCCATGCCAAGACAAACCCATGAATCGATCTTATGCATGTGGGGATGGGGATGTGCCCAAAGTTGAGACCACAAAAAAAAAAACACATGCTGGTTAACCAGCATTGACTATGATTAACCATTATTAACCATCATTAACCATTATTAACCCTGTCTAATATTATATTAACCAACCATCATGGGGTTATGGGTCAACACCCTGGTGCACTGGGGCATACCGGGGCACTCGCGGCCGTCCACAAGGCTGTAGTCTTCGGCGAAAACGATGACACGTGAAATCAGGTTCACGGACTCACCTGGTTTAACTTCAGAATGGGAACGAATTCCACCCGGACAAAACCAAAAAACATGGGACATATTCGGAATATATGCTATCTGACTGAGTGATGATTTTAATCTATGAAGTGATTGAGGGAGAAATCTGGAATCATTTCAAGTATATGTTACACATCTGTTCAATTTAGAAACATATATTTACAACAAAAAAACGCGGGGATCATCTGGGATCAACAAGATCTGTTCAACCCCTGACTCAATGCACAAAAATCTGTTGAAACATGTTGAAACAAAAAAACATAGACCCACCTGCTTTGATCATCTTCATCCTAGTTTGACCCTATGCATCCCCCTATGCATCCCCATATGCCTCCATCCCGTCCCCTGTGGACCCCTTAAAATTTGGAAACTAAACACCAAGTCCAATGGGACAGTCACCTTTTGAACTTCATTTTAAACGATTTTGTTCGACATTTCCGGTTCCAAAAACCTTCCCATTTTTGTTGAGCGTATAATCTCCCACCTTCCGTCATGCCCACCAAAAAAGTCTGAAATCTGAACCATCCACAAATTCCACCACTTTCCCCATCGACTAAAACCCACATAACTCAACATTGAAAAAAAACTGGAAATCACATGGAGAAAAAACAAGCGCATCTCTTCCCATCCTCACCATGCCATCGCCATCCTGCCCCCGTTGGGCTCTTTTTTTGGGGATCAGCCGAGCCGCTCTCCCCGCAGGCGATGGCGATCTGCGAGCCCCACGAGGCAATCTGCGAGGCGGAGGAAGCCAGGCCGGTGATGGAAGAGCCGCAGAGTGTGGGGAGCTCCAAGATGTCGGGGCAGTGGCTGATCAACTGCCTGGCCGTGGGTTATCTCTCTCAGTTGGTTTATGTTGGTTTATAAAGCCCATGAACACCATGAACCATACATCTCCCAACTATATCAGATATCTTGTATGAAGCATAGTTAAGCTGGTTATAAACCAACTTAGCTAGCAACTTAGGGGATGTATAACATGATATTGATAATATAGGCATATGTCGTATCTGATTTAAGTGGGGAGTAGCGGAGTAACTGATCAACTGGGAAATGAACAAATTGGCTGATCAACTGCCTTTTTGGTAGGTTGTTGGAATATGAGTTGATATACCAACCATATTTTTGTTTTTTTGTGCATGATATAAATTGGTTAGTTGTTGGCAGCTTAAGGAATTGATATGATACAGTAAATAAGTGGGAATGATAAGTGGGATATAGCTCGCTGATATAGCAACTTGATGCAACTTGCCGATCACGCAAGCTGATACAAGTGGTATTTAAACTTGGCATATTGAGGGACTATATAGTTTTGCTGGCGTATGGGCTGATAATGGCTGATACATCAATCATATATACTTTGGATATGAATATAGGACATATACTTTTTTACCTGGCAGGAGTCCTTTGGAAAGTTGGGGTTGGACGGGTTGGATTCGAATATTCTAAGTAGCTGCTAACAGTGGTGACTTCAACTTTGCGAAACAAAATGGCGGAGCAACTCCCTCAGCAGTTGGAATATCACAGGAATATTAATGAGTATGAGTATTATACAAATGATCGAGCATTACACAAGCAAAAAATATGACAACTGTAAAAAATGGGTGTTTCAATCCAGAGAAGATGTTGGAGATGTGTCCCAAGATACTTCTGAAGTTTATAAATATATAAAAAGGTATTGATCAATAACAATGACACGTTAGACAAGTTAGTAAGATGTATACACATATTACATAATATATTATATATATATACATATTGGTAGCTGCCATTACAAAAACTGGGACTTGGAAAACTGATGAACTGCCTGGGTTTAGGTGATAACAGTGATCTGAACTCAATAACTGGAAATCCAGACTGGAAACCATGGTTCTTACCCCAAAGATAGGTGGGAAATCCTCAAGTGTTCCCAACATCGGGAAATCCATGAGGGAACCCTGGTTACCGGTGATGAAACATGGCTGCAAAATCCCCCAGCAGTTGCGGGCCCAGCTGCTGTACAAAGGTGGCAATCTGTGTCATCCATGCGATGGCGCCGGCGATGTCCAATGCGCAGGCGGCTTCTGGGACTCCGGTGAGATAGTTGTAGGCACCGTAGCGCACGCCTGGAACGGGTCGAAAAAAAGCCACGGGTTCAGGACAAAACCAGGCTATCTCTTTAGATAAGTTCTATGTATATTGTTGATCTGTATTGTTGCATGGATGCATGAGAAATCATGAGAATATATCAATTGAATTTAATCGATATACATCCTACATCCACACACTTTGGAATCCTCTGGCGGTTCAGACAAACCGCACATTCATAGGGGGTGCCTGTCACAACCGCGGGGCTCCCCGTAAAATCACTGGGTTTCATTGCCCTTTCAGGTGGTTCCAGATTCCTCCCCATGCCGATCCGTAATCCAGGCCTGGTGATTTACAACGCCAAAATCGAGAAACCGCGGGATCCCACAAAGAAAATCCACCTAAAGGTCCCCAATAAATCTGCATAGAACAATGATTCAACGGGGGATCTTCCATTGGGATCCGGCAACTGGATCCCAGTCCCAGGCACGCTTGCGGCAGCTGTCCAGCTGTATTGCTCGATGGATATAGAACACTGTATCCTCAGTCACTGGGGTTTGCCGCAGCATGCCAGAAATCTTTGAATTTTACACCGCCAGAAATACCGCATTAATCCATTAATTCCCATTGCCATGCTGGTTGGTGGTTTCAACCCCTCTGAAAAATATTAATGTTGGCACCCGATTAGTAGGATGGTACCCTATTGTGGCATTTTTTTTCCTCCTTATTCAGTTCCATGATGTTTGGGGGGGGCCTCTATTGTGGCAAGTTTTTTCAGTTTTTTTCAGTTTTTTTTTTTGCATTTTTTGTGTGATTCACAATTTTTGTTTTGTTCAATATGTTCCTATTTTTGAATTTATCTTTGAATTAAAAAAAATGTTATTCATGTTTTTTCATTTTTATTTTTTTTTATTTTGTTTAAATTCAAGCTTTCAAATGCAAGGTTTTCCAAATAATTAGATGCCTTACTAAACCCTTTTTTAAAAACCGCATCCAAACAATTTTTCAAGGGGGTACCTCATGAGTGGCTCAGTTACTTAATAATATGAATGTTTGGATGGTACCCTATTGTGGCCAACAACTTTTGGGGTTGAACAAAAATCAAAACCCTTTCCCCACCTTTCTTTGAGTAAAGCTGGCCCATTTACTTTAGAAAGCCATATTTGCGTTAAAGCTTTCAAATGCAAGGTTTTCCAAATAATTAGATGCCTTATTAAACACGTTTGTAAAAAACAGCATCCAAACAATTTTTCAAGGGGGTACCTCATGAGTGGCTCAGTTACTCAATAATATGAATGTTTGGATGGTACCCTATTGTGGCCAACAACTTTTGGGGTTCAAAAAAAATCAAAACCCTTCCCCCACCTTTCTTTGAGTAAAGCTGGTCCATTTACTTTAGAAAGCCATATTTTTGTTAAAGTTTTAAAATGCAAGGTCTTACAAATAATTAGATGCCTTATAAAGCCCCTTATTAAAAAAAAAAAAAAAACATCCAAACAATTTTTCAAGGGGGTACCTCATGAGTGGCTCAGTTACTTAATAATATGAATGTTTGGATGGTACTCTGTTGTGGCCAACAACTTTTGGGGTTGAACAAAAATCAAAACCCTTTCCCCACCTTTCTTTGAGTAAAGCTGGTCCATTTACTTTAGAAAGCCATATTTGCGTTAAAGCTTTAAAATGCAAGGTTTTCCAAATAATTAGATGCCTTATTAACTTATTAAACGCTGATTAAAAAACAGCACCCAAACAATTTTTCAAGCGGGTACCTCATGAGTGGCTCAGTTGCTCAAAAAATATGAATGTTTGGATGGTACCCTATTGTGGCCAACAACTTTTGGGGTTCAAAAAAATCAAAAACCTTTCCCCACCATTCTTTGAGTAAAGCTGACCCATTTACTTTAGAAAGCCATATTTGTCTTAAAGCTTTCAAATGCAAGGTTTTCCAAATAATTAGATGCCTTACTAAACCCTTTTTTAAAAACCGCATCCAAACAATTTTTCAAGGGGGTACCTCATGAGTGGCTCAGTTACTTAATAATATGAATGTTTGGATGGTACCCTATTGTGGCCAACAACTTTTGGGGTTGAACAAAAATCAAAACCCTTTCCCCACCTTTCTTTGAGTAAAGCTGGCCCATTTACTTTAGAAAGCCATATTTGCGTTAAAGCTTTCAAATGCAAGGTTTTCCAAATAATTAGATGCCTTATTAAACACGTTTGTAAAAAACAGCATCCAAACAATTTTTCAAGGGGGTACCTCATGAGTGGCTCAGTTACTCAATAATATGATTGTTTGGATGGTACCCTATTGTGGCCAACAACTTTTGGGGTTCAAAAAAATCAAAACCCTTCCCCCACCTTTCTTTGAGTAAAGCTGGTCCATTTACTTTAGAAAGCCATAGTTTTGTTAAAGTTTTAAAATGCAAGTTTTTCCAAAAAATTAGATGCCTTATTAAAGCCCCTTATTTTAAAAAAAAAAAAAACATCCAAACAATTTTTCAAGGGGGTACCTCATGAGTGGCTCAGTTACTCAATAATATGAATGTTTGGATGGTACTGTATTGTGCCCAACAACTTTTGGGGTTGAAAAAAATCAAAAGTAAATTGAAATCAATTGAAAATCAATTGAAAGTAAATTGATGTCAATTGAAAGTAAATTGAAATCAATTAAAAGTAAATTGAAATCAATTGAAAATCAATTGAAAGTAAATTGATTTCAATTGAAAGTAAATTGATTTCAATTGAAATCCTTACTTAAGTTGACTATCCAAAAAACATGTTGAGGGGGGGGCGGAAAAAAACTGCGAATTATTCAGTAGACTAAATTAGTTTGAGGAGGGGGGGTGCCTCACACTAATCAGACGCCAACATTAGTCAGTTGGAAGTTGGGATGATTCTTCCCAATATATGGAAAAACAAAATTCATGTTCCAAACCACCAACCAGATTCCCATTGCCATGTGTAATTTCCGAGGGGAGTTTACCTCTTGACATTCGATTTGCAGCTGGAATTGCCAGAGCACGACTCCAGCAGCAAACAATCTGTGTTTACCAGCTGATTTACCCTCCGGTCATGGCGATGGATCTAGTTCGATGATGTTCCCAGCTGTAAACCTCCATTATATAAACCTCCATTATACCTCCATTTATGGCAGATGCAAACCTATATGTTCCATGAACTGTCCCATCATTTTCCCAGCTGTAAACCCAGTTCAGTTCGCAATGGGATGATGTTCATTTGTGGGTTTACCACAGATCTTTCCATTCTTTGCGTACAAAAATGGTCCACATATGCCCACGGTGATGGAAAAAATCACCTCCAACTCCGCTGGGTTTCATAGATGTTGTCCGCAATGAAACCCACATCCACGCCGCATTGGACCCCTGTGCCACCAATGCCGGAACCCATGAAGAGCCGGCGGCCCGGTTCACGTGCTCCAACCTTCGGGGAAAACGGTGGAGGCCTCGAAAATCGATGGTTTGGTTTAAGGGTAACCATTTTTCCAGATATGTTTCAAGAGATTTAAAACAAACACCCACCATTTTGGATACCATTGGGCACCCAAGAACTGGGGCATGGGGCATCCAACGGCAGAGGGGGTGAAGCCAAGCGTTCACCCCTGGTTGGCATTCGGGGTGTGCTGGTTAAAATGGAGTAGATATGGTAGTTTAATGGATCATTGTTGGGGTGTCACCATTTCGACAAAAGCATCTTCGGAGGTCATCCCAGACATGGTGCAGGCGATGGTGAAGGGTCGCCACCAAACCATTCCAATGCTACACCGCTATACTATACCATGCCCAACTTTAGCGGAAATGAAATGGCTAAATCATGGGGGTACCCCTAAATCATCCAAGTCACGACCATAGTATTGAAACCCTCTGGTAATTTGTTACATGGCTATTGAAAATGGCCCGTAGAAATAGTTGAGTTACCTATTAAGGATGGTGATTCTCCAGTTCACCATGTTAGTTTACCATGGGGTATAGTGCCTCGGGGATCCCCGGCCCAATGTAAGAAACCCCCATGGCTAGGGCCGCCTGCGAAATCCTCACCGCTGGCTCGCCCTCGATGTTCACTCGAGCGTCCGCGCTGTAGGAGTCGGCCTTGAAACCTCTGGCTCCATTGGTGAATCCCCAAGAGCTGGTTTATTTCATGGATTTGTCATTGGGTTGGTTTAAGGGAAAATCTACAGGAAACCATGGTTTTTACCATCAAATATAGGCTTCCCTGTAAATTTTCCCATCATCCAATTCTATGAATTTGTCTTGCTTGATCATAGGATCATATGGCATGCCTCTTCAAGAGGTGTCGCTTCAAACAATTTGGAGCTGGAAAATGCTAAAGGAATTTTAGGGGAACCCGACAAGAAGCTGAAGGAATCCAAACAAAAACTACAAAATGCTAGGAAAATCCAATCCTATTCTGCCTGATATTTGGTTCTTTTTGGAGATCTCACCACTGGCACTCCATACAATCAATTCCAAATGTACAGAAGAAACAGGGAATGCCGAAGGAAAATTAGAATTCAGAGAACATATTAAAGCTACAAAAACTTGAAAACCAAAGAAAATTCAGAAAAACTGAAAGAAACTAGAAAAAACTACAAAAAGCTGAAAAATGCTAACAAAAGCTTAAAAAACCTAAAAAAGGCTAGAAAAAAAAAACTAAAAACTAAAAAAAATAGAAAAAGCATGAAAAAACACAAAAAAAAATTAAAAAAGGCTTAAACAATCCAACTTTTGGGCCGCCGAAGGGGCACTCCCTCCAAGAGCTTTTCCTTAACATGCTTGCGTGTTATTGTCTAGTTTTTTGTTTCTTTAGTTTTTTTAGCTCCCAGCACCCTCGTCCAGTGAGTTGAAGAGGCAGGTCTTGAAGAGACATGTGGCGTGTAAGTAAGACTTGAGTTATCTTGAGTTAGTTGATGTTGCGCCCATAAGCGATGATTAGGCAGGGAAACACCTTCTTGGAAGCAGAAAAAACCCTGCCGCAAAGACATCTTGCGTTTTTAGTTGGCTGTGACTTGATTTCTTCTGATCATGGGGTGTTCTTTGGTTGGGGGAGAGGGCTCACCGACCTGATGCAACGGCTCCAATGTCTCACACCCAGGATGATACTTGTTACTGTGGATCCGTGTGTTGGAGTGTTGGAAAGGCACGTGTGTGTGTGTGTGAAGGTCAGAATGTTTTTGGCTGTTCGGATTTTCCATTCTGCTAGTCAAATGAAAACGTTCCTGGGATATGATTTTCAGGAGGCGCTCATTTGCTCTGATTTTTTGGTTCAACCTAGTTTTTCTGTGTCAGATTTTGATATATTTTAATGCACAACATGTTACCCTGACTGAGTTGTTTGATGTTTTTTGGCTATAGGATGTCTCTGCTCATAGTCGCCTATTCCTGGTCACCCTGGTGTTGCATCGCGATGGATTACCCTCCGGTAATCTAATGTAGTGATGGAACATGTTCAGTTTGAAGATGGTTTACCTCTGAGAAACGTTGGTGTTCCTTTAGCTGTGTTAGATTGCCGGAGGGCATGTCTGAAACAAACGGAGGTGACCTAGGGAAGTCTTTGGGACAAGTTGTTCCATTGCGAATCCCAACAAATGCAATGAAATCCCTATGGTTCAACCCCTTTGGTTCATCATTTTCCCATACTTTCCCCATGTTTGTTTCAATGTCATCGATGTTCCCTATGAAATTGCATGAAATTGCCATGTGCAACAAGTCTTGTTCATGGTATTTCCCTGGTATTTCCCTGGTATTTCCCCACAATTTCCCAGGTATTTCCCATAATCTCCCCATGATTTCCACATACTTTCCCAGGTATTTCCTCAAGGTCAACTCCCACCTGCCAGGGGGAACTCCTTGCAGCTGGTCATCGCCAGCGTCCCACTGGCCGCCACCTCGCCCAGGGCGCCCACGATGCCGCCCACGCCCGCGGCGCAATCGGCCTGCACGTTGGGAAAGGTGCCGCCTCAGCACGGGAAGTTTTTCGCAGGGAGAGAAGGCTCATCAATACCCATATACTCCACATGTATGGTATATTTACCTACATTTGGGTGATTTTTAGGGCAAATGTTGGTAAATATGCCATACATGGAGCGTATAGGATATGGGATTAAATAATATGGGAAAATAGTTGGATATAATTACTCAATGGTGGGAATAATTATAATTGGAATATGATGGGATACAATGGGAATATAATGACTAATATGGGGAAGTGAGCCAGGAAAGATGGTCAAAGTAGAGTCTTGCTCCCAACAGCCAAGGGATCCTAGGGACCTAGGGGGGTAAACTGGTCAAATTTAAATATATATATAAATAAAAATAAATATAAATATATATATATATATATTAGATCATCCCCACAGTGGTTCAATTCCCATAGCTCCCTGACCTCCACCAAGTCACAGGTGGACACGGCACTGGAGAGCCACGTGGCGGCGGTGCCCACCATCTCCGCCAGAGTCTCGGCGTTCACCGCGCAGGCGAAGTCGCTGATGTCATTGCGGGGCTCCGGACAGGTGCGAACCTGGGGCTCCCGGTTGCGAACCAGGAACTAAGGGTTTTACATAGGTTAAATGATGGTTAAATGAGTGTAATATAATGGGTTAAATATTGTTAAATGGTTAAGAATGGTCAACAAACATTAAATAAATGATGGTTAATGACGACTAAGAATGGTTCATAATGGTAATATGATGATGGCTACTAATTATTGATGATTAGTGATAATGATTAATTCATAGTGGCTAATGATAATCAATGTGGGAAACCCTGGCTGCCATAAAGCTAGGGATTTTCTTAGCACCCATAAACAACGCTTGTTTGGAATAGCGATCATCTGATACGTAAATTGCTATCCCCCAATTCAACAGCAGTCTTGGTTATTCTTAGCTCCAACTAGGCGGAGATTCATTTCGCCATAGTTGTACCCCATATCCCGACATTGTCACATGGGGGTTCGAACCAGCTCCAAACCTACAAACTTAGGACTGAAATCCTGCAAAATCTTGCCTTGCTATTAATGTTAAAGGTACTTACTCTTTTCGAAGATCTAAGATTTTCCCGAACATGGATGCAGCAAAATCCAGTAACGGGTTTTAAGTATGGGATTCTACCCCCGACGTTTGTTGGGATATGGGTACAGCCATGGTGAAATCGACACACACACATATATATATATCCACTTAGTTCACTGGAAGTGTAAATAAGATGGTCATGGCCAATCTCAGATACCCTACCCCCAAAGATGGCGAATGTTCCCAAAATGACACGGGATTGTTATATAGGATTATTGAGGTTTATTAAACTATAGTAACTTAGCCACAACTTGAACTCAACCGAAAAAACGGTGGGTGGAGCGGATTGAACCAGCAGAGAAATGATGTTGAAACAACTATCAAAAATAAAGATATAAACTAGTTGTTACTCTTAAAACACTGTTTAAATCAGAAGAAATAGCTTTACTTTCACATTTTCACCATGTTAGAGCAATAGAAACGGTGATGCAAAGCGGATAAGTTCTCCCAAGTTTCCCAATAGATTCACAGTGTGGGTTGGGTGATTTTCTTGGACAGTTCAGACCATTTATTGGTCTTGTCTCTCATTGGGTGCTTCCAGTTGGTGCCCATCTACATTATATATATAATATATGTGTGTGTGTGTGCCGTGTGGAATGCTACTACAGTTTTGAATGGGAAATATCGTCTTGGTCCCAAGGGCCATGGACTCCACGTCAATGCCGGTTCCTCCGAGACTGTCCACGGTCTCGGCCACGTTGAACACGCAAAAGGCCTGCCGGCTTCGAGGAAAGCACGACCGCATGCGAAAGGTGAGCCATTCACCATAGAAAGATGGTCAAACATGGTGATTTATATAACCATGAAAAAAATGTGGTTTAACCATGACCAATGGTGATTTACCATGATTTAACAATCAACCGTGCGAATTCTACCACCAAAAAATGGTGATTTGATCATTGACTATCACATTTGATTAAAAGAAAAACTGGTGATTGAATTACCCGGCCAAATTGGGATTTAGACATCAACAATGGTGGATTTATCCAATGAATCATGAAGAACAGTGAATTAATTGCATACGTTCAATCGATTGGTGTAATGTCAACCCCGGATCAACAAACACCCGCTATTAATTGATGAGTTACACCAAAAAAAAAAAAAATCCCATGGAAATTGCTGCCCTGCCCCCTAGTAATGGGGCTTTATAAGCCCTGGGTTAAGATTATTGTAAAATCGACTGGAAACCAAGGTCTTTCCCATGGAATATGTGTTGTTTTGCAATTTCCCATTCAACCATATTCAACCAACTTTGAATCTACTATGCAGGGTCTAGTAGCATATGAGAATGTTCAAAACCAGAGGAATCCTCTAATTGGTTGGTCCCAACAGGATGTACCCATGGGATGGGTCAAAACATGTCGCTGCTTCGCCATGCTTCGCCCGCGCCTGCCGGAAGTCATCGTTTGTGTTCCTTAGCAAATGACGCTGCTGAATCTTCACCAGCGTCAACAAGTCATGATTTGTTCAACTGGTTGGTGGTTTCAACCATCTTGAAACATATTAGTCAGTTGGGTGATTATTCCCAATATATGGAAGAACATGTTCCAAACCACCAACCAGCCAACCAGTGATTTGTTTAGTGATCCTGCTGTGAAAATTTCTGTGCGACATAATCTACCAGTGTTGTTTTATCAAACATGGCGAGGAAGTACCCAATTCAGTTCTTACAAGTGACATTTTGGCTACTCGAGCCCAAACAAGATGGTATCATAACTATTCACTACAAACCTACGGCTTCATGTACTCCCCATCTCAAACTGTCCAGCTGTGTTTCCCATGTGACATTTTGGCTATGACATCAACCAAAACGGTCTCACAACCCAAATTGTCCAACTCCTATGTCATACTCTTCCAGCTATCCAAGTAACATCCTTGGCAACATGAACCAAAACCAAAAGTTTTGCATGATAAAAGCCAATAATCCTGCCCAAATCATCCACATTATCTGCAGAAACAAAAATGATTAATTACCTAATTTACCTGTTTCCCTCGTTTATAAACACACACACATATAATAATAATAACCTGTTTCCCTCGTTTATAAACACACACACATATAATAATAATAATAAAATATAATAATAATAATAACAATAATAACAATAATAATAATAATAATAACGATAATAATAATAAATAATAATAATGATAATAATAATGATAATAATAATATATATGCATATGATCATATGTATATACATAGGTGTACAATTATGTACACATACATATTATGAGTATCAACAGAGAGATTTTTGTTCTGTTCAATTTGCCCGAACATCTTCAGCCCCTTCCCAGCCAAAAAAACCCAACCCACCAAGTGACATTTTGGAACCGCCCCAGAACTTTGCCTTCTCCTTGGCCGTCCACACGATGTCGTCAGCCTCGTTCTTGCGCGCCTGGCCTGCCAGCTTCTCGGCCGCGAAGAACTGCCCGAGGCCCGAAGAATAATAGGAGCCCACCATGCTACCTACGCGGAACGCGAATTGTGGTGGGCATGGAATGGAATGCGATGTAGGGAAATAAGATGAAATAAGTATGTATATATATGTGTGTGTGTAGTATAATGTATCTACAGTAATGTATTCTAATGTAATCATGCAGTGAAATAACATGTGAGGTAAGGTAAGGTAATGTATTGTTATGATTTTTTTTAATGGTATGATATGTTATGCATGTTTGCATCTGGCAACCCAGATGCATTTGACATTGTTGGTTACCTAAGGGCGGCCTGTCAACACTGGCGAAGTCAAATACAACTTTGTTGTTTTTTGGTGGTTTACATAGTCAATATCTGTGTTTGGATTGTTTTGGCCTTTTTCTGGCGAATTGTTGGGTAGACTGTATCTTTGGGCCAACTTTGGCCCCAAAAGTCAACAAACACTTGTTCTTATTCCATTTGTTTTTCTCTCTCAGTAAGAAAAAGGCAAATACCGACCGTTGACTTTTGTAGACATTACGGGCAAAAACATGCGAGGATTGAGATTCGACTAGAAAAATAATGCCAATACTGGTAATACGGCATATGACTGATGTCTATTGACGTGTGGGTTTGCATGCATGCATCCATGTAATGTACTGTCAGGATCTGTAAGGTAATCTGCTTCAATGCACCGTAATAATCCGTAATATGCTTTAGTGTAACGTGATGTACTGTACTGTAATGTAGTGTAATGTGATGTATGGCAATATAATGTAATGTATGCATGTATAATGTATGCATGTATAATGTATGCATGTACAGTATAATGTATGTATGTAGCTGACACCACCACTAACGAAACCTATATAATAGTCTTTGGTTGCGAACAATCATGGGAACATGCTCCCCAACAATGAAAAAAATATAGCTGCCTATTCGCAAATGATAAAAACCTAGGCGAAGCTAACCAAGATTGGGATAAAGGATGTTAACCAACGACAAAAGGGGATACAAACGAGAAAAACACATGGGAATATGCAACAGCAATCATGTGGACACATGATATCACTGACACAAACCATGAGAGTTCATAGAATTGTAGATATAATAGCAACTACGGCATTTTCCCAACATCCAACTCGAGGATATTCAAACATAAAGTAACAACCCCTAAATATATAATTACCAAACAGTTGGTAACAACAAATCATCCAAGAAATACATTTCTATTTTTTGTGGGGTTCTTGGGGTGTTTGGTTGGGTGTTTGATTGGGTGTTTGACTGGACGTTTGGTTGGGTGTTTGGTGTTTGGTTCCTAAATCATGCCTACGGTAACTACATTTAAATATACGGAATTTTAAATATACGAACTGGTATGTTAGATTACCTCCGGGAAGGTTTTCCTTGGCCCGCCCGGCCATTTAAACATACGGAATCCATCCAATTCATTTAAACATGCGGTAACTATATTTAAATATACGAACTGGTATTTCATACTACCTCCGGGGCCTTGCGGTCTGGCCCGCCCTCCACATATTTAAATGTCGTTACCGTATATTTCAAAGACCTGTGGTAACGCAAGTTCACAACTAAGCAGGGTCTGTTCACCAAACATTCAAGGGAATATGGGTCAACAACAAATGGTTGGCACGGAGATGGTTATAAATATGACCCCCCCTCAAAAAAAAAAACTGTTCATTTTGGCATTTGAATGGTCTTTTGAAAAGAATTTTGTAAAAAAAATAGTGTAGGTCAGTGTAGGTTCGATTTCATGTGCAGATCAGATTAAGGCTTAACTTGTTCTGGAAACATCACCGCCATCACCCTAGGGCACGCAAAGGCGGCAGCTTTGTGTTCTTGTGGTGCTCAATCCTCTCCTCTTTTGCTTTTTGCATGGCCTGACCAGCAAACTTACCCTTCAGCAATCAAACATAACCGACTGGGAAACATTGGGAAACCCTACACATGGAAGTTTTAGTGGGACAATAATAATAACGGACAATAAATTGTGGATTTTCCATTGCCAATTTGATTGCCGGATGGCAAACATCAATTCAATTGACCAGTTGCAACAGCTTGGGTATGGGTTTGACATTTGACCGATTAACTGAAATTCAAGGGCCTGGTGCTGGTATCAGATCGCCACTGGTCATGCACTGTGCCCTCACTGGTGGCATCTGGCCATATGCTGCATATTTCACCCTCTATTCTTGGTACTATGTAAATTCATGTTAATCTGAGCCACATACATTTACATACATTTGCCAACCCTTCCCTGTATCTCAACTCCCGCAATCTCAACTCCCTCCATGTCTGACATACCCAGGACTCTTCGGGAGAAGCGCCGAATCCAACAAAAATCTCCAGGATCAGTGCTGTTGGCCAAGGCCGAACAATGATCCCAATCAGTTGGGAGATGGCCAACATATTATTATTATTACTATTATTATTACTACTATTATTATTATGATTGTGAATATTATGATGATTGTGTATATACCAGTAGTACCGCGCAAGGCGGCGGCGGAAGTTTCAAAATTTAGGAAACCTATGGGAGAGGTTGGTTGTTGTGAATCATGGATGGCAGAGCGAATCCACTGATGGACCGAAAGGTGGTTGGAGTTGTGTCTTTTGGAGTGGTTGAAGTGATTGCAGTGGTCACCTCAGCACAACTGCTGGATGTAGTGTGTAGAGCAGATGTAGCTGTAGCGTAATGGAGTTGTAGTTGTAGTGTAGTGCAATTAGTGTAGTGTAGGTGTAGTCGCAGTTGCAGTTGTAGTTGTGGCTGTGGTGTGGTGTCATTAGTGTAGTGTAGTCTAGTGTAGTGTAAAGTAGTGTAGTTGCAGTTGTACAGTAGTGTAATTAGTATAGTGTAGTGTAGTCTAGTCTAACGTAGTGTAATGTAGTATAATGTAGTGGTAGTTGTAGTTGTAGTTGCGGTTGCAGTTGTAATTGTAGCTGTAACGTAATGTAAAATAATTAGTGTAGTGTTGTGTAATGTAGTGTAGTTGCAGTTGTATTTGTAGCTGTGGCTGTAGTGTACTGCAGTGTAAGTAGTGTAGCGTAATGTAGCGTAGTTGTAATTGTACATGTAGCTGCGGTGGCAGTAGCAGTAGCAGTAGCAGCAGCACCAGTAGTAGTTGTTGTTCTTCTTGTTGTTCTTCTTGTTGTTCTTCTTGTTGTTCTTCTTGTTGTTCTTCTTGTTGTTCTTGCTGTTGTAGTGTAATTAGCGCAATTAATGCAATTATTGTAACTAGTGTAATTTGTGTAGTGTAGTGTGGCGTGGTGTAATTAGATGTTATTAGTGTAGTGTAGCGTAGCGTAGTGTAGCGTAGTGTAGCGTAGTGTAGTGTAGTGTAGTAATAGTATGTTGCATTTGTAGTTGTAGTAGTGTAGTGCAGTGTAGTGGTAGTTGTAGTTGTAGTTTTCTATCTATCTATCTATCTATCTATCTATCCATCCATCTATCTATCTAGCTATCTATCTATTATCTATCTATCTATCTATCTATCTATCTATCTAACTATCCATCTATCGATCCATCTATCTAACTATCTATCTATCTATCTATCTATCTATCTATCTATCTATCTATCTGTTTACCTGCCAGCTTGAAAACGAAGCTATCCTGCGAGACTCCCTCAATTTTTCAAGCTGACAACATCAAAAACGAAGCAATTCTGCGAGACTTCCTCAACTTCTGAACTTGATAACGTCGAAAAGGAAGCAATTCTGCGAGACTTCCTCAATTTTTGAAGGTGGCAACGTCAAAAACGAAACAAGTCTGCGAGAATTCGTCAATTTTCGTAGATGACAGCATCAAAAACGAAGCAATTCTGCGAGACTTCCTTCAATAATGGAAAGTTGAGTGCAGAGCTGGCAGCCTCGTACCAATGCGTTTTGCGATTTTTCCAGTCCATGTCTCTGAAGCACTGCGCCTGCCACGAAAAAGTGAGGCCAGGTCATACGAAGTGCTGCACCTGTCACACAAAATCTTCTTCCCAAAACTGAAGATCTGATGCTCCAAAATGCAACCCCTCTCAGGAAATCAGCGCCCTGACCTCCTAACTTCTCTGATGAACATGTCTCTTGTACTGCGCCTGCCAGGCGAAATGCATCTTCTTGGCGATGTTTAGCGGTATCTTGGTATACCCTGGGTGTCTTGCGCAATCAAATTTTGTTTGTTTTCAGGCTGCAAAGTACAGAAAATGTGGGCGCTCAGGATGTTTTGAATTTTTGAGCTGGATTGGTTTTGCTTCTGTTTGACCCCGCCTCTGGCTGTTGCCACAAACTAGTTTAAAAACCAAAACTTCATTCCTGGAAGCTTACACTAGATGGAGAAGCCATTTAGAAGGAAATGGACTTGAAACATGTCTTGCTGTCTATGGAAAAGGGGGGGGGCCAATCAGTGTACCTAGTCTATAACAGCAACTGAAGACGTTGCCTCAAAACAGTGGTGCCCGGTATCTGTAAACTTCCTAGGCCCTGGGCGTTCTACTATTATAAATTTGCGGTTTCTTCGCCAGGGTTCCTAGACATAGTTTTTCACCACTCTGCTGACAGCGCGCTTGTCAGCAAAAGCCGGAAGATTTGGTTTTTGTACATTGCGCAACCCGCCCATATTCCTGCAAAGACGGAGTTCCCACGCATGGCGGGCTGCAATTCATCGGGGTCCACGAGAGCTAGTAGGCGCGCAAGCCAAAGCTCTACCGCTATCACTGAGATGCCTTTCAACAGCGCTAGTACTGTAGGGCGCGTAAGGAGGGAAAATCGTTGCCAAGCAATTTTGGATTGCTCAAGTAGTAGGCCCTAAAGCATACTTGGCTATCTGCATTTTCAAATGGTGAACCACCAGGACCACAGACAGAACGGCTGAATGCAAAACAGTTGACGATGTCTCTATATGTTTTATCTTTGCTACACACAGCTTCTATTTTCATGACAGGTGCGTGTATGACACGGTCTATGTGCAATATCTAAATATGTCAACTGGCATCAACTGGCCATCAGTATATGTGTGTTCACGTGTGATGATATACGGAGCTGGGTCACATGTTTCCACGTTTAACAGCGAAGGCTTCGCAGCCGACTTCCCAGTCACTTAGTCAGAGAAGAAGGCTGGAAGTGTCTGAATCTACGTCTGGTTTCATAAGAATGAAAATGACCTTGCAGACGGATAGCAAAACGCCATCATCCAAGATACCGGGGAACCCATGCCCACCGTCACCTCTCAGGAAAGGTTGCGTGATTATTTGTCCACATTGATGTTGTCGTTCGTCATCGTCGCGTTTGACAAATTCCTGCGGCGAACCAGCTGAAAGATTTTTCACAAAAAGGTTGAAACCGGGTCAGCGTTGAACCAACGGTGGCGAGAGCCAGCACTGCGAAATACACACTCCCCTCTCGCGGTTCCAGCCCAGGCTGGACCCGGGAGAGCCGGGTGCGTAATCGAGACAAGAGAGTGTGCACGCTAGCGTTTGCAACGGTGACACTATGCTCTCTCAGTTTCACACTCCCCTCTCGCGGTCCCAGCCCAGGCTGGACCCGGGAGAGCCGGGTGCGAATCACACAGTTCCTGCTCCCAGCCACGTTCCCAACCCGGGCTGGACCTGGGAGAGCCGCGCGACGTTTAGCGGTATACCGGCTGAATTATAAACAACTTCTCTTGTTTTGGCTTGACATGCGCGCATGAACCTCACCCAACCTGTCGTACCTTCAACATTTTTTATACACTCATAAAATATTGAATAAACAATATTGAACAGACGGATTGACTGTCATTTCATTCTTATGGAACCAGACGCAGATTCAAACACTTCCACCCATCTTCTCTGACTAATAAGTGACTGGGAAGTCGGCTGGGAAGTCGGCTGGGAAGTCGGCTGGGAAGTCGGCTTTCGCTATTAAACGTGGAAACATGTGACCCAGCTCCAGCTCCGTGTATCATCACACGTGAACACACATATACTGATGGCCAGTTGATGCCAGTTGACATATTTAGATATTGTACATAGACCGTGTCATACACGCACCTGTCATGAAAATAAAGGCTATGTGTAGCAAAATGAAACATATAGAGACATCATGGTTGACAACTGTTTTGCACTCAGCCGTTCTGTCTATGGTCCTGGTGGTTGACCATTTGAAAATGCAGATAGCCAAGTATGCTTTAGGGCCTACTACTTGAGCAATCCAAAATTGCTTGGCAACGATTTTCCCTCCTTACGCGCCCTACAGTATTAGCGCTGTTGAAAGGCATCTCAGTGATAGCGGTAGAGCTTTGGCTTGCGCGCCTACTAGCTCTCGTGGACCCCAGCAGATGAATTGCAGCTCGCCATGCGTGGGAACTCCGTCTTTGCAGGAATATGGGCGGGTTGCGCAATGTACAAAAACCAAATCTTCTGGCTTTTGCTGACAAGCGCGCTGTGAGCAGAGTGGTGAAAAACTATGTCTAGTGGCTAGGAACCCTGGCGAAGAAACCGCAAATTTATAACAGTGGAATGCCCAGGGCCTAGGAAGTTTACAGATACCGGGAACACTGTTTTGAGGCAACGTCTTGAGTTGCTGGTGTAGAGTAGGTACACTGATTGCCCCCCTCCCCTTTTCCATAGACAGCAAGACATGTTTCAAGTCCATTTCCTTCTAAATGGTTAGTCCTAGGAATGAAGTTTTAGTTTTAAAACTAGTTTGTGGCAACAGCCAAAGGCGGGGTCAAGCAGTAGCAAGGCCAATCCAGCTCAAAAATTCAAAACATCCTGAGCGCCCACATTTTCTGTACTTTGCAGCCTGAAAACAAACAAAATTTGATGGCGCAAGCCACCCAGGGTATACCAAGATACCGCTAAACATCGCCAAGTCTTTGCAGATCCTCTTCAAATGTCCCACGCCTGCCATCGTTTTGGGAAATGCTTGCAAACCCTCACCTTCTGCTTAATTTTGACAAGGTGCACAATCCCTTGCGCCGGCCACGCGAAACGACATCTGAACGTCCAAAAGTGCTCCGTACCCGTCAGTTTTTTGCACTTTTGACTGGGAAATGTGCTTCGCGCCACAGCCGCGTGCACTTTTTCAACATCTCAACTTCCAAAAGTGCTCTGAACGTGGTGTTTTTTGGTACATTTTGGCTTGGAAACGTGCTTCGCGCCAAAACCGCGTGCACTTTTTCAACATCTCAACTGCCAAAAGTGCTCTGAACGTGGGGTTTTGTACATTTTGACTTGGAAATGTGCTTCGCGCCACAACCGCGTGCACTTTTTCGACACTACAACTTCCAAGAGTGCTCCGAGCATGAGGTGCTTTGCACGTTTTGACTTGGAAATGTGATGAAATGTGCTTCGCGCATCTTCGCGCCACACCGGCGTGCACTTTTCGACATCTCAACTTCCAAAAGTGGTCCGGCGTTGGTGTGCTTTGTACATTTTGACTTCCAAACGTGCTTCGCCCCACAACGGCGTGCAACTTTTCATCTCTCATATATGACCACATGGCTCCGCACCCGTTGCTTTAGCGAGCCTACTCTTCGACCCTCAAATCATTCGAAAAACACAGTGTTTTGCGACTTTCCTACCTTTTCGCGCACCTGCATCTTCTTTCTTCTCACTCTTTCTCTTCTCTGATCTTCTCTCTTCGGCTCTTCTCCTCTCTGACTCTTCCCACTCTGCTTTTCCATCTGTCCATATTGTCGGAAGTTTGACTTCTAAACTTCCTTCGATAAACCACCCACCCAAGGTATGCGCGCCGAGCCAGCGATTGCCGCCTCCTTCACCATCTTGTCCGCCTCTTCGCGGCTGCTCACTGACTTCAAATGCCGCGACGCGGCTTCGAGCTGAGCGGCCTCTGCCTGAGGGTCAGTTATGGGCAGTTGACCTGGAAATTAGGGGTATGAGGTGACGATATCTATGATCATCTATGGATATTGGAGGAAAATGGATCCTTTATGATCTTTTATATCCAATGGATGATTTCAGTGTTTTTTTTTACCTAGAATCCCATCCTCCGTTCATATTAAACACCCCCACGGTATGGTCCTGAAAATGCCCTAAATGAGTCTAAAGGCCCCGACTCAACCTTGGTTTCTAAGGGATGTTTATTTTAGTATTCGGAGGAAGGCATATTTGGGGAAATTAATATTTTTCAATTTGTTTTTAACCTATCCTATACTCAACAACATATTCATATATTGTTTTTTTTTTTAATATATATATATATATATATAATCTAAACAACGGGAAAACGGGTATATAATAACTTCAGAATGATCAATAATCAATAAATTGATGTAGGAAGTATACTGCAAACAATGGAACTTCCTAATCTTTACTAGACACATAGTGTACGCAAATGGTGTCAGCAATTGTTCTGTACACGTCGAGCAGTTTAGGAGGTGGGATGTATGCAGAATGGTGACCAGAGTGATGCATGGGCCTGGGGCAGTTCTGGATCTAAACTCTCTTCTGGTCATTTACGGATCTTCCAACCCGTTGAGGTCCTGGGTGGAAGCATCTTGATGAACTGCAAGAAATACTGAGGCAATGTTTCATGATTTTATATGATTTTGAGGTGCTTTAAGGATTCCCCTTACGGCTACTAGCCATCTACAGTGATCCCATTGTGATGGTCGTTCCCTTGGACACCACCAACTTCCAGGGCACAAGTTGGATGTTGGAGGACCTTCGAAACAGCGACAACGGGTTGCGGCATGGGGATGTCATATAGAAGGCGACCGCACAGACCACCAGGATCATGGCAGTGATGGCTGCTGCCTGGCATCCAACATGTGACGAATCGAAGATCATCGAAGTATACCTTCAGAGTGACTGTTGCTTATCATACTTTGGGATCCTTTGTGTAGTTCTTCTTTGTGTAGTTCTTCTGTGTGTAGTTTTTCATAATCTTAATATATCATCCAATGATCATGATCTTTATCTTAATATGTTCCGATGATTTCCATCATCCAATGATCATCTCAACATCGCTCCCAGCCCACGACATGGCCGGGCCTTGTAGCGTTTTGGCATCTCTCTGGGGGCCACCTCCTCCTCGTCGCCTTCGTGACTTTCTTCTGCCAACATGGCATCGCGTGACGTGCACTCGGCCTGCACATCGCCTCGTTCGTCCACCACACTGTACTTCAACATGTCCTTGGGGCAGATTGGTGAAAATGCCGGATGTGATCCACAGATGAGCTCTCAAAACTCCATGGTCTTCGTCTTGCCTAGAACGTGTAGGTATCGATAGGTATCGCCTCTTTTTGAAGGGCACTATCCCTAACCATGGTTTTGTACTTATTATGAAGATAGAGGAACAAATCTGCATGAGGAAATGAAGTGGAAAGGGTCTATCTGTGGTATAGGGCCACTTTTTGAACAAATATGGGTATCGCCAAAATCTAAGGTACCGCTATATATAGGGGTATCGTTAATTTCTTTCCTTGCATGTGCAGAACTTTGTGAAAATCAGCTTCAGACAGATGTGGACATTCCGACATTATGCACCGGTACAGTGATAACACGATTTTATGTAAGATATTTTAGGTATCGCTTTTTGGGTGACCCCTATTGCAGTGTTCCGGGCACTTTCCAGACATCCAGTGAGCCCCCCCTTCTGGTCTGCCAAAGAGAGTTTTGACTGTAGCTAATACTCAAGCGATGAGGTTGGGCGGATATGGGGTGAAGGTAATCCATCATCTTAGCCTTTTGAGACTGGATGAGATTGGATGTGAACGGGGATCTGAGATGGCAGGGCGAGAACATGTGCTCAGGCGGGTGGGGAGGGTGGTTCGCAGTTCAGGGGGCTCGGAAGTTCTTCAAGCCATGCGCAGATTCTGGGATCGGATGGGTACCCAAAAGTTTGGGTGGTGTCACCTGATTCAACATGTCTTGAGAGGGCGGGGAATGATCCACATCCGACTGGAACATCACCCGACCCAATGGGAGGAGGATAGGATGGGATGGAATCGTGAAAAGGGTGACACACCATTGTTGCTGAAGCCTTTCTTTGCTGCCACACAACTTTGTGTCTGAAACATTACCAGGAAGAATAACTGAATATTTATATATATATTTACTTATTTAATATATATATATGTAATATACAATATATATATGTATATATATATAATATATCTGTTCTCGTTCCTATCTTTTCTAGACATACTCCACTTCAATTCAATCAAACCCAATCTGCAACAGCCTATATTGTATCTATGTGCCACTATATAAATCAATCTAAACAGACTTAATTACAGCAGTAACTACTATCAAAATGCCTAGCGTCTGGTGTGACAACTTTGCAGCAACTGTATTTCCTACCTACAGAGCTTCTGGAGCACCTTCCAACAGTCTTGGGCCGAAACACCACGGCAGCCGCTCACGTGACCGGTTGGGCTCATGTGCACAAGATTCCAAGCCTGTTTCTTTTCTTGGAAGGTGGAAGGTCCTCACATTTTTTTGTTTGATGTGTTCCATGCTGGATACTGGAACCTGCAATGAATTGAAAAGACATGTTGCAGGAAGGAGCAACCCCCAAGATGATCGGAGATTGTTATTGACTCGGGGAAGCTGTTTTTTTTGGCTAGGATCTCCTGACATATCCAATATAATCGTCCCAGTCATATATCAAACATCTATAAACATATAGCTATAATCACAAGGGAAGTCTGGCCACCAAAAATACGCCGCACCCCAGAGGACGCCACCGGCAAACAGGCGAAATCTGCCACACGTTCCAGGGCCGCGCGCTCAAAGGCATTCACCAACCTGGGGCGAAAAATGGTTTAAGGCCCCATGTGGTAAGCCTGGCATGGAAGACTCCGAAAGAGAATGATTTCCCATTACTATCCATTACTCTCTCTCTCTCTCTATATATATATATATATATATCCATATTGACCCGTTCAAATGTGCGGTTTCCGATTGGTGTGATTGGAAAGGGGATCACAGCAAAATAGCTGGTTGTTATGGATGTCCATCACACATTCCGATTGTACCCTAGGTAACCATTGGCTCATTGAAAGGATATTCAACCAACTCTGGGACCTTGATGGAATGTGACCTCTGCTGCCTGCCAGACCTAAAATTGATTAAACACATGTGTGTCATGTAGGGCAATGTAGGGTATATGAACCCCTCACCCCCCCGCAAATGACCAAGGTTTCTCCAATGCTCATCAATTCTCAATCTGGCAATGGTAAATCCCTTTCTTTCCCCCTTTCTATAAGTGTACAGTACCGTTCAAAAACTGAGGCTTCCCTTTGCCGGGACACACATCCGTCTCGAAGTTGAGCGCCAACTTGGAGCGCAGGAAGGAGAACTCCAGGATCTTCTTCAAGGCATTGCCTTGGCGTTTTTTTGGGGCCTGTGATGTTCCAAAACCTGGTTTCATGTGGAACAACTTGAGATGGATGGATGGTACAAATAGACGGATGGTAGTTGTTGTTGTCGTGGTTGTCGTGGTTGTCGTGGTTGTCGTGGTTGTTGCTGTTTTCGTTGTTATGGTGTTTTTGTTTTTGTTTTTTTGTTGTTGCTGTAGTTGTTGTGGTGTTTTTGTTGCTGTTGCTGTTGTTGTCTTCGTTGTCGTCGCCATCGTTGTTATTAGTACACATGGGATCGAAAGCCTCACAACACCCCTTTCTGAAAATAAGGCGACACGACCATAGCAAGCTGCTGAGAATATGGGCTGCTGAGTGGCTGAGTATTGGGGTTGCTTGCTACTAGAAACAGCTCGAAATAAAAAGTGTACTACTATTGTGTTTTACTTTAAGATGTTAGACTGTTTTAAGCTATTTTGATCCATACTAAGTGGTAAACAGTAAATGCAAAATTGGATTGGCCACTTATGGCCACTTGGACATTTCTTATCCTGACCGGAAAAGGGTGTCCATCCCCATCGTCCTAGCAGCAACTCAAGAATCATGTCTTCTTTCGCTACATTATTTCGCAATATTTCGCCGTCCGGGATTCCAGGCAAGACGAGTCAAGGTGCAAAAGAGAAGCAGCAGGATGCAAGCGCAAGGACGTGCCAGTAGCACCCGCGTGTCCTGCGGTGGACTCCACCAAGAAAAGTTCACCGCCCAGGCGCAGAAGATCGAGACGCCGGCGCGTTCCTCTTGGAAGAGGATGCCATTCCTTGGGATCCGTGGGAAAAAACCGGTGGGAAACACCGACATCTCGGGAAATATGGGAAAATCATGGTAAAATCATGGTAAAATCATGGGGCTTTCAGGAGTTTTAAGATGTAATCACATGTAACTATCAAATCCGGAAAAAAACTCCTGCAAGTGTAGAGAAAACATTGGCATGTCATGAGGAACAATTGTTGACAACTTGTCTCTCTTTAGACACTTTCGGTATCTTTCGGTGACTCGATGTGGCCTGAAACGGTTTCAAGGCTACAAAATTGGAACCCCTGGAAACCTTTGGGTGGGTTTTGCTGTTAAAAACTTAAACACCAACTTCTCCCTATGAAATCCTATGAATCCCCCACGTCTCCACGGTTTTCCCCACGTTTTCCCCATGGCCAGGTCTCAAGTAGATGATCTTCTCCGCGTTCCTCCAGCGACACAAGCGCGAGATGCGCAGCAAGGCCATGGTGACCACTTGGAAGGCAAAGCCCAGCACCAAATAACCTGCAGCGGTCGGCGGACCCAGTCGTTACCCTCTGGTCATTTCTTACATCCAATGGATCCAATGGATATGATGTAATGGCTTCTAATGGAAAAAATGATGGATATGATGTAATGATCCAATTAATGGCTTCTAATGGGATTAATATTGGTTCATATCCATTCATGGCTTCTAATGGGATGAATATGGATTAGTCTCTAGCCATAGCTGCGTTTACCAGAGGAATCACTTGGCTATGACCCGAAAATAGCTTCTTAATTTGGATGTGAATTCCCCCTAGTATGGTAATTTCGTGTAATTTCATAGGTTTTGACTCAAGATGGTGCCATGGGTATATCGGATGGGGATCAAATGAGTTCAAATAGTGTGTGTATATTACGCAACCACTGGGACTTCATTGGATGAATGTTTTGGATTATAGTTAAAAACATACACTTAGAACACAAATTGTTTTCCATTTTTTCCATACGCTTAGAAAACCGTTTTGCTGCGTGCAAAATTTGCCCTAACTGTTCTAAGTGAAGGCTTAGAACATGTTCTTAGTGAGCTACGTAGAACAGATTCAGAAACGTGTTAGAACACATCTTATATTTCCAACATGTGTTCTAAGTGTAGGTCGGTCACTCTATAGTAGTATAATAAAATACAATTGAAGTAATATGTAACCACCATCCCCAAAAAGATATTTCCAATTGGATAATATTGGGTACAGCTCTATTCGAGATGATGTAAAATGACCTGGGCCCAAATGGTTGTTTAATGGGATGGTTTATTTTTGCGTTTATCACATTAATTGTCTATGTATCCATTCACCCCTGCTGAAGGCTGTACCAATCCTTACATAATTTAAATTGCGAACATACACTTAGAGCACATAAATTACCTCAAAGTGTTCTAAGCACCTCTTAGAACACATGTTCTAAGTGTATGTTTTTGGTGGGTGTTCTAAGTGTATACTTAGAACAGATTTAGCTGTGTGATCTTTGATTTTCGTTTTCCAAATAGTGTTCTAAGTGTAGGTCCCTAACTATATATCCAACAATATCGTGGTGGTGGCCGGTGGTGCCCCAGTTGGTTACCTAAGTCGGTTTAACTGGGATTTATATTGATGATATGATTTGGATTTAGCAGAAGAATATGGAAACCATCAATTTAAAATGAGGGTCTAATCTAACCATGAAAAAGGCTTGTATAGTTGGGAGATCTCATGTGAATATAAGTGGGATGTGATGAGATGCTTGACCAACGATGGCAGTGCCCCAGTTAGCTAAACCGGTTGATAGCTCGGCAGCACATCCCTGAAACGCCGAGGTGCTAAGACTCGCAGCACAGGCGTGGGTGAGCAGAGTTCGGGTCAGCCTGGGCAGCTGGTTGTCAAAGCGAAACGGCAAAATGGGGATTTTAATGGGATGTGATTGGAATTTAGTGGGGTTCATGATGGTTCATATGTTGATTTGGAATTTTATTGTGGTGAATGGGGATTTACCCAACAAATATGAATTGGATTTAGTCAGGTTCAATGGGATAGGAATTGAATATTAATGGGACAATAATCGGATTTCAAAAATGTTAATTACACACCATACCCTCTGCTCATCGAACACGGATATGGAATGATATGGAAAATTGCCCGTTTATAGAATTTCTACCATGATTTACGGTTTCTTAATCGGCACAAAGCCCATGACAAACGCCAAACTTACAGTACATCAATTTACCGTATTCCACCATTTCGGGGCTATGATATGCGATGAATCCTCTCAAAGGATCCTTTAAAGATTTTAGAGGGTTTAATGAGATTTAATGAGCATGTCTGACTGTCTCTTCACCATCCCCGTTAAAATTACAGGACCTCAAGGCCTTGCTTTTTGTAGTAAACATTTCAACCGTTTTTTTTTTTTCACCCATATCATCCCATTGCCGTCGATATCATCCAGACCTAGCCGGCCCAAGCAGCTCGTACATGCTGGAGCGCGGCAACTCGCCCACTTTCAGCTGCCGAGGCGTCATGGCCGACAACTGCGGGAGGACGCCAGTCGCACGAACCCCGGGGGGTTGGGTGAAGTTATAAACCCCCAAAAAAAACAACAAGAGGAACCCCTATTGCTGGGTGATGACTTTAGGGCTGCACCCTGAAACTTCAGTGATTTTTTTGGGGTGCATTTGACATGTTTTGATGGAGAAAAAAGGGGGAACCATGGTTTTTATTCACAAAAACCGTGTTTCAAAGCAATGACTATAGGATTTGTGACAAACATTAACCTCGGTCCATGACAGCCTCCACCTTAGCGGATTCCCATAACTGTTAACTCATGCAGTCAGGATGTTGTGACATTTCTTCGATGTGCCTGGACACATCGTACTGTGCAGGGAGTCCAAACAATATCATTTGATTTATGATAGATAGGTTTCCTGAATAGAAAGGCAAATCAAAAATCATGACAAAAATATAGACACCACCACCCAATTCTTCTCAATGACTTGGCTAAAGATCACAATCACAAGCTGAAGACCGCCAAAATGCCATTGCACTAAGATCTTTGAACTGAGTTCCACACAAGGAACGGGCTCAATATCACCAAGGTCTTCAAAATCCTGCAGAAGGGGCCAACCGGGGATGTCCCCCGCCATTTCTTTAACATCCTCGTTTCGTACCTTGACAAAAACATGCGGACTACCCCCAATGCCCACTGCGAACCACCATGTATTCCCCACAAAAAAAAAATGAATTGGGCGTCCCATTTCACACAACTTTGATTTGACTATCAAAGGCTACTACTTGGGTAATAAACATTGTTCTTCCATGTTGTTCCCATGCTTCTTTGCTTAAACACACAAAGTGCCACAAAAGGCACTCAAATTTAACCAAGGAATACCGCTAAAAATCAACATGTTTTCGAATAAAGGCACGGCGTCCAATATTTGTTGCGTGAAAATCTACTCAAAGAATACACAATGTGTATGTATTGGGTGCTATACCAACAAACACAGGCAAGAAATAGATACTGCACAAATTGCAAACATTTAAACATATTTAATCTGGTTTGTGGTTTCAACCCCTCTGAATGATATATGACAGTTAGGATTATTATTCCCAATATATGGAAAGACATAAAATTCATGTTCCGAACCACCAACCAGTTAATCAATTAAAATTGGGGGTTGTCCTATCGTTGTTGCTTAAACCCCAGCCAACATAGCCAACATTGTTGTCTGAAAAATGAGGTGCCCAAAATTTGATGGTTGATCTGGTGAAAAATCTCACTAGATTCACTAGATCAATTTGATGACCCCATTCAAATATATTCAAATACCATTTAGAATCCCATCAACCTACTTGCACTTGGATTCTATGATGCCATTTGATGGTATTTTAAATGATACTGTGGATGGTTGCGAAATCCTGCACAAGTTGATAGGTGTTTTCTCCCATTATTTTTAGGGTTTCAACCATCCTTTTGGTGGTGCAGGATTTCTTCCATCCACAGTAGTACTTGATGGTATATCCCATCAAATACCATCAATCAACCTACTTGTACCTGGATTTTCTGATGGTATGTGATGGTGCTCTTTTTTTTATATGATAGTACCATCAACCATCAAATACCATCAAATACCACCAAACACCATCAAATACCACAACCATCAACAGTATCTCTCATATATCACAAGTATAGACATATATACCTACATATAAAGTTACCATATCATGATAGTATATGTACACCATATGCCATTCAATACCATCAACCATATATCTGGGCAAACTACAGTAATTTACTAACCTGAAATAAGACCATATTCAGATAATTCCCCTTACTAACCATTGTTCCAGTCAGGGAATACAGTGAGGTCACTATATCTTACCCAGATATATATGATATGTATATATATATATGTGTGTGTGATATGATATCTGGTAGTATAATATATAATATACATATTTACATCAATACCATGGACCATCAAAATAGATCAATTCCATATGCCATTCAATACCATAAATCCATTCAACCAATTACCATATATGGTATATCATCACCAGTTGAATGAGATATACCATGATATACCATGATATCTATGGCAGTACTTGATGATCAAAAAGAAACATATATATATATATAACAATACCATCAACCATATGTAATTATCAATATATATATATATATATTATTTTTCCAGATGTAATTATCCAGATGATGATAGGATATTAGATGATATTAGGATATACCATCAACATATACCATATAGTACTTGATGCTATATCCTATCATTAACCATTCCCCTTGCCTGGAAGCTTGCACCGCCGCGGAGGCCGCCGCTTGGAGACCGCCCCAGGAGAGGTCGTCGTCGATGTGCTCCAGGTGTTCGAACCTGGTGTTCGAACATCGGGGAGTTCACCACCGATACCGTGCTGTTTGACCTACCAACCAGTGGTTAATATACTGTTAATAATGGTTAATATAATATATGGTTATTATATGGTTGATGATGGTTAATTAATAAGAATCTGGTTGGTGGTTTCAACATGTTTCAACCCTACCCCGCTGAAAAATGATGAAGTGAAAGTCAGTTGGGATGAGGAAATTACCAACTATTATGGAAAAATAAAAATGTTCCAAACCACCAATCAGTCATGGATTTAAGGATGACAAATAGTGAACAATAGTGAGATAAGTGAGTTAACCATGACAAATCGGGATTTAACTGATGAACCAATGAATAATGGATATAATGGATAACACATGGATAAAGGATACTGAATATGGGCGATTCAACATGATTTAATCATGGGGATGGAGATCTAATCTGGACCATATGCTTGGTGGTTCACCCCATTTGTATTGGTAGCTGGATAGTATACAACTGGGCTTCGTGCACCCAGTTTGATTTACATAGGGTCAGCCACGAAACGGGACTTCCTAACCACTGATGACCAAATAGAGACGACCTATGGAATCGTAGACTTCCCGCAAACTGGGGATTCAACCCATTAAAGTTATTAAAGCTTGAGGGTTAGGAAGAATGTTGGGAAATGGGGGGATCTAACCAGGATTTCCGCAATTCATATAAATAATGGGATATATACTATCAAAGCATCATGCGAATAATCGGTATATTGTAGGATACATGACCTATGGGATACATGACCAGTCATCTGATGTAATTGTGGGTGTATCTGAAAAGGGGTAGTCCGCACACAATTGCTTCAAAACAAGAAAAACAAAACTGTCATCAAATTGGGTGGTACTACGTTTTGGACCCATGTGCCCGTGTAAGAACACATATTATATACAATAAATGTATATGCATACCATACATTACATTACATTACACTACACTACATTACATTACACTACACTACATTACATTACATTCCATACCATACCATACATACACAAATAAATATATATATAGATACACGCACACACACATATATAATTATATATATATGCATACATACAGTACATATATATATATATTATTGAATAATTATGCATGTTTGATATGACAGAATAATATTGAAAAACAAAGATGGCCGGTACGCGGTGGGAAACGAGACCAGTTGTTGGCGAGGCTTTGGATCTGAGTGGAGTGGACAACACATGGTATGGCACCAACATCAAAACACGGGAAGATGATTGGAGAATAGCCCCCAAAAAAGGTTGAACAGATTTGAAAAGGTGTTTGTTCCCTATTCTCGTTGGACTTCACTTTTCCATCTGTTTGATTCTTTTCCGGGGTAGCCGTAGCAGCTTTTTTTAAAATACTTCAATATTCAGAAATGGACAACCTATTGTGCGGTATTTCAAGCTAAGTGACATCATGGCAACCCTCTTTGCTTCTTCCTTGGTCAGTGGACGGTATTGCTGATGTCTTCCCCTTTAAGCGACATTCAAGGAAATATTTGCCAAGCAGCACAGCGATGCGTTCAACAGGATTGACATGCTGGTGAGGTGGTGTTGGGTTGCATGCTGACAGAACCATGCAATGGTCCTGTACTGTACTGTATCATTGATTGTCATGTTTAGTCTTGACGATGTGAAGCAGAGGACCACACGTCCATGGCTTAAGTCTATAGAGTTTCACATGTCATACTCTGCCAATCTCAGCAACCCACTGGCTTCAATCACACAAATGCTCTTGCCTCACTGACTCCTGAGGTCCTGGGTCTGTTTCTGCAAATATGACTTGACGTGGGCTTTCAGCATCTTTCAGCACTGTCGTTGACGTCGAACTGATTTGGCGAACGAATTCTGTCGGATCAAAGGAAAACCTGGGGGGATGATGGTTCACAGTGCGAATAGCACACCCATATCATCCATTACCCTCTGGTAAACGTTGACATAACTACTGGAAATCACCATGTTTGATGGATAGATCAACTATAAATGGCCATTTTCAATAGCTTTTTGTATGTTTACCAGAGGGTATCATGCCGTTTGAACAGGGCCCAGGGCTTTCATATTCATGTGGCATTGGGATTGCACCACCAATGACTCTCACGATTCAATGTAGTGCTTTAAGGGACAAACGCAGTAAACCACGTCGTTTCAATCCAAAATCAAAGGGGGCCTGCATTTTTTCCCTTCAAGACTCATGGCTGTCAGGCCAATCTTAGACCCGTTATTTACCTGCACGTATGTAATTCTATAGCTTAACAAATAAAATGAACGGAACGAAAGTTATTCCACTATTACACTATATATCTACCCAGAAGTTTGTATCTGTACATATCTGCAGCTTACAAAATTAAGTTGTACTGAACGTTATTACCCTATCCATCCAGAAGTTTTCGCATCCGAGGCTCCAAGTCCCGCTTGATCTGCATGCGTGGCTGCACGTACTGCGATTGTGCAGACCGGCGGCCACTTTTCCTCGAGAAGATAAGCTAGGGCAAGGGTGTACCGATGTCTATTTACATGTATATACACACACGCGCGTATATATATATATATATATAATATGCGTGTGTGTATGTATCTATCTATCTGTCTGTCTATCTGTCAACCTATCTATCCATAAAATACATACATACACATGATTTGGTTTGATGCAGGCGGGAATGATCCTGAACATTAGGATTGATGGCCAGTAAAGAACCATAAATGGGGTACAAACTTCAGCCATTGGTCATAGCCATGTTGCACCACCGTCTGTTTGGAGCTGGTCTGTAACATGCTGTAAGTGGATTTTTGGTGAGTTGACTTCGAATCACACCGGTCTGCAAGTTTTTAATACTCAGGGCCAGTTTAAAGCATCATTCTGGCTTGTCTGTCAAGATGACGCCTATATGTGTATATATAATTATATATAACATATAACATATATAAACATATGTAGAGAGAGAGAGAGAGCAAAGAGAGAGAGCCATACTACATACCAGTACTGCATTTCCACAAGCTTGCACACCTAATCCATTCCACTATAATGGCAAAATGACCCTTTTCTGCATCTGTTTGAGGTTGACTACACATATCCCCAAACCCATATAGCCGGCCAAAAACCCATACATCCCTACATTGTTGCTCTATCCCTTTTATCCTCATCAAGTTGTTGGCAACCATCATTAAACGCAAATTCCCATTAAGTAATTGTCCATCTCGTCTTGGTAAATTTACAATTTACGGTTAATAAAATCCCTATATATCATTATATCATTATCTCCATCGAATTGAGCGGAGGTAAATTCGCAATTTGTTATGTTTCAATTACCACTATTAATCATGAGCTATGCAAGTCTAAGTTCAAAACATATAAGTTCCATGTAAATCCCCATATTGGAGCACAACTATGCCCTCCTTCATGTTTGATGCTTGCATCCCTATGGGTAATATATTTTCGAATATCCAATGAAATATATCCATAGAACCGTTTATGGTTAGCTTAGTTTCACCATATAGACCCCGATTCATCCCCCGCAAATCGCCCAAGCCCTTAGTTTCCACCTTTTCCCATATATTTCTAGTGAAATTCAAATTTTCCTATATTTTGATTAGTGAAATTCCCAATCTTCCCATATTTTCTCATATGTCCAAACGTGTTCTTTCCCAGTGAAATCCTCCTTTCGAAACGGTTCCCCAAAAAAAATCACTGCCAAGGCGCTTGGAGACACTCTCGGCCCAGGCCTCTGCCAAGCTGCGGCTCTGCAGGGGCGAATGGTACCCCGCCTGCGGGTGGAACATCCGTGGGGCTTTGATGAGAATGGAGCTTTGGAACATCACCATGCTATTAATGGGTAAATCCACTATAAATCACCATTTTTAATGGGTAAATCCACTATAAATCACCATTTTTAATGGGTAAATCCACTATAAATGGCCATTTTCAATAGCTATTTTTGATGTTTTTTGATGGAAATGTCATCGAAAATTCATGGGATTTACATGGAATTTCTTGGGAGTTCATGGAATGTTCATTGGATTTTCACGGAACTGTGATGGAAAATGCATTGGGATGCTCATGGGATTTCATGGAATTGTCATGCACATGTCATGGGATTTGCATAGAAATTTCATTGAAATGTCATGGAATGCTCACGGGATTTCATGGGATTTAATGGCAAATTTGAATCGACATTCGGATGGAAATTTGATATACATACCAATTAATTGGCTAATGTCAAATCATCTAATGTTTATTTTCGAGCATAAGTAAATCTCCAATTTTGAATCATCCAATTCCTATGGATCCAAGTGCCTTCTTCGAAAGTGCTTGGTGTATGATTTGGGATGTTGAGTACCTTCTCACGAGGTGTTTTGATCCACAGGGTATGGGTATATTAAAGGAACTATGGGTATTAACTATGGACATTTTATTAAAAAAATATAATTCACATAATTTTCATGGGATTTATTGGGAGTTAATGAACTACACACAATATTTGATACAAGCAACTGGAAATGGCAATGGATCTTTTCAATGGATAATGTTAGTTGACATTGTGATGGAATTCTGATGGAGATTTGGCATGGCTATGACTAACAAGGTTGTGCCCCCCAGTTAATAAGTTGCTTATGAGACTAACTTAGCTAAGTAGGGGGCACCACCTTGCAGTAACTATGGGTATTGGCTATGGACATTTGATAAATGTGATCTATAGAAATCTCATAGGATTTAATGGGGTTTAATGAGGGAAACCCAACCCCCTTGAGGTGAAAATGGTGACAGAATTGGTATGTAATAGGGATACAATGGCATAATGGGAATTATATAGCGGGATTTAATATGGATATATAATCTGTGAGGTTCCGTTTGCGATAGCTAAGTTGACGCATGTAACTTGGCAAATTCTGTGGTTTATGGGGCATGTAGCTTGATTATATTAGGGGGTTTATTCAAGCTATTGGATGAATTTGAATGGTTCTTCATAAACCAGTGGGTGTACCAGTAGTACCCGCACGAGGCGGGGCGGAAGTTGCCTTAAAGATATATATGAGAGCTTTCTCATCTATAGAACTTGCATGCGCCGTGCGCCAGCCAAGCCCGTGCGTGCGTGCACTCTGCGAAAGTTGTGTCCTGCTTCACATGTCACACTTGCAGCCCCACGTCACACTTCACACTTGACAGTCTTCACACTTCACACTGCACTCTTCGCACTCCACACTTCACACTTCACACTGCACTCTTCGCACTCCAAACTTCACACTCCACACTTCACACTTCTCACTTCTCACTCCACACTTCACACTCCACACTTTACACTCCACGCTTCACACTTCTCACTGCTTTCTTCAGACTCCACACTTCATACTTCACACTTTACACGTCACAGTCCACACTTCACACTTCTCATTGCTTTCTTCACACTCCCCACACATCTTCACTCCACAGAGAAGCTTTTACACACAGCAAGCTTTCACACACAGCAAGCATTTACACACAGAACACTTACACACAGTGCTTTTTACATATGGCAAGCGCTTACACACACACACAGAAACTTTTACACAGAGAAGCTTTTACACACAGCAAACTTTTACACACAAAACTTTTACACACAGCAAGCTTTCACACACAGCAAGCGTTTACACACAGTACTTGCACACAGTGCTTTTACACATGGCAAGCGTTTACACACAGAACACTTACACACAGTGCTTTTACACATGGCAAGCGTTTACACACACACAAAAAAAAAACTTTTACACAGAGACATTTTTAACACATGCACAGATAAGCTTTTACACACAGCAAACTTTTACACGCAACATCTTTTACACACAGCAAGCTTTCACACACAGCAAGCGTTTAGACACAGAACACTTACACACAGTACTTGCACACAGTGCTTTTACACATGGCAAGCGTTTACACACAAACTTTTCCACACAGGAATTGCAGCTCCAAAACCGGATCTCGACGCCAAAGCAGAAAAAAGACGATTTTGAAGCATTTTTAAAAGGGATTTTAAAAGGAAAATTACTAGCGCCAAAATTGCGAAAATCTGCTGACAAATCACTATCGCAGCCTGGATGCAGCCACTCCAATACGATTTACAATCTTCAGCTGCAAAAGACAATAGTATTACGCATGCAGCCGCGGCGGCAAGCAACCTTGAGGCAGCCACTCCAATGCGATCTGCAGAGACTGAGTTGCAAATCACAATAGAACTAAGCGCAACGGCGTCGGAAATTGCAGCTCCAAAACCGGATCTCGACGCCAAAGCAGAAAAAAGACGATTTTGAAGCACTTTTTAAAAGGGATTTTAAAAGGAAAATTACTAGCGCCAAAATTGCGAAAATCTGCTGACAAATCACTATCGCAGCCTGGATGCAGCCACTCCAATACGATTTACAATCTTCAGCTGCAAAAGACAATAGTATTACGCATGCAGCCGCGGCGGCAAGCAACCTTGACGCAGCCATTCCAATGCGATCTGCAACCGGAGATTCCAAAACACCCTATAACTACGCACACACAAGCACACCCAAAGCAGCTTCAAGCCACCGTTACAATGCGGCAAAAAAAAAACGGCAAACCGACCGCAGCCGCAACCGCCGCACAGACGAGGTACCTTTCATCGCCGGCTGCAGCCACTTTACACGGAAAAACACAAGGTTTCGTGCTCCGGCTTCCTCCCCAAAACATAGCCCATGCAACATCATGCAGCCATTCCAATGCGATCTGCAACGCACAGATTCCAAAACACCCTATAACTACGCACACACAAGCACACCCAAAGCAGCTTGAAGCCACCGTTACACTGCGGCAAAAAAAAAAGGCAAACCGACCGCAGCCGCACCCGCCGCACAGACGAGGTACCTTTCATCGCCGGCTGCAGCCACTTTACACGGAAAAACACAAGGTTTCGTGCTCCGGCTTCCTCCCCAAAACAGAGCCCTTGCAACATCATGCAGCCATTCCAATGCGATCTGCAAGCACAGATTCCAAAACACCCTATAACTACGCACACACAAGCACACCCAAAGCAGCTTGAAGCCACCGTTACACTGCGGCAAAAAAAAAAGGCAAACCGACCGCAGCCGCACCCGCCGCACAGACGAGGTACCTTTCATCGCCGGCTGCAGCCACTTTACACGGAAAAACACAAGGTTTCGTGCTCCGGCTTCCTCCCCAAAACAGAGCCCTTGCAACATCATGCAGCCATTCCAATGCGATCTGCAAGCACAGATTCCAAAACACCCTATAACTACGCACACACAAGCACACCCAAAGCAGCTTGAAGCCACCGTTACAATGCGGCAAAAATAAGGCAAACCGACCGCAGCCGCACCCGCCGCACAGACGAGGTACCTTTCATCGCCGGCTGCAGCCACTTTACACGGAAAAACACAAGTTTCGTGCTCCGGCTTCCTCCCCAAAACAGAGCCCTTGCAACATCATGCAGCCATTCCAATGCGATCTGCAAGCACGGATTCCAAAACACCCTATAACTACGCACACACAAGCACACCCAAAGCAGCTTGAAGCCACCGTTACAATGCGGCAAAAAAAAAAGGCAAACCGACCGCAGCCGCACCCGCCGCACAGACGAGGTACCTTTCATCGCCGGCTGCAGCCACTTTACACGGAAAAACACAAGGTTTCGTGCTCCGGCTTCCTCCCCAACTCACCACTTCCCTTCCTCACCGCTTCCCATCATCACCACTTCCCATCGTCACCACCTCCCTTCGTCCACTTCCCTTCCTCACCACTCCCCTTCATCATCACTTCCCTTCGTCACCACTTCCCATCGTCACCACTTCCCATCGTCACCACTTCCCTTCGTCACCACTTCCCTTCGTCACCACTTCCCATCGTCACCACTTCCCTTCGTCACCACTTCCCTTCGTCACCACTTCCCTTCCCACCACTTCCCATCGTCGTCACCACTTCCCATCGTCACCACTTCCCTTCGTCACCACTTCCCTTCGTCACCACTTCCCTTCGTCACCACTTCCCTTCGTCACCACTTCCCATCGTCACCACTTCCCTTCGTCACCACTTCCCTTCGTCACCACTTCCCTTCGTCTTCCCCTTCATGTACACCCACCCTTCATGTACTCTCACACCACCCTTCATGTAAAGTCTCACACCACCCTTCCTCAAGGTCAAGTCTCAATGTGATGTATTGTTATGTCATGAAAAGTCTCACACCACCCTTCATCAAGGTCAAGTCTCAATGTGATGTATTGTTATGTCATGTAAAGTCTCACACCACCCTTCATCAAGGTCCAGTCTCAATGTGATGTATTGTTATGTCATGAAAAGTCTCACACCACCCTTCATCAAGGTCAAGTCTCAATGTGATGTATTGTTATGTCATGTAAAGTCTCACACCACCCTTCATCAAGGTCAAGTCTCAATCGCGCACCACCCTTCATCATTTCAAGTCTCAGAATTCTATTTGTCCGTAACACGGAAGTATTGCTTCCCAACTTCCTTTGATCATAATTTGGGCGAGCTGTTGTGGGCAATAACCATTAGCCATTCGGGATTCATCAGTCTCACCATATCTAACCTATCTAGCCAACTTATCTAACCATATCCGGTGGGTAATTTCAAACACATCTTTGAAGTTCTCTAGACATGGAAGGGTCATGGCCATTATCACACTCACCAAGCTTTCCCAGCCTGATTTGTTAGGCGACTGGATCTAGTTTAGCCAAACCTAGAACCATGCCATGAGATGGTATGAGATGCGCTGATATGCCACAGGAAATGGGTAGCCCATCGAAATCCAAGCCTAGAATGCAAACCGTTACGGGCTGGGCTGGTGGTTTCACTGCTGATGTTCCCAACCTCCAGGTCATCCTGTTTGGTGGACTGACTCCCCATTGCCGCGGTGTCGGAATTTCTTTGGGATGCTATTTCTATCTATTTCTAGCCTAGTTACAAACCATGGCTTGCGAACTGCATGTTGTGAATTTCACCATGTGGTAAACCCAGCTGGGGATGGTGACCATCCATCTCTGGCTGGATGGCCTTTTATTGAACACAAGGCAATAACAGCGGTGGCTCCAAAATACCATGTGCCACCGGTGTCAATTTCGTTGGAGAACCAGCAAATCTTCCGGAACTTTTTGGGACCCGGGTGGAAAACTCAAAAGAATTCTGAAGCTCTGTTGATTGGTGTCATGGCGACGTAATCTCCCAGCCGAAACGCTACAGCAAAATCTGCTGAACATCTTGGGGAGAAAAAAACTACAGCAATGCCAATTTGATATCATGCTCCCAGGTAGGAAATACAATACTTGAAACATTTTAGCCAACCAAACAATGAACTGACTCTTTCTGATCTTTCTGAATATCGGCAGGCAATGGATTGGTTGAAGGGAAAAAAATCCAAGCAGTCAGTACTTAGACGTTTTCTTGCACATTTTCACAGAAGCCACTTCTGCGCCACCCAAATCTTCACGCATCTTCATGCAACAAATTCAGATTTCCCAGCCCACAACCTATTGCCTATGCATCTCCCCAAATAATTTGACTCTTCATTTCCCTGCAATTTCCCGAGGTGTTTCCCCATTGCTAGGTTTCACTTAGGATACAACATCTGCAACCGTGGTGCCATGCGCTTCATGACCGTGGCCACCGTGACTAGCGTGTTCACCGTGTTCACCGTGTTCACCGTGTTCACCTGTCACTGTCGCACGGGCAAATTCGAGAAATATATCAATGTGGGAAAACCAATAATAGGATCATCCCAACTGACCTGATTTTTTGTACGCCCTCTGGAACTTTGTTACATAGTTATGGTCTAGATGGCCCATTGAGTGGAAATGATTTGCCAATCCCCGAGAGTTGGAGGGAGAATCAACATGGTCAGTTGAATCGCTGGTGACGCCTCGGTGATCATCACGCCCATGATCATGCTCATCCTGGGGCGTTGGGAACCTCAAGGTGATCATGGCAATTGGGATGTCCCCCATAGAGGTTTTAAGATGTTTTAACACAAAGTCAACGGCAAATGATATTAAATCAAAAAAAATGGAATCACTTCCTCTCTCTCTCTCTCGCATTCCATGAGTCCAAAAAAATTGACTGAACAAAAATTTACAGTACCCATCGTTACCTATGTACCCTCCGGTAATCAAATGTGGCAATGAACATTTTCCCATTAAGAACCTCCATTTGGTTCATGGATTTTCCAGCCAACCGCGTTTGACTGCGGGAGGGTAATTCCATTAACCACCATTAGCCAGCATGTATGACCACTATTAATCGATCATCACTATTGACTCGTCATTAATCATTAATTTCTACACCATACATCATTATAACATCAACAATAGCACTAATCACTATACCATGAATCATAAGTAGTCAAAAGTACTAAGTCAGTAATAGTCAGTTATCATAAGTATTCATAAGTAGTAGTCATTAACCATCATGTGATTGCTCAATAGCTATTATAAAAACAATTATTTTAAAATAGTTATCTTAGTAATAGTACTAATCCTACCATGGGGAAAAACTATCAAAATAGTTAACTATTATATAATAAGTATGATTATTATCAATAATTCAGCATTATTAACTATCACTATATCGTTAACAACTAAATTATACACACTATTACCTTTGATTTTTTGTACTACCATCACTACTATTATCAATAGTTCACTATTACTAATAGAAATAGTTCACTATTATCAATAGTATGATTATTATCAATAGTTCATGTCATATTACTACCATAATTAATAGTTAATAATAATAATACTATTATCAATAGACATCACATCATGAAAATCATAGTCCCACCACAATCACAACTCCTCGCCTCGTGGACCCTATGGGCCCCATGGGCCCCATGTCCTGACCGGCGACCGCGCGGAAAACAAACCCCATGTTTGCACCAAAAGCCCTTCGGAAAACGCTGCGGAGTTTCCACGTCTATGGTTAGTTTACCCTAAGGTATATATATATACATATATATATATACATATATATATATACATATATATATATATATACATATTTATATACATACACACACATATAATATATATATATATGCATGACCCAGAAAAAAGTGAGACATTATAACGAGAGAAAAACGGTATAACTAACTAACTATGGTGGAGATTCGCGTACTATCAGTTAGATATAATTCCAAGCCCCTAATATCAAACAGCCCCACAGAAACCATGATAAAAAGTAGGGGATACAAAACACCTACTTGTGACCATAGAATAGGGGTACTTAATATTAGGTGGATGGGGTTGACGAAGTAAAACTATATATATCATATAACCAGCAATTCTACCAACAATTCTGGGATATGCTCTTTGGTAATGCAATCTGGCAAGGGGACAAAAAAAACAGTGGATGCAGTTGTCTAGGTTTCCTAGTGAATATGTGGATTTCCCACCACTAGCAGCACACCCAGGAATAGCAATACAGCCAACAACGTGGTTGCGGTGACCAAAACCAAGGACCTTATCAATGCGCATGTAGGTTGACCTACCAGAAACTGCAGGGAATGGATCACATTGGTCACATCTGCCACTGGCAGAAGGGCAACTGTTGGGCACGGAATGTTCACTTGCAACACTTTTAGACCCTATATATGCTATGCCTTCTTCACTTTATATCAATTTATCTGTATAGACTTAAGCATGTGCAATCAAATTAGTTCATTGTCAGTTGTCAACTATGTGTATCATTAAAGAACCCTGGGATACTCCTCAAAGGGCTACTCCTAAAAGTTGCTATCCTTGCAAAAAATCTGAAAACTTCTGAAACAAATCTCAAAAATTCAAAAAATATCACGGAACAACTGAAAAAACAAGCCACGAATTCCAAACAATAAAAAAACGCGGAAAAAACAGAACAAATTCCACAAATAAAAACAAACAAAAAAAGAACACACGAAAAAATTGAACGAAAAAATCGGAAAAAAACAATAATAATATAATAATTCAAAAAAAAAACCAAAGAAAAAACATAAGAATAATAAACAGAAGAATATTTAAAAAACAAAAAAACACACAAAAAGCAAAACAAACAAAAAATATAATTTTAAAAAACAAAACAGAAAAAATCAAAAAACATCAAAAAAAAATGAAAAATCAGAAAAAAATCAGGAAAAACCAAAAACAAATCAAACAAAATCAGAAAAAAAGAGGAAAAAAACAAAAATACATTAAAAAAACTAAAAAAAAACAAACAAAAAACAAAAAGACAATTTAAAAAACAAAAACAAATCGAAATTTAAAAAATCAACAACAAATCTTGAAATCATCATTCGAAAAAACCTTAAAAAAAACATGAACGAACAAGTATTTTTTGGAATAAAGAAACATTTATTTGGACCGGAATGAAATTGCATTATTTGGGATTAAATTGAAATATTTCGAATTAAAATTAATAAAAAGGAATGTTCCAGGAGTGTCCCTATGAGCAATGTCCCTCTCCATAGAGAAGAGTGTAAATATATATATATATATGTAGTGTGCATGGTTTAGATCAGTTGTATTTCATTGTCAGACTATCCAAATGATCCAAACTGTGATTCGTGGACTCCTCGCGCCGAGCGGTCATGGCTTGTGGCAACCATCATTCTATTTGCCTAGACATCTATTGTTACTATATGAATCGGAAATCTATACTATTCTATTTGCGATACAAACATCTACATAGATAATATTTAAAAAAAACATAAATATCTCTAAATCTGTCATAAACTTATGATTTGGGAGATGAAATCATAACCTTTTAGTACTTACTAAATGTATTATGACTTCTCTATACCATTCTATACTTCGCAAATCTGGATCACCTGTACCAACATCTTCGAGCATGGAGAGGTCGTTGTGAACTTGCTAGAATCCGGAATTCATCCATGGACAATAAAGCAATGACAATAATATCATTCTTTATCAAAAACATGTATCATTATTGTTGATTAATTCGGGGGGGCCAAATAGTGATCATCTGATACTCAAATGGCGTCCCTCCAATTAAACAGCCGAGGAGTTGAATAATCCAGGGTTGGCATTAATGATCAATGTTATCATTGTTAAGATCACACCTTATCTAATCTTTACTACATCTCGGTGTCCCCTGTCGCCTGTGTCAGGTCTGTCGTGGCTGTGGCCCAATTCCTGTGCCATTGGAACCCGCCACCGTTGGATTCCAAGGGTCCAAGGAAAAAGTGTTGAATGGTTCAGAAACCTGAGCACTTCGGCATAGTTCGGCCAAGTTGGGATAGCTACCCGCAGTAATTCACCATCATTCCGGTCACATCAGATCTGGTCAAGCAACTCCGAGCTTCCGCGGCTGGCCTGACCATGCAGCAAGTTCCCCAAGAGCCTAGGTGCGGATCCCTTACCATCAACCGCTTGAGAAGGGTATCTGTAAAACGGTAAACCACCCTGCATTTTGTTGGTTGTACCATGTTGTACCATATGTGTATATATATATACCGTATATACCCATTTATGGTAGATTTTTCCAGATGGTTTACTATTGCTTTACTGTGTATATGCGGATTAAATGTGGGGAGCCCAGAGAAGAGCGGGATACTGTGGGGATTCAGCTGACAACAAAAACGGTGATGGATGATGATTGGTTTGAAATAAAACCCATTTATGGTCATATTGGGAATAGTTTATGGCATTGAGCTTACCAATGTTTACCATATTATTCCGTCAAATGTTGCGAAGGCTTGCAGCTAGCTTGCAGGTAGTCGATCTCAAAACCCTGTAGGAAGGCCATTTGGGGATGATTCCGCTTAAAAAACAATGATTCCAGTGAGGTCACTATATAGTCTGTCCAGACGTATAGACTACAGATTGTTTTCCCAATATGACTTTATACAACCTCCAGTCATAGATGTTTTTTTGTTCCCAATGTATTCCCATATTTTCCAGATATACTATGATATACCGTATTCCCATATATGATCGTATATGTCCATCCAATGTTCCATATCTCCGTTCCCAAGCATCGCCGGCTGGGGCCCCCAAACAATGCTGAAGCGACAGAGAGGCGCCATGGCACCATTTCAAAGCTCGCAGAGAAAGTTCCGATGGGTAGCTGTTGAAAAAAGGGCGCCTGCTGAGTATATACTAAACTATACTAACCTCAAGTCATAGATAGAACAGTTGAAAACCTGGAAATATGAGGTACATATATGTAAATATCATCGAACTCCCAGACTATCAGCCTGGCTTCACACTTAGCAAGGCATCTTTTTAGGGATTACTGTACAACTACCCCAGCAGGTGGAATTCTTCATAGGCCTTTTCAAGGCTCCTGTTCTCTGGCCTACCTGGCGATGAAAAGGCGGCATTCTTCGAGTATGCCAGGAACCTGTGCCCGACAAGTCTTGAACCCGCAGAACCATGGGTTATACCCTCATTCATTAAATAAATGCAATATATATAATATAAAAATATATATATATATATTATACGACACATGATATATATATATAATGTATTTTTTATATTATTTTATATTATTTTACATTCTATTACATCATATTCTATTAACATGTATAAATACAGTGCGTATATATATATATATTATGTATACACGCCCAGTTGAAAGAAGAGCCTCACCAAGCCATTCTCCGATGTACGCAGCGGCCCCAACTTTTTTCCCGGAAGGTTCAGCCTCGTGAAGCCTCAGAGAAACTGCAGCAAGTCCTGCGCAGACTGGAAAAAATGCAATATGACAAATTGGGTTGCCCACTAGTAATCTAGAAAATAACTACATGGAGAACGGCCCCTTTGTAGATGGTTTACCTATTTTCATGACCAGTCTCATCCATTTTCAATTGCTACAAAAATAACAGATTGGGAAACCAATGTTGCCCCAGTCTGGTTGCTGTTGCTTCTCCTTCCAGTTCACCATGGTTATGGTCATGTGATCTCCAAAAGGAACATCAACTGAAACAAACAACGCAATGGCTCACCTCAAACACCGCGCAACACTCGTAGACTCAGTGTGGATCATATAGGATCATCATCCCCAGAATGTAAGATATACAAACTATTGCGTAGATTCATTTGAAATTTGATGATTTCAATTGTGATATTCCTATTGCTAGTGCAGATGAGTAAAATGTTTTTCTCCAACGTAGAACATCATAAAACATCACAGAACTAGTACAATAATGTGGTTAGTAAACTCAATGCGTAGCTGATTGGCTCCTCAGTAATGTTGATAGAATATGGATACCTAGGTAGCTGGATGCCCATCACTCCGTGGCCCGCTGCTTCAGATCTCCTTGCAGATCCTTGCGAAGAGCTCGCAAACGCCTTCCCCCCGCTGCTTTGCTTGAACCTTGACTGTCAAACCGGAGTGGGTTGAAGGAAAAATTGAAACCGGAGGCCCTGGTTTTCACTATGGAAACTACTTTTGGCTTGCAAAATGTCGAGATTTCCTGTTGGGTCTTCCGCCCAATTTCTAGATTCCGTTGGTGCTTTCTTATTTACATTTCTAGAGTTTCCCCTAAGCCCTAACTGGGGATATGAACTTTTCAGGGGCTCGAAAAATAAATCAGAAACCACTGGCATCAGCATGAACAAGAGATCTATATATGACAATGGCAGCCACGGGGCAGGCATTCCAAGATTCGACAACTCTTCCATGGTGAATTCGAATGTCCCGAATTCAAATAACAAGTCCCTACGATTTTGATGGAACATGTGTTTCCCATCCTTACAGAAGCATCATTCACGACCCCCTGGGAACCGAAGCTGACATAGGAAATCACTATATGATCAAAAATTGGTTGTTTCACGTTGTTTCCGTGGGCCTGTGCAGCCTGTGTCTGAGAGGATCCCCGACCCGGCTGGGCCTGTGCAAAGTTCTGCAAAGTTCGATGCATTTCCACGCCCTGCAATCGTGGAGTCATGGCTCTGAAGTCTTCGTTAAAATTTCATAAAATTTCTATAGGTTTTCTAGGGTTTTTCTTGGGATCTATGCAGTCTATTACATTTTCATGTGCTTATGGATTTTCAATGGGTTGCTGGTGAGGCTACACGGGCCGCAAAACTATGAAAGTCACTGCAGAGAAATGTATCATCATTTATTTCATTGCATGCCTGTTTGCACAATGAACATAGATATGTAGACTCCCACCAACCAGTTTGGAATCTTCCAACCTGAGCCCTGTTCCTACCATTCATCAGGGGCATAGCACTGCAATTCCTGAGGTTGAAATTCCATGCTTGGAATGTTTCCTTTTACTGTACGGATCTTTTGCAGAGGTTGTTGTGAGGCCCCTGTACCACAGCTATAGCTGTTGGGGATTTCAAGCTGGACCCCATGAAAAACCTGTGCCATCGCCTCTGACAAAAAGGGGCAATGCGGTTCCAACTTCACACCATCCCACAGAATTGGAACAGCCTTAGGTTTGCCCAACGCCAAGTGGACGGCTGGACGAGACCACCATTTGTTGATATTTTTTGGGCACCATTCTGGGGCCATCAAGGTATAAATCAGACTTTTTCGCCATAGATTGGCTGGTCAATCTGCAAGTATTGACTATCCGACTTATCCCATCAATATTTGTCCATCGTGTTTCGGAGTGCAATTCGCCCAGTGATGCAACGAGGCACCTGTATGCCATGAGAACAAGGAACCTGGAGCCTAGAGATGCCTAGAGCAACGCTTCCTGTTAACTTTGCAAGACCCCCAGCTGTTTCTTCATTTTTCTTCAACTTTCCAACTGATGCTTACTCAATTTGCCATGAATTGCCAGCCCAAGCATTTCCAGGAGTTCAGTGGGTGATCACTAATCCTACCAGCTCTCTCCCAGCATTGTCAGGTGGTTCCATGTGATGATTGCCAGCGCTACGTGCTCATGCAAGTAGATGCTGCAAAAAAAATGGTCGGAGCACCTGGGCGAATGGGAATCTTACTGTAAACCAATTCATTTTGGAATATGTTTTGGAACAATTTCCCAAGTAAACCGCCATGCATGTGGCCAGGTCAAATACACTCCGCCCCAGTGTAGCGTTCTTTTTACTTGCACATTTACCGCCCAAGATCACCAATGCTTGCCCCCGCAAATCCCATATCCCAGCCAGTCGAGCTGCTTGAACTTGCAGGCAATCCATGTGGCCCGCATTCACCGTCTGTAGCTGGAAATCGTTGGTCAGCCTTCCCCAGTCCTCGGCCAAGTTTCCCTCACTAGCTTTGTCAGGGAACATGTGCAGCAAATCCATGGCTTTCACAATCCACATAATATATATATAATGTATGCATATTATACATACTGTATATATATATTATAACATAATCTACCTATATATAGCAGTTGCCCTGTGAATTGTCCCATCCATTCCGTGACTCTTCTTGGAGGTACATCATACCTAGTAACAGTAATTGCTTTATTTTCCCACATTTGGTGTGGGGATATCACACCCAGTGGTTCATGATTCATGACCATTTAATTTCAAGATATGTCAGTATATGTCAGTAGCATTGCACAACATTTCATCACCAAAAGTTACGCACATCAACTTTGGCTTGTCCAAACAAAACAAGAACACTGACCAATGGCTGAATTGTGAACAAATCATTCGATCATATTCGATCTATTACCCATGAAACCTCTTCGGCAGCCATGACCCATCCGCCATTCTCCTTGCAGTGCTCGGGTTGGCAGGATGGATCCAGCAAAGGGCTGAAAGCCATGATGGACACCTCAACGGAGGGGGGCGTAGCCATCTATGGCACCAACATGGGGCCCTAAGGGATTCAAGTCAATTGGATGGTGAATATATGGGCGAATACTAAGTTACTAAGTAAATGAAAACTCGAATCTGCGATGAAACCATCAATTTTGACCCATCACCGGAGATTTCATGCAAAATCTATCCCAAATGAGCCATGTATATATATATATACTGTAATATATATATATATCGTGTATATATATATATATATATATCTGTGTGTGTCTGGAAAAATGAACATAAGTCACCTGAAAAGTTCGACTTCTATTATCCCAACAGAATTGGGGGGTCATACCCCCATCAAACCATAACCACATTGCTTCTGTGGGGGATTCTGATGGGTTCCAAACATGGTTGGCTCCTGGAAGTAAAATCATTAAACCAGATCAAACTCCCAAAACAAGTTATGCTTCCAATGATATGTCAAATCCCCTCCAAGAAATCTTCCCGGCCTCGCCTCCATTTCGCCGAAGTCCCGCGCGGGATCCGGATACATGGCGTCACGGTACTGGCAGCGCATGAGCTGAAGCATATCTGATAGGAACTTGCTGGACTGCACCCTCGGTAGAATTTGGCAGATCTAGAGGGTAAAGGCTACAGGAAAACAATTATTTTTGCGACCAAATATAGAGTTTCCCGTAGATTTTCCCTTAAAGCAATCCAATGAGAGTTGTGAAAGTTGAAAGTTGGACAAGCGTCTTTAAACGGATCAAATTTATAGCTGAATCCCCCGAAAAGAGATGAAAAAGAAACAACATCTACTGAATCTACTGTAAGTTCCAACTTTTCGCATTTTTCCTGGTGGTTCTGAATGTGGACATCCACAAGGCCATAAAAAATCTCTGAAAAAATAGTGGGTTATTAAATTGGGTATGCACGGACTCTCGGGATGATTTACTTCATACCAGTAGCCCCACTCTATAAGCAAACACAAGAATCATCCCTAATAGAAACCCTAAGCAAGTGGCATTTGTCCTTGCGTACTACACTTGGAAATCTCGTTAATATGGGTTTGTCTGAAAATTGGGCACCTTTCATGGTTTCCAATCATAAATGAATGCCAGGTGCAATGTTCCAGCAATCCTGTCGAACATGAGAAAAATTGGGATTCAGCCAACCCTCCCCATAACCCTGCAAGGGTTATATCGGGGGTTTATCAACCACCCAGAACCACTGGGGCTTATTGACACTTCTTAACCATTGAGGGGGTCACCTTTGGAGGATAAGCAACGGCTAAGCCCCCAACTGTTCCTCAAATTCGGCATCGGAAGTTTCATGCGCTGTGCGGTGGAGCAGAATGTTCTGTGGCCTTGCGGCGCCATGTGGTGAAAACCTTTGCGACTGCACTTGGCATGGAGGAACTGGTTTAAGGCGCTGGCTGCAAGCTTGAGAACCACTTCAGAAGCTCCCGGTCGCCTGCCAGCTTCCCACAAAATCGTTCCGTCATTCTTGCTTCACTGGCACCATTCCACCAAGAAGAACGCCTCCGCCTATATTTCTCACAATGTGGTGCCCCTCAGAAGTTGGTTCATAAGCCCCAATGACCAAGGATATATATATATATATAATCCTCCTTCCCATTCCCTGGGGGGGGTTGGGGGGCCCCATTTTGTAGTGAACCAACCCCTGTCTCTACAAAATGGTTCTGGTACACAGTCTCCATCCTACAAAATGGTCTGAATATAACCCATGGCTCTACAAAATGGTAGTGCCTGTCACCTGTTTTGATCCACAAATATTTTGACAATTTAGTTAAAAAATGATCAAACCAGTGCATTCATGATTCTATAAAACATATAAAAATCCCAGAGCCATTTTGTAGAGCTTCTATCTTGTCAAGACCTCAGCGTTAACTGCCTTTTTCCCAGTGCCATTTTGTAGGGTTTTTACCCTCTAGTCGTCTTCACTCCTCCTTTTCGGAGGTGGATCCATTTTTTTTCATGCAACTTTTGCAGCATGAATATTTTCTATTTTTTTGCCAACAATGTGCTGGCAATCCTTCTGAAGATGGAAACTTTTTCCGGTTCCAGTATGTTCCACTCACAAAAAAGGTCCCAAAGCAAAAACGAAGATCAGGAGAAGAATGCTATTTTGACACAGATCTTCCAGGGAACAATCGGTATCGAAGTTTGGATAAGGCTGAAGAATCCGAGAAGATCCAGAAGGATCCAGAAGGATCCAGAAGGAACAAATTCAATCACAATTCTTTGCCACTGCTCTTTTCAACACAATCATAAAAACAGGGTCTATCTTCAGACCTACACCAGTCTACAAAATGGTCGACCCTAGGCAGCAGGCCTAACCATTTTCTAGAAAAAAACATACCCCATGGGTTATAGACATACCATTTTGTAGGATGGAGACTGTGTACTGGAGCCATTTTGCAGAGAAAAGGGGTGGTTCACTACAAAATGCTCCCCCCCCCAACCTCGCCCATGAAATGGCAAGGGGGATTTTGAAAGTATTTGGGGTCTAGGGGTTTCTTGTAATATGTTCCATCAGGTCTAGGGGTTCCATTGCAAACACAAATATGCACTTACAAAATGGTACATTTATTGAAACGATGGTTTCTCTACAGAATGGCTAGCTGATTTTTCTTTGTCAATGACTAACTCACATTTTTTAAAAGCACCAAATCATACCCTTAAAAGCATCTACAAAATGGCGTTTTGTTTGTTACAAAATGGTTTGTCTTGGTGCCCATAAATGATCATGCCTTCAAAATAAAAATTATAAAACCATGTAAAACCCACAAATTACTACAAAATGGCATGCTCGACCCCATATAAGGCCAACACTTCCCATAAAATTATGCCATATAGGCACCCCAACCCCCCTCGATCTGTGGAGGAAATGGCAAGGGGGATTATATATATATATGGATATATCATATATAAACCCTCTTCAAATCGACCATCGCCCTCTTTTTCCGAAACCAGCGCTGAAACGCCACGGGCCTCCTTGCTTGAAGCTATGACTCAGAAGTTCCCAGCCAGTGGCTTCCCCCAACTGCATGGCGCCACAGGCTGCGATGTAGACCTTGCGCCTCTGGTGATGAGCATTTAAATCCCGAAATCGTGAATTCATGTGTCCAAATCTCAACTAAAAATATCAACTGGCAAACAATCCTGAACAAATGATGTATTGATGGAACTGGCTGAAGATAGAATGTTTAAGATTTAAGACAAGTTTGGTGTAGTTGTTTGGGATCTGTTTCAAATGTGTCTCCCTTCTCATTATTTCAGATGCTGCTCCCTTCTCATATACATATGTATGTATATATATATATAGCCAACCAGGCTTGATGAATCTGGAATTAACATTGCACTTAAGTGTGCTTCCTAGCGTAAGATACGTGTAAAAACAATTTAAAAATGCGTGTCGTCTGGAAGAAAATATGGATTCCAATGCAAATACCATGTGTATAATGTAAACAATTAACAGAACCACACACACAATGGTTGTCAATCCTTTCTTAGCTTCATTATGCCATAAAAATCCCACAGGATAGGAATTGATAACGAATCGATTCAGCAAATCTAAAACTATTATATAATAGTCCCGTCATCCCAATAAATCCCAATCATTCTCATATTGAATCACCCTATACCTCCAAATTTTCAAGAAATATCAATTAATTATAATTAATTGACCTTGAAAATGAGAAAGTTACTTTTTTTTTCACACAGGACTGTCACAGGACGGGCGAAAAAAACATCAACTGATTTGAGGGTGAATCCCCCAGGGCTCACCGGGGCCGTTCCGGGAACGAGCTACACTCGTTCCGGCTGCCGGTAGGCCACACAGGTCGCCGGCGCCGCGCCGCGGCTGTGGCCGAAGAGGATCAAGGGGCGGCTGCTGCCTGGAATCCGCTGGAAAACATGGCATACTTTTGGGGCAAAGTATGGGAACACATGGGAACATCTGGAAAAAAATTGGAAAAAACATTGAAAAACATGAGGAAAAGTGGAAAAATATGAGAAATCATGGGAAACATGTAGGAAAATATGGGAAACATGTGGGAGCATATGGAAAAATGTTGGAAACATATGGCCATGGCTCAAAACTAGAAAAAAACATTAGTTTCAAAATAACAATCCCTTTGGAGCCTCTTCATTTTAGGCATTGATTTCAACTGGTGCTGTTTGCTTGCCGCATGATCTGAGCTAGTCATACATGCCAGAACTACATATCATCTATTTTACAGGCAATACATTTGATTTTTTGTTTATATACTTACTCAAAACCATGCGCACCACAAATCTCATTTTTTGCTGCTTGATGGGTTTGTCATTGTTTGTCTGAACATGAGGTATACCACCCCCCCCTCCCCCAAAAGAACAACTGAATGGGAAACTTGATGATCAACCAATGGATAGAATATGATAGAATGGGGTGCCTTACTTTCAGACAAAAACTGATGTTGATTGAAAAATCATGCTTTTTTAAATAGGCATTTCTCATAGCTAACCTGGTGCCATTCCCACCCCGCCAACGGCCTGTGATCTTGTCGATCTCTTCAATGAGCAGGTCAATGTAGCTGGCCCAGGGCTCACGGCCTTCATCGGTCATCCTGGAACACGGGGGGCCTGCAGACCTGGTAGGATGAAATAGACTGACATGGATTGAAAAGGGAAAACTCAGTCAACTGGGTAGTTGTATGATATGTTGTATTCATTGATATATTATGATGAATTATTATGCGTGTAATTAAACAATATGGTTATCCATCGTTATTATTATTAAAGAAACAATGGGCAAATAACCCAATGGCATCCAGTTACAAACCATTTGCTGATCGGAAATCGTTCGGAAACGGATATTCAATGGGAAAATTGCGAAGAAACCTTATGGTTTTCTGCATTGCCAGTACTACCCATAACCCCACTGTAAAATATACACGTGAAAATACAAGATGTTGCAGCAAGTGCGGTATGTTGTGATTTTACTATTGTGTGTTTCTCCAGGTGTTTCTCCAGGGTGAAGAGAAGAGGCAAAAAACTGTAATCAGGAAAATCTGAAAGTTCCTTTGACCATCCAATTATCATTGGGGATTCCGGGTTTCCTTACCTTGGATATACAAACTGAAATTCATGGGCTAATGATGGCTGTATTGCTGACCTGCCACATGATGCTAATGTCAAGGTGCTTTCCCCATGACATTCTGCCAGAAACTCCGAGGGCCAGGCCCATAAGCATCAGGGAAGTGAAAAATGGCCGCATCCTGCGAATTTCCACGAGGTGCCCATGCAACACCGTGATGAACCCCCTGGGCATCCCAACACGTGTGGCAACCCATCGACCAACACCACTCCCCAGCGGATCCTTTAGACCTACATCCCGGACTGCTTCAATCAAAGGTGCCAACCTCAAGACAAGGCAGGGGGGAAAGCACACACGAAAATGAGCTTGGCAATTTCCCGAGTTCGTGGTTGGAAATGATCCTCCTTTCATGCTATCAGGATCTATCAGGTATGCATAGGTCTCCGAAGTTTTTGGAGCGCCAGCAACCTGGAAACTTCAGGGTTTTCCAGAGTCATTCAGCTGCAGCTCCCGGCAACTTCTCGCCGTCCTTGGGGGAAAAGCCGCCAGAGTACCAGGCCTCTACCGGCAGGAAATCCCCAAACTCAATGGAGATTTATGGCTCGGCAAATCATCGAACTATTGCGGGATCTACCAGCAAGCCATGCTTGAGTACCAAAAGGCAACCTGGAAATGGGAAAGCAGCATCTTCAGGAAAAGTTACCTGTTACCTAAAATTGAACATTTTCATGTTTTTTGTTAAATGGGCAGGGTTCATTTCCGGCAGTCATAAACAAATGGGACAGAACCAGTTCTTGGTGTCATTCAAAAACAGGCCGGCCATGATGGATTCAATAAAATCTTTATATACATGTGTACATGTATTAAAAAAATCAATATATATATATGTATATACATCCGTATCATTCTGTATCTATATCTGCATAATATGCAGCATGCGTGTACAAGATACCCAGAAACTAATTAAAAACTATTAAAACATGATCAAACGGGGGGCATCAAAGTGACCTTTTACATATTTATATATTGTTCCGCAGTTTCTCATCAATGGACTTTTGTAGCCGGTGTTCGGGCGATTCACGGCACCCATCTGGGCATATCTGGGCTGCGCACACAGAAAAAGGGAGGCCGACCTTTGGCGCCAAAGGATGCAAAGCCCGCAGTGGGTCTTGGAGATATCAAGATGTAATTTGATGTAATATATCTAGATTATCTTTATGTTAAACGTTGCATTTTCCCATAGCTATGTCAAAGAAGAGAAATCCTTACACAACAGCGTAGTGAACTATCCAAAATGATGAAGCTTCCACCTCAAGCTCACCTACCAACATGGCCACAGGGCAAGTCTAAGTTGCCAGCATTCATCCAAAGATTCCTGCCAGTTGATCTCCATAAAGTTCAGTTGTAGTTGCACCATGTTGCACGTAGCTTCATGAGTCTTTCCAGCACCACCAAATATCAATAAGTTAAACACCTGAAACTTTTTCAGGTAAACATCTACAGCATCCGTGCATTTCTTCAATATCTCATTGGAACCCCTTACAGTCTTCGAATGTCCGCAGAAAAATTCAGGTGCCCCACGTCTCCAGTGCGGATGCATGACATAGGTTTTGACTAGCTACACAGGTACCTCAGGTGCCCAATCCCTTTGGCCAACTACTGGGACCCTCTGGGTTAAATTGAGTTAAACGCTGCAACCAGCCTGACATATCTGAAATTCTGCCTGAAACCTGACAGATCAGCACCTGCCGGGCTTTGATGATGCAGCGCAACCTGACAACAAAAGCTGGACCCGTTCCCAAGTGAAAAGTCATATATGGCCCTTTTCTTCACATTGAAATAAACTGGAATTTAAATATTAATAATCATGATTTTGGATGGTCCTCCTCCCCAAACAAATATCTAGATATGTTTAGCCGGTTGGTAAATATCATGTTTTTTTTCGCAAAGTATTGCTAGATATTGCTAGCCATTCAAAAATCAACCGCTTTCACAGACCATCACAGACCTTAACCTCTGGGTCCCTAGCAGCTCCTGATCGTCAAGTTTCAGGTTCACCTCATTGGTGAAAAGGGGCGCATCTAGCGGGAAAATGTTGCAATTTTGCCTTAAGAAAACCATTCGATTGCGACTCATGCTTGGCGGCTGGGAAGCCCGACCCAACCACATTCAGGACCTGAGCCTGCAAGGAGCTGGTAATGAAGACACCTCAGCGCTCGTCGGTCGTAGCCGCCAGAAAATGGTTTGATTTCCCCGGCAATAAACGGATGGATAGCGACAGTACCAACACGTCTGCACATCAGAACGATATTTTCCTTTATAGCAACACACAAATGCGCTATGTGCGCGCGCCCGGACTTTGCCACACCACACATTCGTTAAAAAAACGAATTGATCCCTTGCGAGTCCGAATGAACAAATGCATGGCTAGCCTTTGGTGACTTTCCATCGAAATGGACAAGTATGTGCAATTATGGGGTGACAATCTATATAAATTGGCGATTTTCCATTGCCACCGTATTGGAAAGTAAATCTCAATACCCAAAGTTCATCTTCATCGCTGCTTGGCCAAACAACTCACCATTCCAGGCCGGCTGGAGTTCCAGGCACCCAACTTTTGGGGATTGCTTTCCTAACTGGTCGTCTAAAAAAAAGTAAGCTTGGCCAGGTTGCTGTAACTTTCCTAAGTGATGTGTCAATCCACGGCCAGTCTTTGATTGCACAAAATATGGCTTTAGCCATGTAGTTAGAAAAACCCACCCATTTACTGCACTGCAAAGGATTCAATGTTTAAATATCTTTCTACACCCTAGTCTTGTGTTGGATTTGTTTATTTTGGGTGTCTAGTCACGGACCTATTGCTTTAAATGGTGCTAATCCATGTTAAACCACCTTTTATCACGGTCAAATCGCGTCAAACCATGTAAAACCACTATTTTTCATGGCTCAACCCGCATTCTACCCATCCAAACCGCAGTTTCCCCCAGTTTACCAACTCGTGAAGCGGCTCGTTGGTCACTTCCAACTCCTCCACGAAGGCATCAGAGGACAGCTTTGTGTCCTGAGGGACGATCTAAACGTACAAGGAGGTATGGCATAGGTGAAGTATTCAGATGACTAGCACATAGTTACTAATTAACCACTATTAATCATTTACCGAAACCATCAGGCTTATGATGGCTAATCATTGTTAATCATGATTGAAAATGCACAATGACAATGATTAATGAGTATAGTTCATGTCATAAGCCCAACAATGATGGTTAATAACGGTTAATACCTATATTGTGTCATACTAATGGTTTATGATTAATGGTTCATAATCACCGGATATAATGTGGGATTCACCCAATAAACCATCCAAAACATCATCAATTTTCTGGGTGGGATTCCAACATATTCCAACCATCCCCAAATCCCCACATTAATGTGGATGCACAAAATATTGGTAAATGCACCCTTCAATGGGGAACTGTGGATGGACAAGATTACAGTAGTAGAAAAATCTGTGGCTTTACAGGGTTTCATAGGTATCAAATCTTGCACCAGTTGGCAAATACTGGCAACACCTGGCAACTATGAAACCCTATAAATAGAGGAATAGTACTGGGATAAACTATTTACCAACTCGTGCAGGATTTTGTCTATCCACAATTCATTCTATCCCAAATGTTCCACGTATGGAATATTTGCTAGGGTAAACAAACGTGTGGAAAACCAATGGTTTATCCCCATTATATTATATTGTACTATGGCTAATCGTGTTAATTCTATGGCTAACTATATTCCCATCACCCTGCGGCAATCAAACGTGGCTCGCTGGGAAATCACCGAAGCAAATGGAAGCTTCTAGCTGGGAAAATCAACGAACTAAATGTGAGATTTTCCATTGCCATGTTTGATTACCAGATGGTAGATTCCCATTTTTCCCCACTGCATCCCATCATACATACGGTATATTAATTATATAATGGGAAATATCATGCAATATGAATGACAATATTAATAGATGGTAAAATAAATAATGAAATAAGAACATATTTTTTGGGGGCTACATATTACTATCCGGAATTTAAGGCAGCTCTGGAAATTCACGATGTTTAATCGGCAAATCATTGTGAAATCTTCAAACAGAATGGGCTATGTTCCATAGCTATGTTAAACATTGTTTAACTATCGCAGAGTATATTTAGATACCATATTAATACATATGAATACACTACATCAATATTTCCAACTTATTGACAAGTATTGTAACATGACGTAACATGTGTAACATGTGACTTAGGTGCGTCACCCAGGTACCTGGCTGATCGTATCCCTCTGGGAGATGTCACAAATTGCCCATTTTTTGAAGCTTTCCGAAATCATTGGGGGAACAGGGCTGGATTGTTTCTTATGGAAACTCCGAAAATAAAATGGATGATTTAGGGGTACCCCATTTTAGAAAACCTCCATATAGTGTCTACTCAGTTGTATTGGGGTTTGGCTCCCATTCTTTGGATTCAGTCGGCGAAAGGCCGGACAAACAAAGTCGTTTGAGGTTGTTCACCCTGCACTGCAGGAACTTAGCATGGACAGCGGGCAACATATGGCAACATATGGCAACATGACATCAACCGTCCACCAAATGATTTTTCCAAGAAATATGGGTGCTCTTTGGCGAAGATTGTTTACTGGCAGATACTCTCTGGCAATCAAACATGGCATTAAGAAGTCTTCCTTTACCATAGAAAACCTATCGAGAAGTGGAGTTGGATTCTGGGTGTTTCATGCCACAAAAAAAACTAGACAGCAAAACATGTGTTTTGCGGGCAAAATCCTGGAGTTTGTCGTGCTTCTTGATCTATTTTCTCGTGATTTCTCGTGTATTCAGACTGTGTCCAGATTGAATCCCAATGTTTGATATTTGGGGTTGCCTGAAAATAGGGCACTCTGTACCACACATGGCTTATCACCATTTCTCGTAAAATTGCAATGATTATTGGGGTATATGTGCATCTCCTCTTCTTGGGACAGGCCCAAATTTCATATTATCGGCTATAAACCCCATGAAATAAATCCAGATTTTCAATTAAATCCCAATTCTGGCTAAACCAACATTTCTCATGGTTATGTTAAACAAACATTTTTTCATGCTAAAAGCACAACTTTCGATGATTTTTGCCCCATTTTTCTATAGTTTGTGTTAGTTCATCACTGCCCAACTCACGAGAACAGCTCGAAGCAAGGCTCAAATTCTTTGCTCTGAAGCTCTGGAGCTTCTCGCACCACCAGCCCACCTGGCAGCTGAGGGTTTGAAGCTCTGGAGGTTTGTACGATCCATAAAATAGATAGGTAGATAGATAGATAGATAGGTAGATAGATAGATATAGAAATAAATATATAACAGATAGAGATACCGATATAGATATATATATATATGGATATAGATATATGGATATAGGTATATAGATATAGATATAGTGAAATAGACATAGATACTCATAGTTTAAATAATGTGTATGTGCATGTATAAAGATTTAAAAATGCATCATTCTCAAATAATATATATATATTAAAAAGACCAAGCTGACCTTTATGAAGCCTTTCTTCGAAGAGAGCAGGTTGGCGGAAGGAGACACTTTCCGGTATCAATGGGTGTGCACTACATTCGTGCGGCAGCCAGATCAGCCCGACATGCAAGACGATCGCACTCTTTGATCTTCCTTGATCTCCAAGAAGCCTTTTACAGGGTACTACGTCCGGCGGCTATTGGAGGACGCCTCACTGACGCTCTCTTAGCACAAGTCGCAGCACGACTTCATCTACCTGATGATGTCCTGCGAGATCTTCAGTCCATACTTCAGATGCCTTCAGCCACCGAGCTGGCTGGACTTCCACACATTTACAACGAGCGCTGGGAGCCCTCCACACCAACACGCACTTCCGTATTCGAGGCCAACAGGACGTCACGCACACGAGAATTGGCACTCGTCCGGGAGACCCTTTTCCTGATGTTGTCTTTGGCTACATGTTTTCAAGACTCTTGGCCGTTGCTGAGGAGAAAATGAGTAGTCATGGCATCTTGGAGGCCTTTGATGACGTCGAAGTACCAGGACTATTTCCTCAAGCAGATGGCCACCCATTGATCCAGCACACGATGCTGGGACCGACCTGGATGGATGACCTTTGTATCTCGATCACATCCGACACAGCGCTCGACTTGGAGCACAAGGTTGGATTGGCAGCAGGAATACTCCTGGAGACATGCATGAATCATGGAGTGACCCCCAATTTACAAAGAGGCAAAAGTGAGATTTTGCTCACATTTCGTGGGCAAGGGTCTCGGGCCCTCAAACAAAAGTACTTTGGATCACAACAAGGACAGTGCCTTCAGGTCATCTCCGAGTACGGCATGCACGCCATTTCAGTGGTCGGAGAGTACATCCATGTGGGAAACATGGCACACCACTCAGGCACCTCAAGGAGGGAAATGAGGCGACGCATTGCCATCGGCAACGGCGCTTTCAACCTTCACAGGAAATTGCTTTTCCAGAACACAGATTTGACATCGCAGAAGAGGGCAGAGCTCTTCATGTCTCTGGTTCATAGCAAAATTGCGTATGGCACGGAGTCCTGGGTGCTTGATGACTCCAAGTCACGAGCATATTTCCATGGAGCCATCCTACGTCTCTACAAGAGACTACTCAAACTTCCTCCTGAAAGTGCTCTGCAGGATGACGAAGTAATAGCTCAGGTACAACTTCCTGAACCAGCAGATCTTCTGCGAGTGACCAGGCTCCGCTATTTGGGGCTTCTCTACAAGTGTGAACATGTAGCCCCTTGGGCCATTCTTCGCGCAGATGCCACCTGGACTCAGCTTGTCTCTGAGGACCTTCACTGGTTATGGCAAGTGGTTCGCAACACAACCACTCTGCGAGATCCGGCTCAACACTACAAGGACTGGGAATACATGCTCCGCTACCACCGCAGTTATTGGAAGACGCTTCTGCAACGTGGTCTGCATTTGATACAGCTCCATCGGCAAGACCAACTACTACTTCGACGTCTGCACCGTGAGATTTTTGCGCATCTTGCACACTGGGGACCACTGCCCCATGCCCCTGTCCGTCCACATATCCCGGTTGAACGACAGTACGGGTACTATATGGCTGCATGCACTGCAAACTTCGCTGCCGTTCCAAAGAAGGAGAAGGAGCCCATCTTTTTAAAGTTCATGGAGTTGCCGCTAGAGAACGCCAGTGGATGACCCACACCGCATGCACTGTATGTTTGAAGGATTATCATTCCTACGACAAACTGCAAGCGCACTTATGGCACTCCGAACCATGTCAAGTTGAGCTCAGCGCACAGCCACCATGCAGAGTGCTTCAACCTGGAATTGGATCGCGAGACAACAATGCCTTGAGGGCACAACATGATAATCTCCTTCCTGTTCAACAAGCAGAAGGACCTTGAGCCCTACTGCGTCCTCCAGGAGAAGTTGAACTTCATCATGTTCCACTTTATGAACAGATTGTGCTCATGGTCTTTGACTTCCAGGTGAGGGATGGGAGCGCTTTGCGGACCAGTTTGAGAAACTGCATTGCAAATCACACAATTGGATGGACGCAGACGCAACTCACTCTGCGGAAGATCATTGAGGACATTGAGGGTGCACCAGTCTATGATGCGATCATGCCGCGAGATGAAGTATGTCATATCCTTTCAGAACTTGCGGAGCCGTCACATTGGGACTTTCTCACTGAGATCACCTATGAGACGGCGAATGAGTAGCACCTCTACCATTTGGACCTCTATGAGCAGTGGTGCCGAGATTTGACCCACACGGACACTCCTTGGCAACCGACGCTGCCTTGCCCCCGTCCCCGCTTTCGTGAGCGTGTGATTCTCCACGCTTACTCGGGTAGGCGTCGTCCCGGAGACTTCCAGTGGTATTTAGATGAGCTGGGACGCAAAGGGAACCTCGAGGGCCTCTATGTCGTATCGCTCGATTCGGTCATCGACTCTACATGGGGTGATATTGGCAATTCCACGACGCAGAAGTTTTGGCTCAACGCGCAGCGCTCTGGCGTGATTGGCTTCCTCAGCGGAACTCCCTGTTGCACATGGTCAACTCTGTGCAAGGGAGTGGTGACCTTGAGCACCCCGCTGAGCCGACAGACGAGAAGGCGGCAAGCATATGGAGACTGCCGCTGATGCAATTCATCATTTTACCTTGCCTGGTTTTCCCATCTTGAATTCGCACATGGTCTGTTAGGTGCAGACAGCACCAAACGTACAGGGTTGCTGACTTTACACCTTCCAGACTTGCCGCGCTATTTGCGTGCCAATGCGGTCTGTGCTCATTTGCCACGGGCACAAACCATTGGCACAGATGAGCATGGACAATTTCGCACAGCGAAATTAAAGGAGTATCCTCCAGCCCTCTGCAAGGCATTGGCAGAAGGATTTTTCTCCATTTTGACCCCGTACACAGTTACGGAAGAGACACCCAACGCGCTGAAGGATTTTACTGCCCGATGCGCACAGATGGCGTGCACTGACATGGGCACACACATCGGAGCAGGATGTCTGGCAAAGACCCGAATTTAGCATTGCAATCTGCCGCTGCGTGTGAGCGCTTCAGTGAGCAGCCAGCCAAAAAAATATTAATATTATTATATATGTATTTATATATATATGTGTAATTCTCTGTAAGTTCGATAGCCCGAAAATCCAGCTTAAGCCCTTTAACAATCCATCCTCATTTTGTAGTACACTTCAATTTTCCACCAGGGGCAGTGTTGAAACCTTCGTGAGCTTCGGCCTTGAGCATGCGTTTCATCAAGCTGCCAGTTGGGAGGTTTCAACAATAATTTCCAAAATCCATGTCATGTCACACACACACACATATAGTTATATAATATATGTATATGTATATATAAATCTACTTATCTATTTGCTCAAAACCTCCAATCAGACGGGCTTCCCCTGGAATAACCCACTTGGAATACATGAGAAACCGAAACCTAGCGTCTAAAATAGAATGGTTCCCCTTATCAACGATCATTTTTGGGCGGTCAGCGAGTAAGGTGAGGTGGCTATCATTTACCCAACTGCTTTTCTTCAGATTCCCTTGGGGCCACCTAGTGATGAACTCAATTGGAGAGACAACTGTAATTTGTTTGGCCTAATCATCCTTGTCTTGTTACGTTTTTTTTCAATCTATCCCCAAGTATGCTCCCCAATTCGGATCAAAAATGACCCGCAGTGTTTGCACGTTCTTGTTGATTGTTGCTTCAATTTCATTGAATGAATTCCCTAATGTCATCACCCCTGGATTCTTATTCACCCTGGTTGATACAATTCGAGGGGAACAACCCAAAAATAATGCTATCCTATTATAGAATAAATATTAATGACGATTGAAATTATTACTTGGTATCCCCACCATGATCAACAGCCCAGCAATAAATCCAAATCTGTGTTTCCCCCATATTTGGTCACTTCATGTCTCTTCAAATGCCTCCTGAACGGCACCTTGAGCTGCCACTTGCCATACTTGGCTCATCGCGGCTTTTCTTCGCGCACCGGGTATTTTTTCACGGGCTTTGGGGTGAAGTGGCTGAGACATGAATGAGTAGTGCGATACTATGGGGATCATCCAAAGCTGGGATGAAACACGAATGAACACTGAAAAGTTGATTAAATGGACGATGTTTCCATGAGATGTGCTGAAAAGAGAGGTCAATCTATACATTTCAATGCGGGGAGTTTCAAAAAATCCATGGGATGTGTTCATGATCCCATCCAGAACGAACATCACAAAATCATCAGCTTTGAGCCACAGCAAAGGGTACGTTTCTTGAAGACGGCCGCCATCAAACCATCTGAGGAAGTGGCGTTTTTGGGCAGATTCTGCCCTTAACATCCTTAGACCATCAGCCCAACCGATTCCAAAAAGGCAATTGGCAATTAGTTACACCCATCGGAGCAGCCATGTGTTGAACGGCCAAGAAAGTCACCAGGCTCATCCTGAAAGGGTTCTCCAACCCCGACAACCCCGCACCCACCAGCACTCTTATGGGGGATAACCGAATGCAAGAATGTCAAAATCTGGGGAGCTGTAAACACCTGTTAAAATTCAATACTTATTCTGATGTTTGAAGTATTGTTGAAAATACCCGCTTAAAGTGGATAAATGAGATAGGTTGGAAAGATTTGGAAAGTGTTTGCGATTGGGCTAACCGCATTTCAATGCAAATGAATTTGTTTTCCCACTTTCAAGCCATTTCTGCACGAGTTGTGCTGCCCATGCTGCCACCCCCGCCTAAAGACTTAAAGCCACCGACGCACACTTTTCTTCAATGGGAGCCCCCGTCCTAACCTCAGGCTGCAAGAATTCGAGCTGTGGTCACGCTTAGTGTTCTTTTTGTTGGTTTTCCCTTTGCAACAAGCAAAAGATGTGATGTTTATGAAATCTCCCTTTCCGCATGAATATGTCTTTCGATCACATGCGAGATATGCTGCATGAGGATGCTTCGCTGTACCTTGCTGAAAGAGAGAGAGAGAGAGACAGAGAGAAAGACAGAGAGAGGCACAAAAATATGCATAAATACCATAAATACGTAAATATATATATATATATGTGTGTGTGCAGTGCATGTATAACCATGCGAGCCACATGCATATTGGCAAGTTGCCTTCCATGATTCCAGGTGCTGGATTCATGTTAAAACAATCATATTACTGGACCTCTTGGATTCTTGGATGTCAAAATCAATCAGATAACCGCACCCAACAAATGGGTCAACATGGGTCAACTGTTTGGCCTCCCAAATCATCCAAGTTATTGGTAATTGTGTAACGTGGCACTTCGTTCAGGGCACCCCTAATTTTCTCAGAAAACCAGATTTCAACATATTGAAAATTTAAAGGGCAATGAAATCATTTTTGGGAGACGTGCAATCCTCTTGGGGAATGGCACAAGACATCAACCAAGGAACCTTGAGGTCACAAAACTGTTGGAAACATTTTGAATCACTACATCTTGGCAAGATCTTGCAAATTTCAACTGCCTGTAATGAAAACCATCAGAATCAAAACAGGAAACCAGGATATGGAATCGTTGCCCACAACTTCACATTCAAACACCCCCAAAATTTCCAAAAACTGTTCTGGGATACCCTGTCAACCCTTTTTATCCGCAAACGTCAAGGTGGTATGTGCGGCATTCCGGGATTTTGACCAGACACCGCGGATTTTTTTCGGCGGTGACCCTGGCTGAAAACCAGCAGGACTCCAGCAACATATTTCTTCCAGAGACTCGCATCAAGGCTTTCTGAGTAACCCTGTGGCCTACTATCTACCCCCAAAAAGGGTGATTATAAATGTTTTTACTAATGAAAAAATGTGAAAAATGGTGAAGATGCATGAGCAATGCATGAAAAGACTTACAAACATCACAGCAACTGCTGTTTCAAGAACTATGCGGAGCTTCTTGGCCACTCTGTCGGGGTACGGGTCGGACTCTGTCGTATTCGATCCGACCGCAGCCCGGCACAGAGATATGGGCATGCGTCAAAATTATAAAGAACTTACCCACGAAATTGGAAATATTATGGCTGATGTTTTTATCAGACAATCTATCTGGCATTCTATGTAGCATTGTATCCAACAATCTATCTGCCTTGCTATCTGCCATTTACTCTGGCATCTTAACCAAAAAATATAACTAATTAAACCATATTCATATTCCGCCATTCAATCTGGCATTCTATCTGCCAGGTCATTTGAGGCTTGAGCAATGCTCAAAATTCCTTCATATTTTCCTGCCGAGGTTTCAAAGCTTGCATAAGAGCTTACGTTCGCTTACGTTTTCCATCATTTTTCAAGGTTTTACTTACGGCAGCACAATTTCAAAGAATTAGCTTACACGTCTCTGACGGCAAACCCGCATTGGGGATATGTAATGATTCTGTTCAAAGATGCGTGCAGCCCTTAAGGTATTTAAGGTGCACATGGGTAGAGGCAGCCTTGAATAGTGGCTGCGCTCACTTGTGTGGGTGGGTAGAGAAAACCTAAGCGTAGGTTGTGAGCCCAATGCTCATGCCAGGCAAGGCAATGATAGGTCCTTGCTGGCCACTGTGTGGAACGTCCTTGGCGTGGTGTCGAGCACGGGCGCATCTGAACCTTGTTAATGTCAGAAGCCTGGGCTAACGCCTGGTGGAAAGCTGAACTGAGGGGCTGAGGGGAAGGTTTGCATAGCCGGCCCACCACCGGGGACGGGATGCGGGGCTTGGCAGCCGGGGATGAAGAGGAGATTTCCCACACAAGAACCTGCAAGTTGCCGCAGCCGGGCGAGCAACGAAGAAACAAGCGACCTTGGCAGAGAAAAATGGAACTTAAGCTGTGACATCATCTCTATCGCAACCTGCTGCCAAGGTGGGACCAGCAGGTTGGAGGGAATGCGAAAGGATGTGCACAGCCCTTAAGGTGCACACGTCACGTGGGTAGAGGCAGCCTTGACTTGAATAGTGGCTGTGCTCACTTGTGTGGGCGGGTAGAGAAAACCCAAACGTAGATTCAATTGCAAAGGAGCTACAATATGCCAGGGGTCACCTTCGCTTTTGACTAGCTTGGGGATTGCTTGCGGATTGCTTGCGCCGAGCTTACGGCAAATTCCGATCTCATAAAACACTACCGTGAAGAAAGTGGCATTCATTCTGGCCTGCTTGCCCTAAAAAAAATGGCACCATCATCAACATTCATAACACGCACCAAATGGGTCACACAACCTTATTTGTACGGCAATATGTTCCTGATCAATGCTGACGTCAAACCTTTTGCACTGCTTACGAAACCCAGGCAAAGCCGTACGACTTGACAGAATTTATGCCAGCCCAATACCAAACATGTAAAGGGAAATTTCAACGCTGCTCACTTGATACGGCATTCTACCAAAAAGTGCTGCGAACGGCGGCGGCAGAAGTTTGGAAGATAGGAGACTTTGGTTGTTGTGAATCATGGATGGCACAGCGAAGCCATTAATGGATCGAAAGGTGGTTGGAGTTGTGCTTTTTGGAATGGTTTCAGCGGTCACCTCAACCACAACTGCTGGATGTAGCGTGGTGTAGCCTAGTGTAATGTAGCAGTAGCTGTAGTTGCAGTTGTAGTTGTAATTGTAATGCAGTGTAGTTGTCGTTGTAGCTATAGTTGGTGTTGTTGTAGTTGTAATGTTTTAGTATATAGTAAAAATGTGGCATTAGTGGTTGTTGTAGTTGTAATTGCTGTAATTGTTGTAAATGTTGTACTTGTTGTAGTGGTAGCGAAGTAGTAGTAGTAGTAGTAGTAGTAGAAGTAATAGTAGTAGTTGTAGTAGTAGTAATAGTAGTAGTAGTAGCAGTAGTAGTAGTAGCAGTAGTACTAGTAGTAGTAGTAGTAGTAGTAGTAGTGGTAGTGGTAGTGGTAGTGGTAGTGGTAGTAGTAGTAGTAGTTGGAGCCCGACCCATAGACGGCCGTGGTGTTTTGATTTTTTTTGGCATTTTTTTCGTTTGCTGATGGTCTTTCATGTCAACTAGCACACAGACGTCATGCTACGTTATGGTTATCTTGGGGTGGGGTTGGGTGGGGTGGGGTGGGGCAATGACGTTCATGTCAACTTGCCCACGCACGTCATGCTACGTTATTGTTATGTTCTCTTGCACTTGCACACACACACACACACACACGTCATGCTACGTTATGGTGATCTTCTCTTGCACTTGCTCACACACGTCATGCTACGTTATGGTGATCTTCTCTTGCACTTGCTCACACACGTCATGCTAGGCTATGGTGGTCTTCTCTTGCACTTGCACACACACGTCATGCTACGTTATGGTTGTCTTGGGGTGGGGTTGGGTGGGGTGGGGTGGGGTGGGGCAATGACGTTCATGTCAACTTGCATACACACGTCATGCTACGTTATTGTTATATTTTCTTGCACTTGCACACACACATGTCATGCTACGTTATGGTTATCTTGGGGTGGGGTTGGGTGGGGTGGGGTGGGGTGGGGCAATGACGTTCATGTCAACTTGCACACACGTCATGCTACGTTATTGTTATGTTCTCTTGCACTTGCACACAGACGTCATGCTACGTTATGGTTATCTTGGGGTGGGGTTGGGTGGGGTGGTGTGGGGCAATGATGTTCATGTCAACTTGCACACACACGTCATGCTACATTATTGTTATGTTCTCTTGCACTTGCACACACACGTCCTTTTTTTTCCTGTCCACTGTGGCAGGGACGCAAATCGCTGACAGATGGTGGAAAGGCCTGAAAGATTATATTCCCAAAAGCTTTCCAAGACGGTTGTATCATGGAGCCAACACAAAAGAACACCCTGAATTGGAAAAGTTTGTCTTGGGTTACTGTTGGCGAAAATCTTTGGGACCATTGACACCTCACCGATTTCTCGAAGAACCTTGCAAGGCCGTCAAAGCAATGAAGCGCTTCTGAGAAGAAGGAAAATAGTGCTGCATCCCAAAAAAACACGAACTTATGTCAAAAAACGAAATAGTTTTGGAGATTTTCAAAACCCTATTTTTCACGTCAACATGAGAAAAAATGACGTTTCGCTGTAGCGAAAACGACATTTTTGTTGCTGAAAAACTCCTAAAACCATACGGCCGTCTATGGGTCGGGAACCTAGTAGTAGTAGTAGTAGTAGTAGTAGTAGTAGTAGTATAACTAGTAGTAGTAGTAGTAGTAGTAGTAGTATAACTAGTAGTAGTAGTAGTGGTAGTAGTAGTAGTAGTAGTAGAGGTAGTAGTAGTAGTAGTAGTAGTAGTAGTAGTAGTGGTAGTAGTAGTAGTGGTGGTAGTAGTAGTTGTTGTATTGTAGTGTAGTGTAGTGTACTGTGGTGTAGGTGTAGGTGTAGGTGTAGGTGTAGGTGTAGGAGTAGTAGCAGTAGTAGTAGTAGTAGTAGTTGTTGTTGTTGTTGTTGTTGCTGTTGTTGTTGTTGTTTTTGTTGTTGTTGTTGTTGTTATAGTTATAGTTGTAGTTGTAGTTGTAGTTGCAATTTTACTTGTAATTGTAGTTGTAGTCGTAGTTGTAATGTGGTGTAGTGTAATGTAGCTGTAGTTTTAGGTGTAGTTGTACTTGTAGCTGTAGCTGTAATAGTAATAGTTGTTGTTGTTGCTGTGGTTGTTGTAGTTTTGGTAGTTGCTGTAGTTAGTAGCTGTAGTTGTACTTGTATTTTTGGTTGTAGTTGTAGTTGTAGCTGTAGTAGTAGCAGTAGTACTAGTTGTAATGTAGTGATGTAGGGTGGCGTGGTCCAAACTTGCAATGCGTTTCACATTTTGACTTCCGCATGTGCTTCGGGCCACAACCGCGTGGAA